CACGACTATGGCAAAAGTACCTGCACGCACGTCTCATTCGCATCGGTTTTAAGCAACTCCCGCACGACCAGGGCATGTATCGGCTCACGAAGAACGACAACTACATCCTGCTAATCGTCTATGTAGACGACCTCCTCTACATCGGCTCGACCGAAGGCATCACCACCTGGTTCGAAGGGGAGCTGCAACAAGATCTCACACTCACGGTTTCATCTACAGTCACACAGTACCTTGGGCTCAACATCCGAGAAGAAGAAACTGCAATCTACCTCATCGCCGCAAAATACGCCGACACTATCGCCAAGCGTTTCGCCTTCACACCGACCGCGATCTCCACGCCATACCGTTACACGACAGGAGCCGACAAGGGAGGATCTACTCTAGTGAAGCCCGCCGGCATACGCGACTACCAGAGAAAGTTGGGCTGTCTTCCCTTCGCAGCTGTCACCTGCCGCCCCGATCTCTCATACTCCGCAAGCCAGCTCGCTACCTACCTCAAAAGGCCTGAAACAGAACACCTGGCGGAGCTTGACCGCGCTCTTCACTACTTCGTCAGCACTCCAACGATCGGCTTAACGTATCACAAGAACACAACTACACCAACCAAGCTAATCGGTTATGTCGATGCCGATCACGCCGGCGATCCCGACAATAGGCGCTCCCGCACCGGCTACATCTACCGACTCGAGCCTATCGGTCCTATCTCCTGGCAGTCGAGCAAGCAGGAACTAATGGCCCTCTCATCAGCTGAAGCAGAATATATTGCACTCTGCTCAGCCACCAAAGAAGGACTTTATCTTCGCGAGCTGCTGGAAGAAGCGAAGTTAGCTGAGTTACCCAACTTCACTCTGTTCTGCGACAACCAGTCTGCAATTCGCATCGCCAACAAAAGTGGCTTCGCGAACAGAACGAAGCATATCGCCCTGCGATATTTCTTCGTGAAAAACGAGATCGAGAAGGGGAGACTTGAACTATCCTACTGTCCGACGTCCGAGATGGCAGCTGACTACTTGACCAAGAAACTCGGAAAGCAGAAGTTCGAGTACTGCATGCTGCTGACTGGACAGGGGCACGTCATCAACTGCGACACTCCAGAAGCGAAGGGGAGTGTTGGAAACAAGTAATTCCTAAAGCGCCTCTGTCGTGTCGAAACATCACACCAGAAGCGAAGCAAGTCATATCGAGGCACGAGCGAGTCAACCCTCGGAGGTTGAAAGAGGTTGCTGGAGGTTACGCGAAAGTCAAAGGTCAGCGACCCTTGACCTGACAAGTACAGCGCGACAGTTAAGGACACACAACTGACTCGTTACAGAGCAGTTGCCCGAGTCGTACTGTATCGAACCGCAACAGCAAATTAGTTACAACCGTATCCTTTTGTATTCCTTGTACTACTATATATTCTTGTATCTCTTTGCTATAATCAACTTACTTTGCTCTCGCACACTAGTGCAAGGTGGTTCACCAATCTTCATTAAACGCTTCCGCTATTACAATAGTTCTACCCCGAATTTACCCCTGCAAAAGATCCCAAGGGCTTTTCTCAGCCCAACATCACATACGGTTTGCTTTCTCGCGTTCGTCCCCACAAGCTTCTGAAGCAATTCTGGCAACAGCATCGCTGTATTGCTCTCGTATCGACTGGAATTTCATTATAGCACTTGGCTTGTGCAAGCACCATGGTACAGTAAACTGTGACAGTTGCATCCCCAACCCCCCAACAGTGAACCAGCATGATCAAACACAAACGTTTGGCTCTAAGCAAGGTGACACGACGCGACAAGACACACTAACGAGCAATGCCACACCCGAAATGTAACCGTCACACTCAAGTCCAGTCAAGTCCACTGGAATATCCCTCCTGGTAGTCACCCTAGCCCAATGTGCTCCTCACTGTGTAGTCACCCAAGTCCAGTGTCCCCCTCCTGGTGTAATCACCCTGGTTCAGCTCGCTCCTCCTGGTGTAATTACCCTACTTCAGCTGGCTCCTCCTGGTGTAGGCATACCAGGAGGTGTAAGCGGTGGTGTAGTCTGTAACGTGGTAACACCGTGGTGTAACCCTCGCCCCCCATGTGCACTTCCTTCCCCCCCTTCCTTTCTCACTCTCAACCCACCCTTCCACAAACCCTTCCCCCCGCCACCCCCCAGCAACCACCTCTTCCCGCCCTCTCGCTCTCGCTCTCTCTCTCTCTCCCCCCCCAACAACATAACGCCACCACAGGCACTAGCAGCACTCCCCACAGAAGCAGAACCACCAGCAGCAGCAGCAGTAAAAGCACCACCACCGGGACCATAACCACCAGCAGCAGCAGCAGCACCAGCAGCACCGACACCACCAGCAGTAGCACCACCGGCAGCGTCGCCAGCAGCAGCAGCAGCAGCGGCAGCAGCAGCGTTAGCATCGTCCCCTTCACCCTGCCTCTCACTGAGAGAGCTGCTTCTAATCATCCTCCATGCATTTCTCCTCCACGCATTTCTCAGCATAGGGGACATAGGCCCCGACCCCCTCATCCTCTCCCCTTCCCCTCCCCCTCCCCCTCCCCTTCCTCCTCCCCCTCCCTTTCCTCCCCCTGCCCGGCTCCCCCGCACCCCCCACGGCACATGCACCCCTGCAAACCTCCCCTCGCCTCCTCCTCCCTTCACTACGCTCGTTCCCAGCCCCCTTCGTGCCCACGTGACCCGGATACCACCATCAGCACGAGCCGACCCAGCTGCTGCAGCCATGCCATCAATCCCCATCCCAGCGACACAAGCAGAGTCCGAAGCATCTGTCTCTCCTTGCCCATCCATCGATACATGCCTCATATGCATGCTCTTGGGCTTGAATCGGCCCTCTTTCCCCTCCTTCCCCTCCTGCCCCTCGCTCCCCTTGTTGCCCTCTTGCCCGCTCGCCTGCCCGTCACTATAACCAGCGTTACTGTAGCCAGCATCGCTACAGACAGGTCCGTTATACACAGTATTGCTGAACTGTGTGGCCGAGGAGAGAAACGGAGGATAGGGCGAGTAAACCGGGGCAGAGAGCGGCAGCAGTGGCGCCAGGTTGCCGGTTACCCGGTTACCATAGGCGTCACTGGGTGCACCATATTCATCCTCCTCCCCGTCATCCTCATAGTACCCTTGTGGGCCGATATATGAGTGTTGAGATTGAGACGCGCCCTCCTGGTAACCCCCTTGAGGGCTAATATATGAGGGTTGAGATTGAGATGCCCCTTCCTGGTGATACCCTTGCAGGCCAATGTAAGCCAGAGCTTGTTGCGAGGTTGGTGCATATGGTGTTGCTGCTGCTCCGCTTGCTGCTGCCCCTGCTGCTGCCACTGCCCCTGCTGTCATTCCCCCAGCAGCTGCACCCATCCCCACACCACTTGCACCCATCCCCGCACCATCTGCACCCGGGCGGCACTCCCCACCTGCCGCCGCCCAGGCGCTGCTATCCACCACCCACGATTCGTAATCAGATCCCGCAGCCGGGCGGGGAACAGATGGGGAGGCGGAGGGATGGAGAGGGGGGAGCATGGCAGCAGCGGGAGGAGCAGCAGTAGGAAGGGAAGCAGAGGGAGGACGAGCAGGGGCGAGAGGGGACGAGATGCGAGGATTCGGCATCCGGGGGAAAGGGGAGTGGGGATGAGGGGTGTTGGGGGAAGGGGACGGGGACGGGGAGGGGGAGGGGGAGGGGGAAGGGGACGGGGAAGGGGAAGGAGAAGGGGAGGCGGTGGCGGAAGGAGGGGCAAGGGGGGGTTTGGAGAGAGGGGAGGCGGAAGGGGAGGGGGAGGCGGAGGGGGAGGGCTTAGGCACGATAGGGGGTTGGGGGGGGACGGAGGCAGCGAGAGGGGAAGGCATGGAATGGTTTATGTTTGGAGGAAGAGGCGTGGGGGAGTGAGAGAGTGGGTTGGATGGGAAAGGCATGGAAAAGGTTGACGGGTGAGAGAGTGGGTTGGGTTCGTAGTGGCTGCTGCTGTTGCTGCTGCTGGTGGTGGTGGTGCTGCTGCCAGTGCTGATAAAACTGCTGGTGCTACCAGTGCTGGTTCTCCCAGTGCTGCCACTGCTGGGCCTACCAGTGCAGGCAACATCACCATCACCATCACCATCACCATCACCATCACCATCACCACCATCAGCACCATCAGCACCACCACCAGTATCGCTACTGGCAGCGCCCCCCTGAGAGGCATGCAGTCTGCTTCTGGGTAGCGGAGGGGCGGGACACGTGGCACTGGCAGCGAGGGTGGCATTGACAGCACACGGCGCAGGGAACGGCCGTGACACTCTCACATCCCCCAACCCTAATCCCAAATCGCCTGCCCCTCCCCCTGCGAATGCCCCTCCCCCTGCGCCTGCCCCTGCCCCTGCCCCTGCCCCTGCCCCTGCCCCTGCCCCTGCCCCTGACCCTGCCCCTGCCCCTGACCCTGCCCCTGCCCCTGACCCTGCCCCTGCCCCTGCCCCTGCCCCTGCCCCTGCCCCTGCCCCTGCCCCTGCGCCTGCCCCTCCGTCCCCTGTTCTCCCCAACGCCCCAAAGCCTACTGCAGAGCAGATTCGACCAGAAACACCGATTGGCAGGTCGCCATATGACGAGTCATCATCATCCCACACGTCCATACCCGCTATGGTGCGCGGCGCGTGGTAGTACCCCCCCATGAACGCGCCCCTGCCGCCACGGCTTGTAGCGGCGGCTGTAGCGGGGACGCTAGGTGCGCCTGCAGCAGCAGCAGCAGCAGCAGTGTCAGGAGCAGCAGTCGCCATTTGAAAGCCATTACCGCTCTCAGCAGCAGCAGCGCCACCATCATCAAAACAATCAGTACCAGCATAATAAGCAGCAGCACCGCCACAACCACCGCCAAGAACCAGCGGGACGTCCACAGCCGTCAGATTGACTTCGAGGGACGATGTAGATCGCGAGTTTCTGCGCGTGCGCTGGTGACGCGATACCACCCGCCTCTCGCCTATCTCCCCCTCCTCCACCCCCCTCAGCGCGTCTGACAGCTCACTCAGCAGACTCTCTCGCGCGCTCATCCTCCGCCCCCCCGCTCCCCCAATCCCCCCTACTCCGCCCCCACCACCACCAACATTGCCAGCACCAGCAGCACCCGCGGCGCCAGCGAAAGTTCTCTCCCCTCCCCCGCCCCATTCCCTGCAGCACCCTAGATCCGCCGTCCCCCCTCCTGGTCTCTCTCCCTGGCTGTGACTCACCAGATACGCCCGAGGCGCGTCCGGGTAGCACTCGAGCCGCTCCTTGGGCTTTAATCTCCCGCGCACGCTCCATACAATCACCTCCAGGCGCGGCTCGAGCGCCTCGTGCACAATCACGTGCGCGTGGCGCGCGGATCGCGAGCGCAGGAAGACGGGCGCGCCCCCGCGCCCGTTAATGGTAGGAGCGGTTTTACCCGCGCTAGAAGGAGTGGATGCATCCTCGTTATAGTTAGCGGATCCTCCTTCGCTGCTCTGCTTCAGCAGTAGCGAATTTCCAGTCGTCCCTTCCTCGTGCTTTCCAATCACGGTCCCGGAATCTCCCCTTTCGCGAATCGTCCCGTTGCTATTGCAACTGTTACTGTTACCATCGCTACCAGTGTTCCCGTTACACCCACTGTCCACTCTGCCCCCGCTGCTAGCATCAACAGTACCCCCCCTCCCTCCGCTCTGCGTTTCCCTGCGCCCGCTGCCCCCACGACTGCTGTGACTCAGCCTGTGGCAGTGCCCGCTGCCGCTGACGTGGCAAGCGCCGCTGCTGACACGGCTCGAGCTGCTGACCTGGCCCACGCCGCCGGCCAGTCGCCTGGCGAACGCGCGGAGCGACGCGGGATCCGCGGTGGCGGGGCGCGGAGGGGTGTCCGGGGGAGGCGACGCGGGGAGCGGGGGGGAGGGGGGAGGACGCGCGGAGATTGGGGAAAAGGGGCGGCGAGCGGAAGGGGGAAGCGTGGAGGCGGAGCGGAGAGTGGCGCGCGGGGAGGAGGGGGAGCGGGAAACGGAGAGCGAGCAGAGCTCGATATAAGCACATCGGATGCTGTCCAGGATGGAGTAGGCGCGCGGACGGTCCAGCGCCCCGTCAGCAACTGCAAACGTGGCGAGCCCTGATTGGTCGACGGCGAACAGGACGTTGGTGCGACCGTAACCCTAGGATCCGGGGAGGGCAGGGGGAGGGGGAGGAAAAGGGGAAAGGGCAGGGGGAGGGGGAGGGGGAGCGGGTGGGGGAGGGGAAGGAGAAAGGGGATGGGGAGGGGGAAGGGGAGGGGAAAGGGGATGAGGAGGGGGAAGGGGATGAGGAGGCGAAAGCACAGCTAGGGGGGAAGATTTCTCATAAGGGAGAACGGGAGCCGGGAAGGGGTGGAAGAGATGCAGAAGTAAAGGAAGTGAGATGAAAGTGAGATGGAAGTGAGATGAAGAGGCGAGGGCAGCGGAAGGAGTGGGGAAACGAGCTAAAAGAGCAATGTGCGGCAATGGGCGGGCTGGCGGAAGAAGCAACGGACGCGGGCGGTCCGCACCATGGAGAATCTGCTGACGTGGCGCGGAATCTCGAGGAGCGCTGACGCGACGAGGCTACGCAGAAGTTTCCTCTGCTTCCCGTAATCCGCCAGCACAACCCCCCGGTGCGCCAACCCCACGTAAAATATCAGCTGCGCATCGCCAGTATCCGCCGCGGAGGTGTCCGCCGCGGAAGTGATTTCCGCGGAACGACTTTCTACTCCGCCGCATGCTCCGCCGCCGGCTCCGCGGCATGCTCCGCCCGTGTCTCCGCGGTGTAGACCCCCTCCCCGTGCGCATTCCGCGTCCGCGCAAAGACCGACTCCTGCGGAAGCGGAACGATCTGCGGGAACTGCGCCGCTGCCCTCACTTGATGAGCGCATTGGCGGGGCTGGGCGGAAATCCATTTCCGCGGATGCGCTAGGTTTGGCGGAAGCGGATGAGAAAGGGTCCGCGGAAGGAGTGGCAGAAGGAATGGCGGAGGGAATGGCGGAAGGAGCGGCGGAGAACGGCGGAAGCTGCGCCTGGTTGTGCTGCTCCCACGCGGACGGATTCGCGGAGAAGGGAGCGGAAAGAGAGACGACAGCCGTGCCTCCCGCTACCATAACTGCAACCCTCAACAGCAGATCCCTCGCTACTCAAAAAGAATGTCAATCACTTGAACCCTCCATGGATGCCGCGTTTCCAACGGTCAACGATTCAGGGCGATAGTTGAAAATGACTCGGATACTTGGAATGAAAACAATCGGAAAAGAAAATCCGATTCGAGAAATAACAACAGCAGAAAACTAGACGGCGAGAGGCTCCAGTTCGAGAAGTCGAGCTCTGTACGACTCGGCCAGCTTATCGCAGATAAGCTAAGTAAGCTGCATGCTGCATCACGGGGTCCGTCCATCACGAATCAACATCCTGCTTTTTACATTCCATTCATGCGAATAATAACTTAGTCGCAGACCATTCACGGAGCAAACATTCACTAATGTGAAGCCAGGCTTTAAGAGACTCCCTCCTCAGGACCGGCAGAAGCACGTCCTAAGGAGGTAAGTCGCCGGAAGTTGCGCACGCCACGCCGCGACGCGACTGCATCACGATGCGAATTCGGGGGAGCCGAGCACCCTACCACAGCCGCTACTGGCAGTAGCAACTTTCCTGAATCCGTTACGACATAAAACAGCAGTGGAGCCAGAAACACCAAGCTCGACTCAGGCGTGAAAACTTGCTTGGAGAAGTGAACAACAATGAAACGAGGGTAGGGGAGAGGGGGGGGGGAGGGGTGAACTGGAGGAATCGAGGGAAGGGAACAGCAGAAGAGCCCATTCATCCGTGTGTCGTGCGCTGACTGGACGACGCTCTCCCCAAGATTCATCCAGTTGTACTGTACACCTTGATGAACAGCTGATGTACTTTCTGCACTGTGAACTGTATGTAAGAAGATTGGTTCGAGGGAGGGGAGGGGAAGGAAGGAGTGGGGGGGGGTGAGTGGGGAGGGGTGGGTGGGGGGGAGAACTGCAGAACACGCAACACCACAGACCAACCGAGGGGGAGGGGGGACAAGGCTGGGGGTGGAGGAGGTGGCGCGGCGTGCCCACACATAATTACACCTGATGCTCGTTTGAGTCACCCATGGTTGCCTTGTGAAGAGGGCGCTTAAGTAATTCTTGCGTTTCGCCAAAATTTTGTTAGTTCGCAGGATTTCGTGCTTATAAAAACTTTTATAACATATGCGTTGACATTTGATTTCAGTCTCTTCAGTTTAACATCAATTTCTTCGTTACTATTGGTTCAGAATCACTGCAACTTGCGCGAGGTGCTTGTAACTAGAGTGCAACTGGCTGGTAGAAAAAAACCGGGTGCAGGCTATCTAAACAGTCCGGACCAAATTCGCGTGCAGCGGTTGGGCATCATGTGTACTAGAGGAAGTTGCAGTTCGGTTCGTCGTTTTTCCAGATAAATTTTCTACGGTACAGTATGAAGATTTTCAACACCCATCAGTAGCCACCTCCACAGACATGCGCGGACGTTTTCTTCCACCAATCCTTCAGAAATCCCCATCAATTGCTCCAGAGTCTACTCCAGTGTGACAACTTCTGTATCATCCCTGCCATCCAGGAACTGAAGAATGGAATTATGAGCTGCCCGAGATGAGTTCCATGAAAAACAACGTGCCTTTATGAAATTAAAGGCCGATTTTGCTGCACACACGTACAAGGAAAAGCACTTCACGTACACTGGGTGGAAATTCAGATTCCAAGTAGCGATTCATGTACATCATTGATGCCAAGAATTTCGAAACCTCCGCGCAAAAGACCCCACTAAGATATATGGCAGCATGTCCGATTGTACAAGGCAGAAAATGCCGGACCCAGCCTGCCTTTTACATTACCATCAGTGTCTTTTTGCTCACTGCAACAATAAGTTTTGATTGGACCATTATAATATTTGTTTTTTTTTTCCTTTCTGTTATGTAGAGCCTAATTGAGTAGTGGTGACCCATATAAGCATATGAATGTGCAGACAGGTACCAGCGCTGCATTCTTTCAGTTAGGGCGTTCCAGATTGTGCATTTATAGTTTATGTTTGGTGCCTCAGGAGGGTTCTACACGGTGGACAGTGGTTTTTGAGTTGAACCATTACGCAATAGGATTGAGCTTGAAGAATGTACAGAGTTTATACGACCTAAGCAGATGGAAAGGTAAGCTGTAGATACCCGTTACAAGCAGAATGTCAGGCCTCTGTTTCATTGGCTGGATTGACCACCAGAATCCACGGGATTGTCCCCGAGCATTACTCGTCGACAGAGTTTAAGTTACCACTTCGGTGGGGGGACCACACCACAAGACAGTTAGTGGCAGGCGAAAAGTCACGACAGCTCCTAAAACGAAGATCCACGAAACCCCGACGACGCGCATGCCCGACCCTAAGGACGTGTCTCAGTTCGCCTCTGGTCGGCTGTGATCTGGTCGGGGCTGATCTGATCGGGGTGCCTTTGTTTGGATAGCTCGCGCCGCCCGATCAGATAAGATTTTCTCGAATTCTCCACGAGGGTACACAGCAGGCGAACATACATTTCCTGCCATCTTCGGGCCCACTTTGGCGACTGCGAACCCCTCGTGATGGATTTAGCGAATTCGAGTGTAACCCTGTAATGTAGAAATGATGGCGCCTGCAGAATGTTTTTGCCGCAGCAGGATATTCGCTAGGGTTTAAGGAATCCCTGCCGACCGATGTAACTGTTCGCCAGCGTCGCGTAGTACCCCAATCAAATGCAATCAAGTGATCGTCGGTGATTGTCTGTGATTGTGTTTGATTGGGCTTTTTTTGCGGTTGATCGAGTTGGGGCGATCAGCTGATCGCGATCAAGTGATTGCCCCTGATTGCATGAAATCGCCCCTCTACCTTCCTGGAAGTTATTAATCGTGTCTGATCTAGGAACCCGAGGTGAACCAAAACACGTCCTAAACAACAAGATTGATCAAGGTGTGTTTGCACTCGTCTTGGGATCCCCGTGTACAATAAAAAATGTTGGCGGGTTACTATCGTCAAGAGGCTTGTGAAGAAACCAATCCGGATGTTTAGCGCGTATCTACTTTCATCGGGGGCGACCGGACTTCCAATCCAACTTGAGGGTAGTCGAGAAAAAATGTTCGAACAAGCATTTACGCTCTGAAGGCATTTGCGAAAAGGGCAAATTTCCCCTTTTTCGAGTTTCTGTTCATGGAAGTCGTTCTTGTGATGGTTCCGCTCCGCCTTATCCACAAGCGTGTGTTGGGAGCGTATCTGTGGCTTATAACAGCTCCATTGCTCCGTGATGACCTGCTGCTGGCTGTTCGCCTGCTCTCACTTCATTGAGATCAGGACTGGTTGTTAGGTGAGAAAGTTTCACTTCAGGTGGCAAACGTTTTTGTAATTTACGGTTGATGGCAGTCGTTCCATCTGAGGACAATAAGTTATTATCAGAAAGGCATGGAGGAGGCGGAACTGATTTCGTACATAGGTATCGCGAAGGACGGCGCGATCATAGCGGAGTATGGCAGGGAAGCTGACGTCTTTCGAGATCCTATGTGTAGCGCATTTTCCGCGATTCCTGCACATGTCTCCCAGTACTCACTGGTACGTGGCTTGATTTGGTGAACCCTCACAATGACTTTTGAGGTATTTCAAAGGTCGTCTTTCTATTCGCGATTCTGTTGACCCTCGAAACGCGGGTTTCCTTTGGTGCATGGCTGGAGCCAAGCGTGCTACACTTTTAGTTGTTCGTCACAATGCGAGACTCAGGCGTTTTGATGGGACTTGAATGGTAAGCCTGCTTGGTGTTCATAGGCATAGATTGTAAATATAAACGACGACACGATCAGTCAGTTTGTTTGTTTGCTTGTTTTTTTTTTTTGTCTGTCCTTTCTTTTCTCAACATCTGTGTACGTCGGTAAACCGTTTGGTAAAGTTTGAAATGCTTTTCCATTATTCTTTTATTACCTTTTATTCCTTTCGGTAAAGCATCGGATTGGAATTTTTTTTTTTTTACTTCCCTGCCAAACTCCTTTACGTGAGAGAGAGGAGGCTATCCATCCTTCGCCTTCCTCCGTTTGTTAATTTGTCTTTTTTTTTTTTTTTTTTTTTTTTTTTTCCGGTCAATTTCCTGCTCGCAGGGTCACGGAGCCCTTTTGGTTCTGTTCCAGCGATGGTCGTCCGGCCTTGTCTGCTTCCTCATCGGTTACCACCCGTTCGCGAAAGACCAGGCCTGTTCGCTACTCGCCATCCTGCACAGAGTTCTTAACAAGGATATTCTCTCAGCAAGCGGGGATGCTAGTAACGAAATCCTCGTTGGTAGCAGCCTCGTCAGCACCTCAGAAGGCTCCTCTGGTATAGCGGAAAGCTCGGACGATGGCGACGCGGAAACAGGGATCGTGTCAACCGCGTCGTCGTCGCTTGCCACGTCAGACACGACCGTTGGCGACGGCGACGCGACTAAGGACGTCCATAAACCCGCCCTGAAAGAGCTGTCCGGCGAGATTCTCGAAGCCATCAGCCAAACCATGGCATCCACGTCAGCGCGCTATCGTGGCGTGGCGGGGAGCGGCCTACCGTCCTTAGATCCCTATCCCGACGCGCCCGATGCGTACTTAACTAGCGTTCAGGAGCCGCCGCCTTTGCCGGGGAGTGATGGAGATAGCAGTAGCGAGGATGAGGATGAAGCGGCGGGAGTGGCGAGGAGACGGAGGGAGAGGGAGAGAAGGAAGGAGGAGAGGGAGAGGAGGGAGAAAAAAATAGAGGATGGGAAGAAGGACAAGGAAAGTGGGGCGGAAGGGGGAATGGCGGATGAGGGGAGCGGGGTAGGGATGGGCGGAAAAGCGGAGGGCGTTGCATCTGAGGGAGGGGGAGGTGGGGGGGAAGGTGCGGGGGGAGGGGGGAAAGGAGAAGGAATGATTGTTGCAGCACCAGCAGCAGAAGCAGCGGAAACAGGAGCAGCAGCAACAGCAGCAACAGCAGCAACTGCAGCAGCAGGAGATAGCCGTTTAAAGAGCGCATCTGAGAAAGAGAGTGCGCGAAGAGGGGGGCAAGAGGGACGGGAGATAGAGGAGAATCGACCCCAGGTTCGGTCCCCCAGGCCTCAGGCAGTAGACATCTCGGTCGGGGTCCGGGATCTCCCGAGCCTAGCTCCGAACCTCCCGCCGTGGCTCGGCACCCCGCTGCTGGCCGAGGCAGCGGGAGGTGCGGCGGCAGCGGCGGCGGCGGCGGAGTGCGCGTCCCCCGACATTGGTCGGTGGCGGGAGACGCGCATCCAGGAAAAACAACGCGCTGCTGGTGGACTGGCGGGGAGGCTAGTAGCGGGGATGAGTGAGAAAGCGCGTGGGCAGGATGGGGAGTGTGAGGAAAGAAAGCAGAGCGAGCTTCGGGAGCAGCAGCAGGAGGAGCAGCAGGAGCAGGAGCAGGAGCGTGGGAATCACGGGCACAGGCAGGGGGACGAACGGCAGGGACAGGGCGCGCAGGGAGAGGGACAGGAGGGGCAGGGACAGGGGCAAGAGGGTGAGGGTGCTGAGTTCGGGCCGTCGGGTTCGTTTTCCTACTCGGACGGTGCGAGGCAGCAGGAGGGGCAGCAGCAGGGACAGCAGGGAAAGGAATCTGAGGGGCTGGAGGTAGAAATTCTAGGAGCGATTTCGCTGGGCAATGAACCGCTGGAGCTTCAACCGCAGCCACAGCAGCAGCAGCAGCCGCAGCCGCAGCTGCAGCAGCAGCAGCAGGCGAGTATTTGGAGCCGCTTCTCTGGGCGCGCCCCTTCCCCGTCCCGCATGCTGCGCCGAGCTCTCACCCCCCCTCGCTCCGCCCGCACCCCCCCGCGCTCCTCCCCCACTCCCCCCCGTTCCACCCCCACGCCCCCCCGCTCCCCTACTCCCCCCCGCTCCCCCACCGCCCCCCGCTCCCAGACCCTTCCCTTCCCTGTAACCCCCCCAAGGTCCCCCAGTGGAGTGTTCGCGGGAAAGGGGGCGCAGGGGGGAGGGGAGAAAGCAGGGTGGCGCAGGCGGCGGAAAAGTGAAGGGGGGGGCGGAAATGGGGGATGGGCGGAGGGTTTGGGCGCGGAGGGGGGAGGCGTGAGCAGGCTGAGCAGCAACAGCAGCGCTGGTGATGGGGAAACAGCTGCTGCTGCTGCTGCTGCTGCTGTTTCAGATGCACGCACTGATGCTGTCGCTGCTGCTGCTGATGCTGTTGCTGCTGCTGCTGCTGCTGCTGCTGCTGCTGCTGCTGATGCTGAAAGGGCAGCAGCGGAGGCCAATCCACCCTATGCCATGAATCGCAGCAGCAGCACCGATGGAGTCACAACTCACTCCACCACCACTGCCACCACTGGCACCACCAGCAACGCCAGCAACACCACCAGCACCACCAGTTCCAGCAGCGGCGGCAGCGGCGGCGGCGGCGGCGGCAGCAGCAGTGGCAGCAGCAGCGGCACGAAGATGGGTCGGTTCATGCGCTGGTTTCCCAAAAAGTCCAGCTCAACGTCCTCAACCGTGTCCTTGCCTCCCGAGCCTGCGTCCTCTGAGTCCCTTGAGCCACCACAAGACTCCGCGTATTCCACTGACCTTCCTTTGTCAGGCGACCCTGCACCTGCTCCCCCTCCCTCTCGTTCCATTGACCCTCGTTCCACTGACCCTCCTGCTCTTAACATGCCTATGAAGGGAGCTTCGCTTGTAGCTGAGTCTGCTGACGCATCTGGGGCAGCTGCAGGAGCTGCTGTAGTGGCTGTAGCAGCAGCTGTAGTGGCTGTAGCAGCTGCACCTTCCAGCCAATCAGCAGCTACAGCCACTGATAGGGTCCATCCACGTGGCACTCCAAGCTCGCCACGTCAGCTGCAAGTCAAGGAGGACTACCCAGCCCCGCCTCCCTCCGAACCCGAGTCCGAACCGGTTTCCGAACCTCCATCTGAACCAGCCTCGGAACACCTTTCCGAGGCTGTTTCCGAGCCTGCTATGGGGTTGGGCAGGGAGGATAGGGAGTACCACCCACGGATTCCGAAATCTGACAGTAATGATGGGAGGAGAGGGGTTCTTGTGACTATAAAGGGCCCTTCGTTTCCTGTCTTTTGCACTACAGGAGATACTGTAGATTCACCTGATAATGTCGCAGCTGATGCTAATACAGGTTTTGCAGCAGCTTCGGGGGATTCTGGTCCAGTGTCAGGCTCGACAGCAGGTCCGGCAGACGGCTCGGGTGCAGCAGGGAGAGCTCGAAGGAGGTTTGGTGTTTTCCGAAGCGCGTCGACGACTGGTTCGGCATTTGGAGGAGGAGGCGAGTTTCGAGAGTATAAGACCTTTAAGGAGCATCTTATGGACATGCACAAACCGCATCAAAAAGAGTCGCACAATAAGGAGGATAAGGAGCAGCGAGCGAAGAAGGAGAAGCGGGAGAAGGAGAAAAAGGAGTCAAAGGTAGAGGAGGAAGGCCAAGGGCAGCATCGGGAGAAGAAAGTCCTAGGTCTTGGGCTAGGCCTTGGCCTCCCATCGCTCTCCACCTCGCCTTCCCCCTCCCCATCCACCCCCTCATACCCCTCCTCTTTATCACACTCTTCGGATTCGCGCCTCCCTCTCACGCCGCCCACACAATCCCCCATCCGTTCCCCCATCTCACACTCCTCTCCTCTCTCTGCGTCTACCACTCCAGGTCGACACAGCCACCTCAGCACCGGCAGCAGTAGCCACAGTCCAAACAGTGGCTCGGGATCAGGTTCGGCGTCAGGTTCGGGAACAGGTTCGTTCCGGTTTATCAACCAGTCGATAGGTGCGGCCCAGCGTGCTCACAGGCTGGCAGCTCACTCCATCCGCGTTATAGGGCCTAAGAGGCTGGCTGCTGCTGTTGCTGCTGCGAAGCAGAAGCAGCATCAGCAGGATCAGGAGCAGGAGCAGGAGAAGGAACAGGAGCAGGGGAAAGAGCATATGAAACAGGAGCATCAGCAGCAACAGGATCAGGGTCAGGAGCAAGACAAAGAACTGACGAAAAAGGAGCAGCAGCAGGAGCAGGGGATGCAGCAGCAACAGCAGGAACGGGAGCAGCAACAGAATCAGAAGCACAAGCGCAGATATAGTCTGAATGACGGAGAAAACGTGAAGGAGTTGGTGCGGGAGGGAGAGAGTGTGGAGGGCAACAAGGAGGGGAGTAAGGGAGCAGAGGGAGAGGAGAGGAGTGGTGTAAGAAGAGAGGGGATAGGGGGAACTGGAGGAGGAGGAGCTACAGCAGCAGCAGAGGTGCCAGCAGCAACAGCAGCAGAAGCACCAGCATCAGCACCAGCACCAGCAGCACCAGCAGCACCAGCAGCACCAGCAGCAGCAGCACGCACAAGAAAAGGGCCACCAAAATCGGCTCCTTTAATTCTACCACCCGACCCTGCAGAGGGACCAGAATTATCAACCCACCTTGCAAGCCCAACCAGCCTACTTGGCCAACACACCCAACCCACCCAACACACCCAACACACCCAACATACCCAACAAGCCAATCTCACCTCCCCATCCGCTTCCACCCACACACCCGCCCACACTCTCACTCCACCCCAGACGCACCCGTCCCCCTCTCTCTCCCCTTCTCCTTCTCCCTCCCCGCGTTCTCGCAAGGTGCCAGGACCGGTGCAAACAACGGTGGAGGCGTGGGCGTGGTTGTTTGGCCGGGCTGTGTCGGCGGGGGGGATGGTGGGGGCGGGGAGGTTGGGGAAGAAACAGGGGGGGCGCAAGGGGAGTGGTGCAGGGGAAAGGGAGGGGGAAGGAGCAGGGGAGGGGTTGGTGAGCAGTTGGGATGGAGGGGAGGAGGTGAGGGATGGAGGGGGAGGGGAGGAGGGCGGGGTGCAGATAGGAATGGAGGGAGGGAGAGAGAGTGAGGCGGAGGGTGTTGGTGTTGCAGGAAAGGGTGAATTAACGGGAGAAGACGGGGTGGGGGAAGCAGGGGAAAATGGTGGGGGGACTGTGGAAGCTAGTATGGCTGCCACAGCATCAGTGGCGTAGAAAATCTTGAGGTGAGCTTGTCAGCATGTCAGGCAGCTTACTGTGTGAGTTTTGAAGGGTTGTAGTCCGTAGATACCGTATAACATCCTTTAGGAATTAACCTCCTGTGTTTCAGTCAGGATGTAGCTGCTTGTTTTCCGAAGTTGTGTGCACTAATATATGGTTTTAAAGATTGTGTGTTCAAATTTTGAGAATAATTTGTGGCGATATGATATTTCGCACTTGGTACAATGGAAATAACTTATTTTCGTACTAATTCCACACGTGGGGTTTATTGCACACCCTTCAGAAAAATACTATTTACAGGCATTGCTTACAATCTTCCTGAATGTACCTCATACTACAAGCAGATCTGCTCCAAGCGAGTACCCGTGCATCTTCCCAACCCATCTCTTCCAGAACTGCCAACCTCCTCTCCCCGCAAGTGCCGCTGGACCCATGGGTGAGTCAGTACCTTCGCAGCGGACGGTCGACGCGTGGGGTCTTTTTGAAGCATACACAATATTAGCATCTTCGCTTCTGCCGACACTCCGTCCCAGGAACCGCCAGGGAAGCTTACATGTGCGTGCAGAATAGACTCGAAAATTTCCAGGTTCGAGTTTCCCCAAAAAGGCGGGCGACCGCTTAGCATGACGAAGAGAAGAACTCCCAACGACCAGACATCCGCGGCGTAACCGTATTCGCCTGTGAGAACTTCGGGAGCAACGTATAACGGAGATCCCGCCGCGCCGCGTGCTACTTGGTGTGCTTCCAGCTCGATTGCGAGCCCAAAATCCGCGATCCTGACAACGAGGAAATCGGCGTCACCCTCGTTACAGTCTGCTTCGTTACAAGCCCCGTTTTCGCTAGGGAAAACTGAGTTATTAGGGAGGGTCTCCATGCTTAAGAGGATATTCTCCGGTTTCAAGTCGCGGTGCAGCACGCCGCGCGAGTGGCAGAACGCGACACCCGATGCGAGCTGCCAGAGAACCAGCGCCGCCTCTTCCTCTGTCAGCGAACCGCGTTGGGCGATCACGCCGAAAAGCTCGCCCGCGTCGCACAGATCCATGACCAGGTGCACTGAATCTGCGTCCTCGAAAACTCCGCGAAGCTGCACCACACATGGGTGGTTTGTGACTCTCTGCATCGTCCGAACCTCCCGTCGAAGCTTGTCCCGAGCGTCCTCCGTTACCAGCTGCCGCTTCGAGATGGACTTGCATGCGAAGGGTAACCCGGTTTCGCGGTGTACGCAGCGGCGAACTGTACCGAATTGTCCCGAGCCGATAATTTCAGAGTCGAGCACGAAAAATGTGTCAATACTGTGAACAGCCGGCCCAAAAATATTTTCGCTGAATGGTCTGCGATCGTTGCACTCGAGGAGAGTCGACGTGGCGGATTGGTTGGAGTAATCGCGTGCGAAAGGACGGGCGCAGTCGCTGGGCGAATCGCAGACGCGTTGCATCTTCTCCGAACGAATATGTCGTGAGTCGGACGCGGTTCGCTTTTGTCCAGAACACGCGGTGTACGATTGCGATTGCGTTGCGCGGACCGCAGTTACAGTGCACGCGGGCTTTGACTCGTTGGAAACCATGGCTGTGTTAGTAATGCAAATCGTGTAAATGTAAGAACGCCCGAGTGAATGAATATGTTCTTTTTGTCTCTGGAACACTTTGCGCTCTTTGCTGGATTCGCGACTGTAAAAAGGGAGCTCAATAACTGTGACTGCGGATCGTCGGTGGTCGAAAAGGCAGTTACGTTTGAATAACCTACGCAGAACTGGGTAGGCAATGGGCTATATATAAACGGTAACCTTCACTGCGCATTAGCTGAGCATTAGCTGCCGCAGAAACTACAACAAAGGCTCCAAGAGACGAGGAGGTTAGGGTTGAGTGAGGGAGGGGCGAGCGGCGAACAAGGGCGGAGGGAAAAAGTTACCACAGCTTTCAAACGAGCGGCGTACGCGATCTTCAGATTTCGTGATTTTCGTTCAAGTGAGGCCAAGAATCACCGCCACATTGGCACTGATCCGGGCGCGATTCGCAGTGGTGCGTCACGCAATGGGTGTGCATAAAATCAGACGTGATCTGCTTCGTTTTGCTTCCATACAGAAGGTAGAAGAGGAAACCAAATTAAATATCGTTGCACCAAAATGTAAGGTACTTCGCCCCTTGTAACCGAAGCTAAGAAAAAGATGCTGTGGCTGGATTTCGGTGGATACTTCCAGTCTAGAGATTGCAAGTTGGCGAAAAATGTGGATCTGGCATGGATGTGGTTTGCGGAGGAGGAAAAGAATACAGTACAGTACAGCAGGAGGCACAATCTGAATGTAGATCCGCTGCAAGGGACAGTATGGTGACTGTATTTAAAAACGACTCGTTATAGCTCCTTTTCAGTACTCCATGTTTTGTGATGATCACACCCTGGATTCACTCTTATGAAAAACTGAGGGTGCACTCAAACTGCATCACGCTTAATTGAAGTAATAGTCCGATTCCCTCTGAAAGGGGAAAAACAGGTATCTCTAAAAACAATAAGAACTTCAAACATGACCGATATATGTGTTTTTTTTTTCTCTTCGATCACAATTTCTTCGGTTATTTTCTCTCAGTTTTGGTAGCTATTTGGCAGCAATTTACCTTTAAATTTATCTATTATAAGCCTCTTTTATCCATAATTGATAAAAAGGTGTTCAAAATGTTTCATTTCTTCTTCCTTTTAGAGAGCCAAGTACCAAGTGTGATCTCAAATTCAAGTTTAGTAATTGACACAACTAGCGGTATTCTTCACGGAGTGCTTAAAAGACGAAAGAATCTGCCTCTATCGCATATTGGCTTCATTTCTGTCGCATGGGTGTGTGCTACCCACTCTGATGTGGCATTCGTCCAACCGACCAGTTCAGGTGCGCTGCCACTGTAGATATCAAGCAGGGAGGGTCCTTCGCCAGCTTGGTGACGCTGGTCGAGGAAATTTCGCGCCTGGCCTTCCCGAAACTGAAAAGACGCGACCATCATGATCCCTTGGGTTTTGGGACCGCCTCACAGCTGTTGCTGCTTCTCTTTCTGTCCGCTTCTTGGACCTGCAGACACCAGATGGTGGTGTGACTAGTGTCTGCTGCGCATGATTTGCACTCACGTGATTTGCACCCACAGAACGCAGTTTCATCGTCTTCACGTTGATTCTCGCCACATGAAATGATAGCTTTTGTCACGTGAGAACCCTGAAGTCAAATCTGTACAATAGTTGTTGGGGAGCCTTATTTTCATTGTGTTCCTCTCCCGAATACCCACCCAATCCGGGTCTTTCTCTGGAAAGAATATGGCCGACCCGAACTTGGTTTAGGCTTTTTAATCGTGGCTGAATCCCAGTTTGTCGAGCCAAAAACCTACCTTCACGAACCAGGCGTCTCCCTGTATACCTTAATTCGAGTGTTCTGTTGTAAAACCCTTCATGTTGTCGTCTAGAATTAACCCTGAAACGCAGGGATACTGAACAAATGACCCGTTTCTCCGGACCTTGGATTCCCCACCGGCCAGTCGGCCCTCATGAACTGTACACCCTGCAAGCTCGAAATTCAGGAGAGGTTCTAATCAGCTTGAAACCCATTTGTGTCGGTGACTCGGTGCACAGATCGGTTCGAAATGTATGTCAATAGGACGACGGACTCGCTAGATCATGTTCGGTGACGCGACATGGCTTGCCAGCAGGTCCATTTTCAGGTGGATCATCATGTCATCTTAGACCGCCAATTCACACAATCTGGTTGGATCTGCTGCTCTGCTGTCATTCGATCTCGCGCGTCAGTTTCAGCTGTCACATGGGCAGACGTGTGCTGCTGATGATGGCAAGCTGCTGATTTTCAGCTACAGTGCTGCACTGTGCAGCCTCCTTGCGTGCTGGATGTTGATCGAGTGCCCAAATGGAAACCACGTGGAGGATTTGCGGGTTTTGTAGACACATGGGTAAACATCGGTTAATAGTGCTTTTATAGCTTTATTAACGGGTAAGGCTAGGCAAATAAAATTCATGAGCCTGATTACGCGCCTCAGTTGGGAAACAGGCTTGAGAATCGAGGATTCACTCACGGGTTGTTGTCGCACTTCTGGCAGAAGTTTTCAATCACCGTCGCATCCAATCTGGTCCCTAGCAGTTTCCGTCGCTGCCTCCTGCATGCCCCTTTAGAGCAAGGACAACCCAACCTTACCCCTTCAAGAACCTCCCAACCGAACCTGTAACCAGCTGGTGCTGACTCCAACCAACCAACTGGCCCGTTTCACCCACTTCCCAAAACCGCCCCCATCGTCGACTATATAACCCATTCCCACCCCCGTCTGTCACTCAACTCAACCCAACAGGTTCTGACATCCTTACACATACCTCCCGTAGTTCCCTCTGTGACCAGCCTAGCAACTCCCCTCGCTCCACTCGCATTTTCGGAGTTACGCCCAATCGCAGTCCTCATGGAAGCCTCTGCCAGTGCCGTTCCAGCCCAGCGCTCGCACACCCTCCGCACTCACAGCAAGCGGAAAGCCGAGTCTACCGATGCATCCGCAACTGAGGGCCCTTCCGCAAAGCACTCCTGCCCCAGCCGTTTCTCGACGTCCGCCGCGACTTTCTCCGTCTTCGACATTCCCACAGGCCACCTTCTTGACCATTTCACGCTCGAACCCACCGTCCTGGGCGCCGGCCAATACGGCACCGTCCGTCAATGCGCCGACAGATTGACCGGCCAGCGATTTGCGTGCAAGACGATTCAAAAGAGCCGTTTGGTAACGGATGCGGCTCGCACTGAAGTCCGACGTGAGGTCGCTCTCATGTCCCGCGTCGCGAACCACCCAGGCGTGGTGGGCCTACGAGCTGTTTTCGAAGACGACAAAGAGGTACATCTGGTGATGGATCTGTGCGAAGGCGGCGAACTATTTGACGAGGTTGTGCGATTCGGGAGGCTGTCAGAGCGCGACGCGGCACTCATTTTCCGGCAACTGGCCTCCGGTGTCGCTTTCTGCCACTCGCGCGGCGTGCTTCATCGCGATCTTAAACCTGAGAACATCCTCCTCCACAGATCAGCCCCATCTGGCGCCGTCCCCGCATCTCCCGCCGCAGATCCCGCTCTCGCCGCGCCTCAGTCCCTGGAATCCCGCGGCCTTACAGCGAAACTTGCAGATTTCGGCCTTTCGATCGCTCTGGATAACGGACGCATGGGGTACGGTACAGCGGGCTCGCCCTTTTACATGTCTCCCGAGGTACTCACTGGCGAGTATGAATACGCAGCCGACGTGTGGTCTCTGGGCGTGATTCTCTACATAATGCTCTGCGGCCGACCACCGTTCTGGGGGAAAACCGACGCCGCGGTGTACGATGCGATTCTGCGCGGGAAACTGGACTTTTCGGGGCCCGCATGGGCGGGAGTGTCGGTCGAGGCGCGCAGCCTGATTCGATGCATGCTCCAGAGCGACCCGAGGCGGCGCCCGACGGCGGTGAAGGTGCTGAGTCACCCGTGGGTGCTGCTGCACCTGTACGGTATCCGCGCTGTAAGGCAAACCGTTGTTAGCAGCGAATCGGAGGCGAGCGCGAATCACGTTGCGGTTTCCGATGGCGCAGCGGCTGCTCCTGCTGCTGTTGGCGCTGCGGCCCAGCGTGCTGCTGCGTGCTGACTAACCAGGAGAGGATGACGCGAAGTCGCGACGCGACGCGACCTTCAACAATGTGTGTTTCTACGAGGCGCGATTCGCGAATAATCGATAACTGCCCCTGTTGGGGACTGTGGGGTTGAGGTCAATTCCTTTGACCAACATATTGTTTAGGACCTTATTCTTGTACAAAATTCCTCCATGTTCTCAATGGAGCATTATTTATGACGAGCATAATTACACTTTCCACCCTATCTCGATAAATTAGCTACTGCAACACAAAAGTTGTGACAAAACTACATTACGATTGTTCGCTCCGAAGCACAATATCGGAAAAACCCCCTTACAATTTCTTCATAATCGGTGAAGCCCCTCATGTGTGCCAAATCTGCTCCCGTGAAACCCTCATGAGCTCCTGGATGCAACTTCTTCTCAAACAACGTTTCTCCGCGGCAGTACGCTAACCCCCCTCGAAACTAGTCGAAATTAGTGATGATCGGGCGCGCGCACCCGACGCGTCATCGAAATTAGTCCACCAGTGTCTCTCTCTCGCTAGTGTTTCTTCCGCCACCCCCTTCCGCCACCTCCACCAGTAATCCAACATCACAACCTGCGCAAGCAACATCGCTACCGCCGTCGCGACCGTTGCCGCCACACGTCGCAAACCCCTACGCAGACGATCCGTAAGATGCGCGTCGCAGATGACACCGCGACGAGCTCTCATCCGCTAGGCGCGAATGGCGATCGCGGCGCCGAACTAGACGATCGAGACGGAAGCGCTGCGCGCGCTGCTGCTGAAGTAGGCGGACTAGACGCCGCTGCGGGTAATGCGCGCAGAGGTGGCGGAGTCGGCGGAAGCGCTGGGGGGGAGGGCGGGGGAAACGCGGAAGGGCAGGATTGCGGAAGGGCGGAGCAGAACGACGGGGGAGGGGGAGCTGCCGCCCCCGCGGATCCCCCCCATCGTGTTCGGTTCATGCAGCTGCAGAAGTTTCTGCGAAGCTGCGACGAATCTGACTATAGCGCCCTCACCACATGTACTGCTCTATCTAGTTGCGTCTGTGTACATCGGAAGCCACAGGGTGTTTTTGAGAATTCTAAAAATTACCCTGCTCTATCTAGTTGCGTCTGTGTACATCAGACGCCACAGGGTGTTTTTGAGTTTTCTAAAAAATACCCTGCTCTATCTAGTTGCGTCTGTGTACATCAGACGCCACAGCCATACATGCAAACAACAACCCCTTCGTCTCTTTTCCTCTCCCCCTTATTTCCCTCCCTTTCCCTCCCCTTCTTCTCCCCACCCTCCCACCTCATTTCCCGTCTTCCTTATCCTACTCAACCGCCCTTTGTGTGACATCACCCCGTGCGTGTCAGCATAGGATCGCAGGTACACATATCAGCATCCTCCCCCCCATGCCCCTCTCTTCCTCCTTCCCTCTCCGCGCTTGCATGGTGTCCCCATCCCCCATACAGCACTGCTGTCCATGTCAGATTGGGACCACAGCACTGCTCTCTTTCGTGATATGAGGCCTCTACTCACGTGTTGCTTGCTTGAGATTGTAAAAAATAAGGTGGTTACAATCACGTGTTGCCTTTCGTAACCCCCGTCGCTGTAAATTTTCTTGTCCTCTGTTTATTATCACGCCACCGTATCGCTAGTTCTTCATCTACGAGCTGTCCCGGGAAAAACTATAACCCTACACCTCGGGTTGATGCCTCCTATGGGTTTATTGTTTTTTTTTTTTTCATATGGTACTTTTGTTCGTTTTGTTAACTATATAAACTAGTCATATTGAGAAATTCTAGTGTAGGTCGACCTAATTTGAGCAGGCTCACGCACCGTAACTGCGCTGCGAGGGTAGTCGACGGAATTGAGTCAGGCACGCAATCGGTCGCGTTGCACAATTGTCATGATTTCGACACCAATCGTACCATTCAGCTACTAACGCCATCCAACCAGAGTCTCAAGTTTTCCACAAATTTTCCCACCCTTCCTTCGGTGACACCAAGTTGATAGCTCACTACGTCACGAACCTTCAGTAGCTTTGCTCCTTGAAGATTTTGAATTTGCGAAACAATTTTCTCCTACGGGTCGTCGTACAAAGTTACTAGCCTTGTTTAAGACGCATGCACCCGCGTGCAGCGACGGGCTGGAGCTGCCGTAAGTGCTTAGCCTCCTGAGTGGTTGATCCCGAAGACCACCTCCAGGCCTTTATGGAATCGAGATCAGGGCTCCACACTCACGGAGCAAGAGGAGGAGGAGGATGATGTTGTGGTAGAGGTAATGCAAGGTGAGGAAGGAAAGTGACAAGAGGAGGAGGAGGAAGAGCATGAGAAAGCCGATTTTGGCTCCTCTTACTCCTCTTATCACTCTCCTTCCTCTACCACAGCATCATCCTCCTCCCACTCCCTCTTTCAGCGTTGCTGTCCATGTCAGCATGAGATCGCAGCCAGTTCTCCCTTTTTCTCCCACTCTTTCTCCCCTTCCCCCTTTCCCCCTCCCTCCTTCCAGCACCGCTGGCCTTGTCAGCGTGGGACCGCAGCCAGTTCGCCCTCCTTCTCGCACTCGTTCCCCCTCCCCCCATCCCTCCTCCATTTTGCCTTCTTTCCCCGCTTCCCCTTCCAGCGCTCCTGTCCATGTCAGCGTGGGATCGCAGCCAGTTTGCCGCCCACACGGAGAAGAGGGCACTGCAGCTGGGGGCGGAGGAAGGTGAGAAGAGAGGGGGGGAGAAGAGGGGTGAGTGCGGCGATGGTTCAGATGGAGGGGGCAAATATGTGTGAGGTAGGGGGTTGGTTGTGCAGTTCGCCACCCACGCCGAGGCGAGGGCGCTGCAGCTGGGGGCGGAGGAAGGTGAGGGGAGAGAGGGGATGCGGGAATGGGGCCTCGAGGGGAGAAAGGGGGTGGGAGGGAAGAGTGACTTGTGCAGTTCGCTGCGCGCACGGAGAAGAGGGCGCTGCAACTGTGGGCGGAGGAAGGTGAAGGGGGAAGAGGGAGAAGAGGGAAAAATGAACGGATAGGTGGGAGACAGAGGGGTTATTGGCTGGGCAGTTCGCCGCCCACACGGAGAAGAGAGAGCTGCAGCTGGGGGCGGAGGAAGGTGAGGTTGGGCACTGCGGCTGAGGGTAGTGGGAGGCGAGGAGAGGGGGGATAGGAATCAATGAAACAAGGACTTACCGAGAGAGCTGGAGAGCTGGGAGGCGAGAGGGGAGGAGGGGGGGATGGGATGGGGGGTCAAGGTTGTGGGGAATGGAAAAACATTGAAAGGGGGAGAGTTCTGCACGAGGAAGTTGCCACTCGCAAGTACAGCAAGCATTTCCCATGTTTATGTTTATGTTTATGTTTATGGTTTTTTTTTTTTTTTTTTTTTCCCGTTTTCGCCTTACCTCTCTACCTTCCTCTCCTGCCCCTTCACCTGGTTGTATTGTATCAGCCCTTGAAATGAAGCGGGTGAAACGGCTCAACGTGCTCGGGATGAGGCGGCAAGCAACCAACCAGCAGAGCACTCAAGATCAGCCTTTAGAGTCACACCCACTCCCGCCACACACGCACTCACAACCTCCACTGTCACACCCGCTTGTGTCACATTCTCAAACACAGGTGGAGTTGCATCAGGGGTTGCAGGCTCAGCCGCAGTAAGAGGAGTATGATAAATACAGTTGGGTGTACAGTCCAACCTTGCCTGGCATTCCCCCTGCTACATCTCAGCGCTGGATTACCAGTTGTTGGTCCTCTCTACATAGCAACCTACTCGTTATAGTCACTTCAGTTAGTGGAGCTGCACCAGATGGAGAAGGCAAAGCCCTTATGCTTCGAAGTCCAAGTACCTAGGACCTCCCCGTCTCTAGTTTCTATTTTATCCAACTAACAAGCAGTTTTTTTCATGCTATCACATGCTGTTTCTATTTCATGCTGTATTTTTTGTCCACTTTGAATTCAGCTGTCTTCAGGTGTTTTAGTTTTGGTTCAGACAATAAGGGCGCATTCCTGTGTCGACACAAATGTCTCAATCCCTGTTTTCCCGAGTCGCGTCGAAACATTTTGGGGATCTCGCGTCACAAAAAATCAATGTATCGCGAAACTAGGCGACCATGCGAAATACACAGTTGGGCGCAATTGATTGGGTGAAAAAATTTACTGTACACCCAAATCTTCAATCGCGCGGCTGTGGTGTGGTTTCGACACGCGGGATTCTTTCCCGCGCAAAATTGGCATTTCGGGACGACCAGGTACATTGACATTTCGAAGCGCATGCGATTTTTTAAAAATGACGAGTCGGTTTCCAATTCGTTAACGACGTCAGCGCGTTTCACGCTGACCAATAAAAATACAGTACTGGTCGCTAGAAAGCGACTCGCGTTTGAGACGTTGTACGTTTTATGTCGTTTTTTCGCGTCACAAACGCTTTGAGACACATGTGTCGACACAGGAATGTTCCCTAAGTTTACTAACGTTGTGCAAGAGTTTACTTCCCAGTTCTAGCTAAAGAAAGAGTCACTGGACTCCGCTTTAGCGAATCATTTTTCCGCTTGGACGGAGAGAGCGCCAAACTGGCTCTGAGTGAAATGTCGACGAAGTTTTGACGAGGGTTCGCATTTCCTCTTTAGTTTCATCGTGGCTCGGCGACGGGATTGACGAGATTGGCACGTGGTTCACTCTGAATGGATTACTCTCTCGCTGACCACCGTCTGTTTGGCGCGCTTCTATCCAGACTGGCTGTATTTGACTCGAGTCGACGCGCAAAACGACAACTGCTGAATTTGTACAGCTCAGCCCCGCGCGTCGGAAACTCCAATCAGGTCCACCCGTGGACGGAAGCGCCCTGCCACCCCAAACTCCTTCTGGCCAATTGGCGGCCGAAATGGCTACACCCTCCGAGGCGTCCTTTGCCGCGCATGGCGGCACTTTTGCTCTCGTGACTCCTCCCTGACTTGTGACTTGTGAGTCGTGCGTGCGTGATGCTACGCAAAGCACGCAAAGCATATTCCCATCAACCCAGAGCAGGTAACGAAGGCTCATATAGACCTCTAGATAAGCGCCAAATCAGTCAGTTCGCACTTCTGGAGCTGAAACTCAACCTTCCCAACTTTCCCCGCCTTTCGACACTAGCTCTTATCTCACTCTCCTAGCATCAGAACTGGATCGCTTTTCGCTATCCCCTTCTAGTACCGATTGCCGTCACGAGTCGTTCGGGAAATGGCCACCGATACTCTCTCGTTTCTGCCTGCTACCGACTTACCAAAGTTGTCCGCCGCATCTAATTGCGGATCTTCTAGTTCCCGTATGGAACTACCACGCAGATTGATCGTCCGCGACGGATCCGACAATAGCGATGTTTTGGCGTACGTTAAAGCTCTAACCGGATCCATCGGCAGCAGTCGCCTATTTGGACTCAACATGGCCTTCGACGGATTAAAGCCTAATCGTCCGTCCATCGGAGAATGTTACCGCTTCGGAAGGGAGCTTGGGCGAGGCCACTTCGGTGTGGTGCGAACGTGCTCGGACAAGTCGACGGGAGAGCATCTAGCATGCAAGACGATTCTCAAGGACAAGATACAGGTACGAATTCTTCTTCGTCCTTTTACTACGCTTAATCGGGCTGCAAAACGGTGGTTGCGATCCGCTTCAGTAATTTATAATGTTTTTTTTATATATATAATAACGCAGAAAGAAGAAGACCTGAGGGAGTTCGCGGCGGAGATGACGACGATGATTCATCTGCACGGGACGCCCGGCTTGGTTCAGCTGAGGGAGATATTCGACGACGACTTGGCGGTGCATTTGGTCATGGAGTTCTGCCAAGGCGGCGACTACTTCGACCACATCGCGAGGAAGAAGCGACTCTCTGAAGGCGAAGCGGCGAATATCTTCAGGTACAGAGGCCATCCGTTTCAGGAGTTTAAGCATGTAGAAGGCTCATGGTGCAACTCTTTTTAGCCTCAAGTTGTTCTGAGAGTGTTAGTCGGCTAAAATAATATCTGTGCTATCATTTGTTTTTTGTTGGCAGGCAAGTGGTGGTTTCCGTCAACGCCATGCACGGTAAAGGCTTCGTCCATCGCGATCTCAAACCGGAGAACATCCTCATCGCGAAGCCCGCGTCACACTCTAACGAGGATGTCGAAGTGAAGATCGCGGACTTCGGGCTGGCAATCCCCGTACACGAGGGAGAGGGAATCAAAGGAGTCGTCGGCAGTCCGTTCTACATGGCGCCTGAAGTTATCAAGGGGAAACTCTATGGTGTCGAAGTTGACGTGTGGAGTCTCGGAGTTATCCTCTACACCAGCCTCGCAGGTATTGGATGCAGATCAATCTCCAAAGTTTCTAATGTTTAAAGGAAATACCGAGTAAATATTATCCTTTTTTTATGATTACCAGAAATTACTTCTAGTGACACCCTCGTCCCTTGCTTTTCTTTCAGGAGTCCTTCCGTTTTGGGGAAAGGGTCACCAAGCCGTTTTCACCGCCATCTGCCGCGCTCAGCCGGACTTCGATCGCAGTCCCTGGCCGTTGATCTCCACCGAGGCGAAGCATCTCATCCGTCGGATGCTAACGCTCGACCCGACGAAACGGATACGCGCGTGCGACATCCTCGAGCATCCCTGGATGAAGTCGGCCCACGCAAACGGGGCTCCGCGACGTCGCAGCAGCCTTCTGCGAAAAGTTTTTGGCGATATCTCGGTTCAGTGGCCCGCGAACCTGATTCCCGGAATTTCCGGGCTCGGAGGGGCCGCTCCTGCTCCGCCTGCGTCTACACCTGCGGATCCGGTTGCGACGAGCGACGACAGCAAGGCGGAGACGTGTTCTGCCAAGGAAGGCGAAAAGGGTGCTTCTGGCCCGTCGATTCCGCCCGCGTCGCCCGCCAAGGACGCTGCTTCGGAAAGCGTGGAGGTCAAGGACAGCGCGTCGGAGGAACGGAAGGCGGTGGTTCCAGTAATGGTTCCAGCTCCAGCGGTGAACGGCTGTGTGGCGAACGGGGATGAGGGGAGCGGAACAGCGGCACTGCGCGCGCTGAAGCCCGTTCCGAACCAATCGAGGGAGAATGCGGGGGTCACGACGGCGGGTGTTCCGCGCTTCAACGCTCTGAAGGCTTCATGTATCGGCGCGGAGAATCATCCGCCAGCAGGGCAGCAGGTTATTTCGGTCGAGTCACATTCCGCTCCTCGAGTCTGCCCTGTGGGTGGAATTTCTGTTGATATCAGCTCAGGTTGCGTTTTTAGCAACGATTCAAGCGATGGGTGTAGCGACTCAACGGTCTACAGTGACGGAAGTACCGAGGCTGGCGATTTCAGCAGCGACGACAGTAACTCGAGTCAGCCACGCGAAGAATACTTGCCGTCGCCCAGGACCCCGCCTTCGCGAAGATCTGGAGCAGCAAATGAGCGGGAAATTGTTGGCAGCAGCAACAACGGTCAGAAGAACCGTCAGGTCCAGAACAACCATCAGCTAGCCTACTCCATCGCGCACCCGTTCCCCGGCCTTTACGCTTGTCCCAACTCGCCCAGTTTCACTCCATCGCCGTCCGCTATCGCCGGCGCGAATGGCGGTCATCAGCTGGGTCCGTTCGCGTCCGGCGTGGGATTCTGCTGGCCTGCCGGGATTTTCAGTCCGCCGGATAACGCGCGCGGGAGCATGTGTTTGCCAGATCAGCAGCAGCAGGTGTCGCCGATGTCGCCGCGTCTCCCGCCGCAAGTGGGTTTCCCCGAGCTGCAGCCTCTGCCGCCGACGCTCTACTCCGCCTTAGGCTCTGAGTCCGCGTCAGCGACGCCACTGCTACGGATGCCAATGCCGACGCCGGATTCGTCGCACGGTTTCGTGACTCCTCAGTCGTCGCAGGCAGACGCGGGGGTTTCTGATCCGGCGCATCTGGTGGCGGTTCCTTCGATTTCGGACAACATCCCCGTTTCACCGTCTCAGCTTTCTTCGTCTGCCACCCTTTCATCCGCGCCCGAGTCCGTCGCGCTGGAGATCGACCTTGTCGCAGCGTGGGACGAGCAGGAGGCTGGTGCTGCGTCGCACGGCGACGACAGCGACTCCGACAACGGTGGCGACGCCGTCGACGGCGACGACGAGGAGGGAGCAGCGGATCCGGTGACGGAGATGGCAGCAGATGCTGTGTCGGAAATGGCGGAAGACGCGGTATCGGAGATGGGAACAGGAACGCTCGAAGACCTGCTGGCCGCTGCCTTGGCGTTCGACTCCCCGTCTTCCGCGTCGCCCGCGTCGTCGCGCTCGTCCTCGTCGTCGGATGTCAGCGCCGCGTTCAGCCTGGGCAGCAGCAAGCTATCGTGGACCGGCTTCAACCCCCCAGCGCTCCCCGCGCTGCCCTCCCCCGCGCCGCTGCCTGCTGTCCCAGCGTGGCCGCCCAACGGGGAGGTGGCGCCGCTGCGGCATGAGGTGTCACTGGATCCGCAAGGGACGCCGGTTTTGGGGCAGGCCGGTGTGGGTAGTCCGAGTCCGTCTGCTGGTGGTTCACTCGTCGCTTCTCCAGGGTCGCTCGTTCCTGCTCCCTGCTCGCCCGCCGCTGCTGCTAGTCCCCAGGGTCGTAGCCCAGGGTCCGTTCTGGAAGGGGTTGGAGCATCTCCGGAGACCAGTTCGCGAGTAGGAGCAGGAGCTGCTGCAGGAGCTGCTGCTGGGGCTTCTTCTGCTGCTGCTGCTGGTGCTGCTGGTGTTCGCCGTCTTCCACTTCCTTCTCAGTGTCAGCCTATTCGCGGTGTTGGTGCTGGCAATGCTGGTGCTCCTGTTGCTACTAGCGGTGGTGCAGTGGTTAGGGGAAAAGAGGGGCGGAAGGTGGAACCGGTTGGGTGTAGCAGTGGTGCAGCTCTGTTCTCGGGACCGCTAGGGCTTGGAGGTAGCTCTGCGGCTGGTGCAGTTGCCTTGGCCATCAGCAGGAAGCAGATGAGGTGAATGGGGGAGCAGGATCTAGGTTGAGAAAAGTGGGGAGGGTACAGGAGCAGTGAGGAGCAGTGAATTACAATGGCGCTGGACAGCTTTTTGTTGAAAGTTCTTATTCACGTCTGAGGTTATTTATGATTACCGGTAGCAGGGGTAAGCGTAGCAGACTAGCAGTCACATATGGTTGGCATCAATCCAGTGGATATGTAGTGGTCAACTTGTGTTGACTTTGTTGTAGTTATGTACCTTGCTGTCTCAAAGAAATATAGGAATAAAGTATGTATCTTGAAAAGCAGTTGGTTGAAGTATGTCTGTAGATACGCCTGATAAGCTAGATTGGTAGATTGCAGACTCAATTATCCATTTACGGGGTTTTATATCAGTACTCAAACGCGTACTGGATGACGAGCTGCCTGTCCACCAATCCATTGCTCGCCACTTGGCGGCTGCAGATCCCCTGGGCATCCTCGGGAGCCTCTCGGTCATGCGGGGAACTTGCGGTCCCCGTCTGCGGAAGGGTGCGGAGGTTCCTGTTCAAAGGCCTCGGATGTTTTCCCCTGCATCTTTTTTCTCCCGCCCGCTCCTCCCGCCCCTCCCGCCCTTCCCGCTGCTCCCGTTGTACCTGCTCGTTCCGCTGCTTTCTTCCCCCATCTGAGCCCTTGGTTCAAGCTGACACCTCCCTTGGGATGGGATGGGAGTTCCAAACTGGTTTTTTTTTCCGAAGCAGATTCGTCCGCCTTCCTAATAACTGACACCTCTGCGTTACAACGCTCGCTTGTGCTATGTTTTGTGATGGAAGCAGGCGATTGCCAACGTCGAGTCGCGTTTTTGTGTGATAGTCTTCACTTTGTACGTTTCTCTTGTCTTAAATAAGGAAATAGGGTTTTCCGATATCGCATTCTCCTCCGCTCATTGGTGTCGGGATTAGGGTTTGCCTAAGAACCTTGTCAGGACACAAGGAGTCCCTCTCTAGGCCTTTGGTCTTCTCGGTGATAAACTGTTCTGTAAGATTATGTACCATTAGAAACGATTCTGGACGATATCGTGCGGTTCTCGCTCCGGAGCCACGCGAAGCGGCTCCGGTATGAGAAAACTCGCGCTATGATTCATGGCAAGGTTAGCGAGCCACGCTTCAGAGAAAGCGGAGGGCTGTTCGGGAGGAAGTGTCGAATCGTCGTCCGGTGCTGAGGAGGATAGTAATGGCAGCGAGGAGCTTCCTAAGCCGGCGGAGATCCCAAGGCAGACGGAAAATCTGACGGAACGGGGGTTTTCCAAGCAGGAAGAGGTTCCGAAGGAGATATCCGCGTTAGAAGGTGAAAGATGTCGTCTTGAGGAGTCGGATGACGCGAAGAAGCAGGATCCCGGGAAGGGAGACGACAGGCCAAAGGAATCTTCAAAGAAGAAGCGGGTATGTCAGCTTGTCTAGTCAAGTGTGCGTCTTGTTTGTCGTGAATATGCTTGTCTGGCGAGGCTAGCCTTAGTGGTTTCTGTACTGGTGGATTGCTTCCTAAGAAATATATTTTGCTAGTTAGTCAGTCTTTTTTCTATGAGAGGGTAAGATAATCCAATTCGAGCCTTTCTGTCTCATTTCCTTCCCTCCCCGTATCTCCCTCTCCCACTCTTCACTCTCGTCTTCCTCCGCCCATCCGTCTCTTGCTCCCCTATCGCACCCCTTAATCCTTCACCTTTCTTCCTCCACGTGATTGAAGAAGTGTTTTGAGACGTCTCAAAACACTTCTTCATCCGTCACTTGCTCCCCTATCGCACCCCTTAACCCTTCACTTTCCTTCCCCCCATCTTGCATCCCTTTCGTCTGCCATCACCGACTTACCCAACGCTCGCCCTTTCACCCCCGTTTTCCCCCCTCTCCCCTCCAACCTCCTCCTGTTCTTCCCTCATTCCCGCCTACCCCGTTCTTCCCTCATCTTCCTTACCGTACACGATGCTTATCTGTGCCGATTTGTGGCTGCTCTTGTCTGTTCATGTCATTTCGTGCCTGCTCGTGCTATCTCGTCCCTGCTCGTGTCTGCTCGTGTGTTCTCGTGGCTTCTCATGCCATCTTTTTTCACCTCATACTTTTGAGTCGGCTCAAAAGTCACCTCATACCTGCTTGTTAAATATCGTGTCCCCTCGTGTCGTCTCAGCACTCCAACAAGACCGCGAAGCTCAAGCAGAGCAAGTTAGATGCCCGCAGGGAGCAGTTTCTCGCGCAGGGTGAGTCGAGTCTAGAGTGACTTAAGTTGAAACGAGAGCGGGGTGAGTTGAAACGAGAGCGGGGTGAGTTGAAACGAGAGCGAGGTGAGTTGAAACGCGAGTGAGGGGATTTGAATGGAGAGCGAGGTTAGCTGAAACGAGAGAGATGAGCTGGAACGGGAGCAATGTTTGTTGATTCAAGAGCGAGATGAGTTGAACCGGGATGAGGGTGAGTTGATGAGAGCAGGGTGAGTTAATAGTCCATAGAACAGAGAGCAAGGCAAGTAACACGCCATTAGCGAAGGTGGCATAACAAGAAAAGTGTTGACTAAAACCCGTATGCCCTTTGATAGGTCTCTCTTTTTTTTCCCTCTGGGAGCCGCGTTTCCGGAGTTGAATCTCTTCTGTCTTTTTCCTCTTCACCTTCTTACGTGCTTGCCCAAACCCACTTTAAACGTCACTTTTCAACCATCTCCTGTTCTTGTCTCCCTGAACCGTATCTTATCCGTGTTGCCTTCCCCTGCAGTTGCTGCTGCCAAGGCGGCGACACCCAGCGTTCAGAGTATAAAGCTATCTTCCAAAGGCTCAGTCGAAAAGAGTCCCAGTGACAGAAAAGGTACCAAATCCGTGGAAGAGGGATCCGGTGTGACAGTATCGGGGGCTCATTCGGTTCATCAATATTCCCAGTTACTCCCTAACGGCGTTGCGCCTGAGAGTGACAGTAGCGAGCGTGACAGGAGCGAAAGTGCAGCTGCTGCGGGGGCTGCCTGGTTGAAACCCTGCGGGGTTGTACCTGGACCGTTAGAAGGAGCAGCGAATGCGAAGGAGGAGATAGGGCGTGATCATCAGTCGATTAGTGACAGCGTACCAGGTGTAGTATCCAACGCTTCCCTTGCCAATGGGGTCTTGGAGAAGAGAAGAGAGGGAGAGAAGCATTCGAACGGAGAGAGGAATCGGGAGGGAGCCAGAGGAAATGGAGGAGCGGTGGAGGCAGGAGGAGTGGCGGAGAAAGGCGGAGAGGGGGAGGAGGCGGATGAGAGGCAATGGTGGGAGGATTCTGATGATGACGAGGGTGATGCAAGGGAGGGTGACGCAGGGGAGGGTGAAGTAAGGACGACTGGTTTGAACAACGGGAATGGTGTGATGACTGGTGGGGAGGGAGATAGGGGAGGGGGAGATGTTTGCAGCATAGCTACGCCTGCAGATGAGGGTTTACGGAAGACTCGTTGTGAGGAGGGCGGGCAGGTGAATAAAGCACTGCGATTGGAGGAGGAGAATGATGTCGTGCTTGAAAGTTCAGTAGAAGTGAGAGTGGAAGGGACGTGTGAGGGTGCAGCAGCAGTGGAGGGGGGTAATGCAGCAGTAGAGGGGGAGAGTGCAGCAGTGGAGGGGCCACGTGGGTTGGGTTCTGGAACCGAAGCAATCAGCAAGAGCACGGCAGCGGTGGTGACAGCGACAGTGGTGTCAGTGAGTGATGTTGGGGAGGATGGGAGTAATGGGTCGGTGTCTTGCAGTGGTGTAGAGGCAGCAGCTCCGCTAGTGGTGGCGGGTCCCGCGCCTGTTGATGATGACGCGTCTGTTGGTGGTGCGTCTGGTGTTGCTGGGTTCTCTGGTACTGGGGTTAAAGGCGGAAAGAAGAAGGGGAAGAAGGGAAAGGAGGGGAAGGAGAGGAGGCAAGCAGGGGAGGTGGAGGAGAGGGGTATGGGAACGAGGGAGAAAATTAAGGAGATTGGAAGGGGGCAATTGGAAGGGGATGGTAAAGGTGAAAGCTCTGAGAAGTTGTGTAATAGCGCTGGGAGGAAAAGTACAGCCGTCATTGCTGATTGTAATAGCAATGACAGCAGGGAGGGCAGCGGTACTAGAGCATGCGGGGATGCTAGCAATTGCGAGTGTACTGATGCTGGTGGTGATGGCAGCGCTGGTAGCAATGGTTGCAGGGGGACAGGAAGGAGGAAAGAAGGAAGTGAGCGGCAGGGGAAAGGGAAGGAGGAGAGGGAAAGGACTGAGAAGAGTGAGAGGAACGAGAAGAATGGGAAGAATGCGAGAAGAAGGAAGAATGGGTTGGTCAATGGAACGCGTGGGATTGGTGGCTGTGATATCGTCTCTGGGAGAGTTGTGGAGCTGTATTTGAAGGGGAAGGAGAAGAAGAGCAAGAGAGGTGAGGGGAAGGAAGGGGAGGAGGGGGAGGAGGGGAAGGAGGCGAAGGAGAGCGAAGAATGTGCCAAAAATGGGGAAGAAGACGAGGGCAGAGGGCACCAGAGAGTGCAACAGGAAAGAAAAGGTGGGGGTGCGAAGCGCTCTATGAATGGGAGGCATGCACGTGGGGAGAGGAGCAAGGACGGTCAGGAGAGTATTGAGGAAGGCAATAAAGGGGATGAGAATGATCAGAAGCAAGGGCAGCAGGGGCAGGGGCAGGGGCAGTGTCAGAGGCAAGGGAAGGGGCAGGTGCAGGGACAGGGCGAGAGGACGGGGGACGGGGAGGGGGAGGGGGGCGGGGAGGGGGAGGGGGACGGGGAGGAGGGGAGTGGTGATGAGGAGGACGACTGGGAGGCAGCAGCAGACGCCATTTGCTCAGAGGTACAAGAAATCCTTGAAGAGAGTGTAGCTGAGGAGACTGGGGTGAGCGTGCAGGGCGTGGGGGGTTATGCTCAGGGTGTCAGTACCAGCAGTGCTGACAGCACAGCCACCAGCACAGGCCGCATAAGCAGCAGCAGTGGCAGTGGCGGCAGTGGGAGCAGCGGGAGCAGTGGGAGCGGGAGCGGAAGCGACAGCTACAGCAGGGGGAAAGGGTGGGGGGGTTCCGGGGGTCAAGGTGGGGTGAGTTGGGAGGGTGGGTTGCGGCCAGGGGTGGGGGTAAGAATGAACGGGCATGTGAGACATGTGAGCCATGGGGCACATATGGGGCATGTGGGGCATGTGGGTCACATAGGCCATGTGGGGCATGTTGTGTCTCATGTGTCTCAGGGTGGGTGGAGCGGCCATTCCGACTCAGCAGCTCCGTCTTATTCCGAACGATACACCTCCCCAGTGTCTCTCTTTCCTTCCCGCTGCACAGCCCCTCCATTCTCCTCCCCCTGGCCCTCCTCCTTCTCCACCTCATCCTCCTCCTCCTCCTCTTCCCGTGTGTCCGATTCCCAAGCTGCACGCCTCTCGTCCTCCTCCTTCCCTTCCTCCGCCTTCCCATCCTTTTCACCTACCACTCTCAGACCAAACCCTGCCCTACCCTCCTCCACCACCTCCTCCTCTCCCTCCTTCTCACTCTCCCTGGGCGGCACTCAGAGCATTGACTTCTGCAACGGGACAAAAATCACCGGTGGGGGGTTGAGACCAGAGTACACATACAACGCAGCAGGCATGGGGGGGAGGGGGCAGTTACGCTTCTCTCCTTCTGCCTCTGCCGCCGCTGCTGCTGCTGCTGGCGATCGTGGTTGGAGAACAGACGAGTGTGGTTTTGCTGATCTGAGGCGCCTCAAAAGCTCCTCTGTATCCACCTCCGCTGCCGCTACCGCTGTGTCATCTGCTTCTTCAGCTTCTGCGTCTGCTGGTGGTGGTGTTGCTGGTGCTGCTGGTGCCGCTTCTGCAGTGTCTGCATCTGCTGCTGCTAGTGAGCGAGCATGGCGACCAGACGATTCCTCTCGGCCGCCTTCCCTGCCCCCTCCAGTTGCTCTACTCTCCTCCTCTTCCTCCTCTTCATCCTCCCCTTCCGCTTCATCTCCCTCCTCTTCCTCCTTCTCTTTCTCGTCCCTCAACTATCAGAATCATCACCAGCAGCTGCAGCAGGAATTCGCACGCGCGCCCAGTTTTGCTCACATGAGCGGCAACAATAGCAGCAGCAGCAGCAACAGCACGTGGAATCCACATCACCGCTCCGCCTCCTCCTTCTCCTCTTCCTCCCCTCCCTCAGTCTGGACGTTGGCCAGCTTCATCCGGTCCCCCCATAACACTTTCTCCTCCTCTTCCTCTTCCTCCTTCCTACCATCCCACAACAACCCATCGTCACCACCACCAGGAGCATCACACTCATCAGACCCATCAGCATCAGCAGCGGCAGCAGCAACGCAGCTCTGCCCAATCTGTGCAGAGGAGCTAGACAACACAGATTCCTCCTTCCTCCCCTGCTCCTGCGGGTTCCGTCTTTGCCTCTTCTGCCACCACCGCATCGCATCAGACGACGGACGCTGCCCGGGCTGCCGCCAGGCCTACAGCCCTGAGGTAGCTGCCAAGCTCTCCCGCCCGCCCAACCTCAAGCTGCGGTCATAGCAGCAGCAGGACCTTTCTCCTTGCACTTCTGCGTGTAATGAGTCGAGTTTTGAGTCGACTCAAAACTCAGCAGCAGGACCTTTCTCCTTGCACTTCTGCACCTTCCTTCGTTCAGCTGCTGCCGCTCCCTCTTCCTTCTTTTCCTTCCATCCTTCCACCTCCTCCCTCCTGCTCTGCTTCTATTGATGATGGTCGTTACTCCAGTTGAGCTCCCGAGTGAGCCGCTTAGCTCTCCCGTTCCCCCTACCACTAAGCTCCATATGCTGCTGTTAGCACAGGGAGCGTAGATCCCTACACTAGCGGCTAAGCCCTTTCCTCTTTAGCGTCGTGTCACAGCAGTGTTGTGGGCGAGAACTGCAGGAGTGAAAGTTTGGTACACCCATACTCCAACCATTATGCGTATTCGGTCTTACTGGTATGGCTCAGTTGTGTCCAATAGTTTTTTTTTCTGCACTTGCTTTTTGATTGGATTTTTGCCCCAGTTTTGTTCATGTGCCTGCATCTCATTTTGGTAATATTACTAGAGTGCTGATGTGTGCATTCTTTGAAGTTGTGTGTCAAAGTCTTTCTTGCTGTGCTGTGCTTCTCTTTTTACAAAGATGAACTGGTTTTGCTGTTTCACAGGCCACAGACGGTTTCCCCAAAACATAAACCTTCGGAATATGTATATTTCAAAGTGTGTAACACTTTCCAAAAACACACATTTGCACAAAGAGCGCCACCTTGGAAGTTAAAGCCAGCAACTAAAATAGTGAACCCTTGGCCAGCTTGAAAAGTGTGTTGCGATAAGAATTTTTGAAGCGAAGCGAGAATGAAACAAGTCTGACAATGTGGGCAGAGTGAACTAAGGGCGTGGGCAGCGCGTTCATTTTCTCCACTTTTCCAAAATTTTGACGCCCGTCGAATCAGGAAAATACTGTAGCATTTTTGCACCGCGCTTAGTTTGTGTCCCAGGTGGGACACGCGCGTCCAGAATTAGGCACGGGTCCCGCCACACTTTTGCCCAACCGCCCACCCAATGAGGTAACCCTGTGCTAGTGGATCTGGTGACGGGGCGCAGTACGAAGCTGTATTTGTGAACCCATGAATTTGCGAGGGTCGTACGCGCTTGACGAACTCGTGGTGCGGTTTCGCTGACCTGCACACAGGCATTCTCGAATGATGCGCGTGTTGTTCGCGGCCGGTTGATGGCACGGAAAACAGCCACCGTTCATCCACTGTATACTCCGTCGTGTCCACTCGTTACTCTAAATCAGGGTTACAAACCTCTGAATCTGGTAACTGTTTCGGGCTAAGCCAAGAAAATGAACGCGCTGCCCCCGCCCTAATGTGATTGGCTTTCGCCAATCTGGGGATGTTTTGGCGCCCACCAAAATGAGCGTTCACGCTATGTCAGACGTCGCATGTCTGCCTACTGCACCCGCGCGACCATTCTCTGACGATGGTCTTCGTCGCCAAGCCCAACTCCATTTCCAAGCTTGTCCTGGGTTCATATCTGACTTCCATTCCCATATCTGGTCATCGGTGTTTTCCATGGTGTTGCTGAGAGCCTAGGCGTTTCTGACATGGGGCACGGATTATCGACGAGGTCGTTAATTATCAACTTAGCATGAGTGTGTGATATAGTAATACGTGGCATAATAGCGCTATGTTGTTTTTCCCGCCTCGCGCAATCGTCAACGTCTTCGTCACCATGGCCTCACCCACCTTGTCTCCCGTGTCATCGCCCACCTTGTCGCTAACGCGCGCCCCCCAAAGCGACCTCCCGTCGCCCTTCCTCTCTCCTTTCTGATTCCCCACCTCGTCGCCCTCGCGCTCAACCCGAATGGCCATCGCGTCCCTCCTAGTCCGCCAGGGCGCAAGCCCCAACCAGCTGGGTCGCGCACACGCGCGTTAGTTAGAAGCAAGCACGCGCGTGAATGCAGCCACTCACGCACACATAGGCAGCGCGCGAGCAGCTACAGCTACGCACGCAGCAGCAGCGCCCGCTGCGATCCGTCCCGCTCGCGACAGCAGCCACGCACGCACAGCTGCAGCAGAGCACACGCAGCAGGAACCACGATTGCAACTGTAACCGCGCACGCAACTGCAACCGCGCATGCAACAGCAACCGCGCACGCAGCAGCAACAGCGCACGCGCACAGCAACAACTACACGCGCAGAAGTCGTCGCACGCGCAGCAGCATCCGCACGCGCAGCAGCAACCGCATGCGGCACTGCCCCATGCACAACCGCGCACGCACAGCAGCAGCTGCGCATGCGTACAACTAGCCTAATTCTGAGACTCGACACCATTGCGCGCGCCTCGAATCACCCTCCCGTCGCATTTCCTCTCTCAACTCCCGTCGCCCTCGCGTCCCATCGCGTTCTTCCCTCCCACCCCGACATTGTCCCACAGGCCGATCCCCTCACCAACTCCTCTCCCTTGCCGTTGTTCTCACGATCGCGATTCCCTTCCCCTCTCGTCGTTTTTCCTCCAACCGCTCCCTCCCCGTCGTTTACCATTTCTCTCTTCCCAACCCGTTGTTTTTCATCTCTCCCTCCTCGCGTCTTTCTTCCTCTCTCCCCCCTCTCGTAGTTCTTCCTCTGTCCGCCCCCCTTCCGTCGTCTACCATTTCTCTCTCCACTCCGGTCCCGTAGTTCTTCATCTGTCCGCTCCCCTCCCACCGGTTTCCTCCCTCCCGACAATCCCCTCTCTTTCATCTTTCTTCATCTCTCTCCCCTCCAATCCCATTCATCTCCGCCGTCCCCCATGCTCTTACCCCATGACACCTAGTTACCCCTGTTCGCGTCACCTTTTCCATAGTCAATTCCCCCTCACGTTCATTTTTCTCCACTCCCCTGTATTTCACCTCTCTCAGGCCCCAAATCCAAGGCAACACTTTCACCATTCGGCTAGCTCTCTATTCCTGCTCTTGTGGCATGTGTGTGTGTACTTCAAAATTTGCTTGTGCTGCTACTCTCCGACTTTTGTGAAGGTGCCACTATTCCAGTGAATGTAGCATTGCACGTCGCGCATCCTTGCACCAAATTCGCACATGTATGTGCGATAAGTTTACCACCAATCGACAGTGAACACCAATCGTTCCCCTTCCCGTTCACTTCGGGACTCATACTGAGTTGAAAAAAAAGACACAAAACACTTCCAACTTCTCCAAAAGTTTCCAAGTGACTAGATGATTCTAGTTGGACCCAACTAGAAGGGGGGGGTCACTATTTTAGCTACTGGTTTTAAGAACTCACAACAAATAAACCTTCAGTCAAGTCAAATGGTACACTAACAGAGCACCTAGCTTATATAGGATATGCTAATTCAGTCAGCAACGTACAAAATTATGTTGACTGCCAAAAAGAAAATTGCTAACAGCTCTACATCAATCAAAATCACGCAAAAAGACAACGCCTGAGCGACGACATGCCGGGCATATCCACCAATCCTGCTGGACCGCCTGTCATGCCACCACCGTTCAAAACCAAATCAGCAGAAGAAACCGAACCAGATGCCATGGAAGTGAGGGCAGCAGAAGCCGGAGCAAGACCCCCAGCAGACCCGACTGACCCCCAGCTCTCATCAGCAAGAGTGCTGAAAGATGGTCCAGCACCAGTAGCAACTCCCTTCAAATGCACCACGCCATGTACATTTCCAAGCGTCAGCATCGTGCTGGCACATGCTGCTGTAACAAGGTTACCGCATGCTTTCGGGTTGCTGTTTTGCAGTTGTGTTGATGGCAGCGGGGCAGTCAGCGGGCTGAGCACTGTGCTGGGAAGGGATGGACCGAGCACCGGAGTTACATCAGGAGAAATGGGCGTCAAAGCAGGGACCGAGGAAGGCACACTCGCCTTAGACAGCTGTGCAACAGCAGGAGGAGCAGCTGTAGGAGCAGCAGAAGCAGCAGAGGGGATTGTAGAGGATGAGGAGGATTGAGAGGCGGACGCAGATGCACAGGAGGAAACGGAGGTGTCGCAGGCAGCTGAAAGAGCAGAGAGAGAAGCGACGGGCAGAGCGGAGGTAGCAGCAGCAGCAGGAAACGCGGCTGGCGGAAGCTGAAATTCTCCGGAAGTGGGAGGGGTAGGGATAGAGGATCCTGGAGTGCGGAGCGGTGGAGAGGGGTGAGTGAGAATAGGTGGAGCGAGGGTGCTGGATGGTGTGAGTGGCTTTCGAGCAGCGGACAAAGCAAGGGGTTTTCGAGCAAGAGCCAGGCAGGGGGATATGGGGGCGAGGTCCGAGCGGGCGGGGGAGGGAGTGGAGGTGCCTCGGGTGGGAGTGGAGAGAGTGGGAAGCCAGAGCAGGCGTTTCGGAGCCAACTTCCTCTGCTGCTGCTGCTGATGCTGATGGGGATGATGCTGATGCTGATGCTGGTGCTGATGCTGATGAATTTGTTCCGGGTGTTGGCTCGCCTCGTCCTGCTCCACAGGGCGGAGCTGGAACGTTTGAAACCGTTGCGTGGGACGTGACTGCTGCTGCTGCTGCTGGGATTGTTGCTGCTGCTGCTGCTGTTGTTGTAACGCGTAAGGTCGGAAGAGCGCCGGACCTTCCTGACTCTGCATCGGCTGCTGCTGCTGCGGCTGCTGCTGCGGCTGCTGCTGCTGCTGCTGCTGCTGCTGCTGCTGCTGCTGCTGCTGCTGCTGCTGCTGCTGCTGCTGCTGCTGCTGCTGCTGCTGCTGCTGCTGCTGCTGCTGCTGCTGCTGCTGCTGCTGCTGCTGCTGCTGCTGCTGCTGCTGCTGCTGCTGCTGCTGCTGCTGCTGCTGCTGCTGCTGCTGCTGCTGCTGCTGCTGCTGCTGCTGCTGCTGCTGCTGCGGCAGTTGTGGCGGGAACGGTTGCTGGCACCGTACCGGCGCAGTACGGCAGACAAACGGCGACGTGTCAACCACAGCCGACCACGGAGAACCCACCACCACGGCATTGCCCCCTCCTCCCAGCGGCGATCCAAACACGGGCGATGGCGCAACCCACTGCGCGTGCCCCGCGGGAGACGGCGGAACTGACGGCGCGGAGAGAGGCGACGGCGACCCAGCCACGCGCATCGCCGCAATTCTTCCCAGAATCGGCGTTACTCCAATCTGCGGGGACAGGAGCGGCGCCATTGCTGGCGTCATCGCTGCCGGCAGAGCAGCAGTCGGCAGGGGAGAAAGAAGCGCTGCGGCGACGCTCGTCGACCCACACGACCGCACCGGCGTTCCCACCGCGAACCCCGCGTGAGGCCCAGTTCGTGGTCGCAGGGGCGACGCGAACCCGCCGGTCACCGCGGCGCTCATGCCGCCCGCCCTTGCCTGCCGTCCGTTCATCGCGAACACCTTCCGCCGTACGATCCGCCCGCCGCGCGTGTGCACGAGGATCCACGGGTGCGCCAGGAGCTTGTACGCCGGAGGGCGGCGCGCGGGGTTTTTAGCTAAGAGGCACCGGACGAACAACTTAGCTTCCGCCGACACGCTCTGCCACGTAGGCGAGGAGAAATCCGGCTCGTCGTGGCAGATCGAGTGCATGATTTGCGCGTCGTCCTTCCCGCCGAAAGGCGGCGCGCCGCAGAGCAGAATGTAAAGCACCACGCCGAGAGACCATACGTCCGCGGCAAAGTCGTACTCGCTAGAAACAACCTCGGGAGCCATGTATAGCGGCGATCCCGCGATTCCCGAGGCTTTTTCGCCCTTGGCAAGGAGAACCGCGAGCCCGAAATCCGCGAGCTTCACCCTGACTGCTTCGCGCGGCGCCGCAACGCCTTTACCAGGAGCCGCAGGGACGGAATCCGTGCCGGAGACCGCGCCGGAATTCCCGCCGGAACGAGCGCTGGCAGACGACGACGCGGACGAGGATGCCGACGCTGCCGACGCGGAGAGGAGAATATTTTCCGGCTTGACGTCTCGATGCATGACGCCCTGCGAGTGGCAATACGCGACGGCCGACACGAGCTGCTTAAACACCCTCGCGGCCTCTTTTTCCGGGAACCTTCCCTGTCGTTCCACCGCCTCGTACAGCTCCCCACCGTCGCAGTAGTCCATGACAAGGTGCATGGATTCCGAATCCTCGTGCACGGATTGTAACTGTACGATGCTCTCGTGGCCCGACACGCGTTTCATCGCGGCGATCTCGCGTTTCATCTCCGCCTCGCCGAACTTGGCGCTGTTCTTGGGAATGCTCTTGCAAGCGAACGTTCTCCGCGTTATCCGATCCTCGACTGCCCAAACCTGCCCGAAGTGACCCTGACCAATCATTCGCTTCTTGAAGTAACGCTCGTGAAGCGGCGCGGCTGACGTCATCAACGATTCCGCTGCTGCTGGTGCTGCTGTTGCTACTGGCGCTAGCGGCGGGGGTGATGCTGCTGCTGCTGGTGCTGGTGCTGGTGCTGGAGCGAGGAATGGAGAAGAAGCGGGTTTCGGCGGGGAGAACATCAAACGGAGCTCCGGAAATTCCGGGACTGAGGCGTTTCGTTTGTGTCGGTTGGTGGAATAGGGGGAGGGAGCGAAGGTGACGAAGTCGGAGATATCATCGCGAGCCATGGCGGTTGGAAACTGAGGCGATTGGAATCCCCTTGGCTGGAAGCAGTCGCGAGTTGCGGACAGTCCGTCGCGCTCAGCTTGCTCGCAGCCGATTCTGGCCGTCATAATGCGGTTTCCTCTTAACTCTAACAAAAAAAAGTCCTTCAGAATTTAGAAGCCTAATTCGCGGCGAAGAAAAGACGTGCTGTCAGAACGTATTACTCAGTTAGCTGAAATAAGCTGGAAAGTTGAACAACAACGCGACAGGATGAAACTGGGTCAGAATATGAACTGCAGATCGCACTCGCGTGAAACTCAAGAAATTAGAGCTATCAAATCAGGAACAAGCTCGTTACAGCTCGGCAAGAGTCTGACTTCCTAAAGCTCCGTTGTTCAAATATCGCTTTTCCTGAAGCTCGGCTGGTCAGATATCCATTTCCTGCTGCGATGCTGGATTCAGCTGAAACCTCGATTCAGCTGTAACTCCTTGCTAACTCGCTCACTCCCCTCATGGCATGGGTCATGGTGGCCTTCTTGGGTTTGTCTGCTGAACAGGTGGGGGGGGAGGTTGGGGAAAGCTGGTGGGGGGAACGAGGGAGGGGGAAAGCGGAGTATGGGGCGGAAAGGAAAAGGGCGGAAAAGAGGTTTTCGGGGCGGAAGAGGTTTTCAAGGCCGGGGGCACCCTTCCGAATAGGCGGTGACCACTTTGGGATTTCCTGGGAAGTGGGGGTGTCAGGGCGCCTGGGAGATGGAATGGCGGGAGAATGGGGTTTTCGGGGGAGTTCATAGGCGCAGTGAGGTTTCAAGTGGTGGCTGCAGTGCACTTCGCGTGGCATGCGGTTTCGCTTCGGTTTTGCCGAGCTCCAATCAAATTCCTTCGGCAACCTCCATTACAGTGCGCCTGGGCTCAGAGCGTTCCGCAGGGCTGCGCAGGCCGTGCAGTGCAGGCGTTGCCTGGTGCGGAGAGAAAAATCGGGTTTCAGCATTCAGGGGATGCAAACCAATCCGCTTATCGGGATGATGCAGAGCCCATGTGGCTCTTCAAACACACATGCACTGACCCGTCTCCTGAAGCGACAGCTCGTTGGGTTGTACGAATTGCGGGGGAAGCCGCGGGGAGGGTAGTTGGGGGAACCCTCTAGGACCTCTTGTGCGCATGCGGGGGAATGTCCTTATTGGTTTCCCTGACCTTGGTTGTTAGACCCCGGCTGGAGTCGCTGTATTCTACCTGCGCTCAGTTCGGTCGGGTTGGTTGAGACGTCAGTAGGGCTAAAACGGTGTTGGTTCGGAGGTCAGCCTTCAAGTTCAAATGACAGAGCATCCACGTCTTCGCGCGTAGCTCATTAAACACGAAAATTTTCCCGCCAAAACTGAGTCAGACGGGGGCTTCTTATGGATTCAAATGGCACGCCTGTTTCAGTAGGGTACCACCTGGCGAATCGCGATGTGTCTGCAGATGACCAATGACAGCGGCAGGTCAGTCACATGTGATCCGCATGGCCATCATCCACGCGCAAGCTAGCGGAAGGTAGTCACATGTTGGCAAATGCAAATGGGAAGGAGAAGCACTGACGCGGCGAATCTAGACCAATGGCAAAGCCTCCAGCTATCTTGAAGCCGGTGTGGACGGCTCCAGGTTTCCTCCCGGCGTCACGGCTTTTCCCAATCCAGTCATCTCAGGTCCTGGGGGTTTGGATAAACAAAAGCACACTGGACTACGGCATTTCAAAAATATCCTAGACTATCCCGCATCAGTAGGGATGTGTAACACTGCCATCTACGAACTGGGTGGCGGAAACGGAGCCGTTTGAGGAGTGATCCTACGGCTAAGATCGCGGTCCTGGGGTGTCCAGGACACCCGAACTCTGGGCATACACGTCAGCATCAGCACGTGTTCCTAGCATGCCCCCCGCAGATATGTGTTTGTTAATATCTGCTCGACTACTTGTCGAAACACCATTCGCGAAATGTCTAAAACCCCGGGGTTTTAGACATACTTTTGTTGTACACGTCATCTCTTGCACTATGACGTAAACGTGTTTCCCACAACTATCGCTGAGCTGGAATGTCCCGGACACCCCAGGACCGCGACCTAAGAATCCTTCGAAAGGTCCTGCCATTCTACACCATTACGTTTCGCTAACATAGATTTGTACATCGTTCAACAACGAAAGCCTTTTGGATATTCCGGGTGTCACTCCCTGCCAGGAGGTACCCAACCCGCGCCGCCAAGAACCGAAACATTTGTTCACCCATCCAGCCTTTCCGGAGATAATTCGGAAGATATTTCCTGATGAATCGAAGACCTGACAAGCAGTGAAGAATCACGAGGATCCTGGAAAAGAACTCCCCGCGATGATTCGATGATTGAACTGAACATCATCATTCGAACACGTAGGCCTCCTTGGATACATGAAGGCTACACCAATGGGTGAGTCAAAAGCTCTGACAAGTCGACGCAATCCTCCGGATTTGCAGCTGAAAAAATGTTCACAAGGCTGCATATTGATGAATCTTGACTCAATTCCACAACCTGTAAGTTGAGTATATCCCTGAGAAAACATGCCCACAATGGGTTAAAAGGCAAGACTCCTGCACATATTTGCACATATTTGTGGATGTCGTCACGTTGCGGAAAGATATTGTGGGTAATGCATCAGAGTAAGGTGATATTTTAGTGAATTAAGGACATTCTAAACATCTTTCCTTTGATATTGGCCCTTCTTGACACATGGTTCAAATTTTTTAAAATCTAGTCGAAGGAGAATATAATCAAGTCATGTGTATTGGCCCCTACAAAACAACTTCAAAAATCCGACATTGCGGATAATGCTTTTCAATACCGTGTCAATACTCAAACATATAATTTGACTGATCGGACGGTATCGTACCACCCTTATGACATTGTAAGCCCAGGGCTTATCCCATATAGTGTCATCTTTTTACAATGATTAGGGCGTATGAAATTATAACGCCCGAAGCCAACGATCGTACTTTTGAGGGTTTTGGGCGAAAGCGAACACGGTAACACATTTGCAATATATACGAAATTTTCTAGGGGATTAACCACAATTCCAACCAAACTACCGGAACGCCTAACGCACGTCACCAAGCGGGCGACCAAACATGGTCTCATTGGTCGCTACTCCATGATGCTGTGGATTCGTCTAGTGATGGTTCGTCAAACGACATGGTGGAAGCCCCAGGCCACAAGCGGCCATTGTGAAACTTCACCTGCTCCAACTTCAAAATGTCAGTCCCGATTCCATCAACACGCTTCTAGACTATGCGTATGCAAACGCTGCGCTGTCCAAGCTAGATCCCGACATCCACACATATCCTACATAATGTTGGGACATTTTGATTACAATCTTTTAACAGGCATAGTAGAGTTGAATAGGCAAGGTAATCAAAATTACGATGCACTCGCCAATGTCACGTGTGGCTTATGCTTCAACCTCGCGGCGTTAATGTCACGAAGAATTGTTGGGTGCTTATTGCAAAAAGTCACTCTATATTCATCAAGTTTTGTTGGAACATATATTTATAATCCACACCTTTGACATATAATTGGATTCTTGTTTACGGATGTTTTTATGTATGGTGCATTGCGTACTATTACAATTTGTGCCATTGTGCATAAAACAAGATTTTGAATGGCGTAGTATTATATTTGGTATCTTTGAGCACTAAATGTATTGATGCCAAACCAAATGAATGTCCCAAGAAGAATTCATAACAACTGAGAGCAAGAAAAAAAAAACTTCCGTTCGAAAGTTTTTTAATTATTTTCAATGCTTCACTTCCATCGTTCGTCACCGACCTGCCCAAGTGGGCGACATCGTCGGCCAACTGCGATGACGGGGGAGCTGACGTGCCGCATTTGGCGTCATTCGTCGGCATCAACAGTGGCCGACGTAACGTGGTCAACGTCGATCAGCGCAATTATGGGGCGAAGTCGGCGACAGGGGAGCAATCGGCATGGGAGGCGCTGATAGGAAAGCTGTGAACGTGAGGCCGACACTCCGTCTAGCGACGATGCAGTAGAGTCGTCTCGTGATGGCTCGTCCGGTGATGTGGTGGGATCCCCAGAGCACAAGCGGCCATTGTGAAACTTCACCTGCTCCGACTTCAAAATATCAGCCCCGATTTTACCAATACGTTTCTAGCACAAGCATACGTTTCCGATTTTGCAAACATTGCGATGTCCAAGCTGGTTCTAAAAGATGCACGCAGATCCTACCCAGTGTTGGGACATTCTTATGACGATTATTAAGGAGGCATTGTAGAGTTGAATAGGCAAGGCAATCAAAATGACAATGCACTAGCCAATAGCACATAGAGCTCGTGCTTCAATTTCACGGCTGCTAACGGGAATGGAGTGTTGGCCCCGCTCTCGCTTGGGCGACGCCGACTTCCTGGTCAGGTGTGCGGGAGAAGCTTCCGACAGTACGCAGAGGTCGACGCCGACTTAGGCGTGCAGGTCAACGAGGCGGTCGGCCTGCAGAGGGGCCGCTGCGACAAAGCTGTCGACGGGGAGCCGACGGCCTAACTCAATGGGGCAGGTCGACAAGGTGGTCGTCGACCTGCGCGGGGCTGTCGCGGGGCCGTTGACGAGGGGAGCTCGACGGTTCCAGCAGACCAGGGTGGTCGACGAATGGGTCCGTCGTCCAGGAGAAGCATGGTGGTCGACGAACTAGGTCGTCGACTTGGCGCGCACATGTTACATCGACGAGGTTCTACGAAGGTGCGCGATCGTCGTCGAGGCTGCGATGGCGAAGGCGACCTCGGGCTGGTATCCCGAGGTCGACGTGGAGCTTCTAGCGCGATCGTCGGCACGTTGCTCACTTGGCACCTACGCGACGGTAGAGAACGTGCTCGACCGTCGCCTTCGCAGGGGCGCACATGTGCTACTATCACATGCGGATGCAATGTTGGCAGACCGCTCTGGTGTAGTGTTGGCAAGCCGCGGACTTGCTCTGTTGGCAGGCCGTTCTTATTCAACGCTGGCGCGGTGCCTCTACGCTACGCTGGCAGACCGTCGACCTTGCAGTGCTGGCAGTCGACCAGCTGGTCCACTAGGTTGCTAGGCTTCGATCTAGTGTTTGTTGCCTTTGCAGTTGCTCTCATTGTTGTTCTCAACTTTGCGAGTGAAACTCTTGACAATTCTGTAAGGATCTAGTATCGAGCTTCGGACACAGGGTTTGAATTGAATGAATCACCTGGGTACAACACGAGGCTATATACAGGCTCGACACAAGGCCCAGTAACCTGGTGTTACGCGAAGGTTCTGAGGGTCGCGAAGCGTCCCGAACAGACCCTTCCTGAATTCAGTAGAAGGCAATTCGGTGGCAACCGAAAAGCCCAGAATTCGGAGTACGCAACCTATCTCGGTGCTATAACTATAGTAAACTATAGGAAAGCACCTAGCCTAGGAAATCAAGCAGTTCATGCTTGCATAAAATAAACCTATGCTAGAAATAGCATAGTAAAGTAAAGACAAGCAAGCATAGCTGGCATAAGCCGTCGTACTCTCACAAATTCCTTCTGTAAATGTGCGCATAGGGAGAATGCAAAATAGCAGCTACGATCACTCACACAACTCGTGCCTTCCGTGTAGTCTAGCTCCCACCAGTGATGCAGAGTGACTCTCCGTAGCGGTGTGATGACATGAAGAATGGTTGGGTGCTTATTGCGGAGAGTCACTCTACAACGGGCATACTGCATGGGAGGCTATGGGTTGTACAACATGATCGTACCATTGCTTAACGCTTGTCCAAGTTCGTTCTGCTTGTACATGAAATTGGCAAGCGTCTCGCTGAGAAAGATAATTAATAAATTATACAATGGTAAAAAGATTGATACATGCGTACATATACGACACCTACCAAAGTAGATGTTTGGTCTGCACAACAAACGGTTGCGTGCACATTATGCACATGATGTACATTGAGCAGGTACGATGTTGTAGAGCATATGATATCAAATTCGCAGGTCGAGATTTGCCAACACCTGAGCGGAAATTCGCACATATGCAAAATTTTGTCGACCAGTTACTTTGGTCGATTAAAAAGAGGCCGCTCAGTCAGCGCCGCTGACGGATTGATTCCGTATTCTGGCGCCTTGTCGGCGATCATTTTTGTTGCCGAGTGAAGCTCAGCTCCGCTCGCCGCTTCATTTCCTCAACTAGCACCTCATCGACTTTCATTGCGGCCATATCGAAGGTTCTCCGGATGTTGGCCGCTTATGCTCGTCGACTAAGCACTTCGTCGCACTTTCTCCTCGAAATTGGCGTCGACCACGAAATGCATCCGGTATGGCTACCCATGTTTCGAGTACGAGATCCGTGAGGTAGGCTGTGCGCAAGCAAGGGCGGGGCCTTTCCTCTAAGCACCTTTGATGATGTAACTCCGACGACACGGTCGTCTGTAAAAAGGGTCGCCTAGCAGTGAGAGTCTTCACGCAGGACTACAGCGCCAACTGTCAACGGGAGTTGTGTTTGGCCCCGTCCTCGCTTAGGTACGGGGGCTACGAGGTCGACGTGGCTAGTGGGCGCAGTCGCTGGTGTGGACTTTGCCAGGCGTCTGTGCTGTGCACGTGACGAGGCGTGGAGCACCAACCAGCTGCGCGCACCTGCGAAGCAGGTGCCCCGTTGTCCTGCGGGTGCAACGTTGTGCAGCCGACTTGCTGCAGCGTTGGCACACCGCAGACATGCAACGTTGGCGCGCCGCATCTCTGCAGGGCTGGAGCGGTGCGAGCATTGCTGCGCTGGAACGCGGTCGACCGTGCTGCGCTGGAAGTCGACCAGCAGCTGTGCTAGCTCTGATGTAGCCTTGCATGCCAACGTTGTTGCCATCATGCTGAACCTTTGTTGCCATGTTTGTTTTCCTAGTGGAACTCTTGCCAACTTTCCCCGTGAACTAGCAAGCAGTGTGCCCACAAGGAGACGACTAAGGAACGAACGAACGCAGAGATCACACGAGCACCCGTGCCTGACCCGTAGTCTAGCTCCCGTTGTACGAGTTATCTCCGCACCAACTACGAGGAGACGTATGCACTGGTCGGCAATCATGTCACGTTACGGGTTCTGGTCGGGTCTGATTGTGTCTGGTTTATCGTTGTCGTCCTCGACCTACACCTTATGCAACTCGACATGAAGGACCGTATGCTCCACGTGGATCATACGTTGAGCTACTACGACGGCACAGTACGCGTGTGCAAGCTGCTGGAGAGCTTGTATGGCTTCAAGCAGAGCCTGCTGCTATGGTACTCGACGCTCGATAGCGTATTGACTGGCACCGGCAGGAGCAAGAGTGAGGTATTCGAAGCCCTCCAGTTCAAAGTCATCGACGGTGAAGCGATTTGCCGGACGTTTGTCTACGTCGACCATTTTACCGCCTCTAGTACGAGTGTTATGATGTTGAATGTACTGCTCGAGCGCATAACGCCTTGAGCTGCGTGAGATGAATCCGTTGCAAATATATATGGGGCTGGAGATTGTGCATGACCGATCTATGTGGGAGTAGTGGCTCCACCAAAAGTCGTACGTCGACAAGCTGCGTAGGCATTTTATCGATAAAGAGTAGTCTGACCGGCTCTAAAAAAAGATTCTAGATGCAATATCATATCATATAAATTATATCATACAGAACCTGAACTGCCGAGTCGTCACATTCTCGAAATATAAGTTGTCATTACGGGATTGCATGGTTAAAAAATGTTAAGCGTTGTTGTTGTTGTTGTTGTTGTTGTTGTTGTTGTTGTTGTTGTTGTTGTTGTTGTTGTTGTTGTTGTTGTTGTTGTTGTTGTTGTTGTTGTTGTTGTTGTTGTTGTTGTTGTTGTTGTTGTTGTTGTTGTTGTTGTTGTTGTTGTTGTTGTTGTTGTTGTTGTTGTTGTTGTTGTTGTTGTTGTTGTTGTTGTTGTTGTTGTTGTTGTTGTTGTTGTTGTTGTTGTTGTTGTTGTTGTTGTTGTTGTTGTTGTTGTTGTTGTTGTTGTTGTTGTTGTTGTTGTTGTTGTTGTTGTTGTTGTTGTTGTTGTTGTTGTTGTTGTTGTTGTTGTTGTTGTTGTTGTTGTTGTTGTTGTTGTTGTTGTTGTTGTTGTTGTTGTTGTTGTTGTTGTTGTTGTTGTTGTTGTTGTTGTTGTTGTTGTTGTTGTTGTTGTTGTTGTTGTTGTTGTTGTTGTTGTTGTTGTTGTTGTTGTTGTTGTTGTTGTTGTTGTTGTTGTTGTTGTTGTTGTTGTTGTTGTTGTTGTTGTTGTTGTTGTTGTTGTTGTTGTTGTTGTTGTTGTTGTTGTTGTTGTTGTTGTTGTTGTTGTTTGTTGTTGTTGTTGTTGTTGTTGTTGTTGTTGTTGTTGTTGTTGTTGTTGTTGTTGTTTTTGGCTTGCCGTGCGCGGGCGCGTCCGTTTGCTGCTTGTGCCGCGCTAGTCCCCTCTTGTGTGGTGTGTCTTCCCCGCCTTCGGAAAGGAGGGGCCAGAACAAACAATCCAATAAGATTGCTAAATCTACCGGTGTATTCACTGCTGCTCATAAGTTTCACTCGCTGAAGTCCATGGCGGAGGAAAATTTGTGAACAGTTTCTGCCAATTCGCCGTTTCCGCTTACTTTCCTGTCGGTTGCCATCTTTCAGTGGCGTTGCGCGTTTTCCGGAAACGTTCCGCTAATAAATAATTGCCCCTTGCCTGAAGGCCGAAACCACCCCTCTTCCCGTCCCGTCCTTACTTGTCAAATCTGAGGGCGCGTTCTCGGCTTGTTTCTAGCTTCGGGCCAGTTTACTTGGTGTCAGGCTCCCCAGGGACTCTGACACGAAAAAACGATTTTGCCCACTGCCTGTCCTCGTGTCAAGCAGCCTGGCCCGAAGTTTGACACGGGTCAAGAACGTTCCCTGATACAGCCTGAGGTGTCCGAAGAGGTGGGGATTTCAAAGCAGAAGGTTCAAACACATCACCACACGCACCTTGGTGGTTGAAACCCGAAACGCATGGCCTGTACCGCGTTGAGGTCTGGAGCTTCTGACATTTGAAATGCGCCCTAAATCGGAAAGACTGCAGGAGTTTGTTGAGCGGCGGCTACGGAAACGACAGCCAACCATGGCAGTTCGGTTCAGTTTGGTTCGGCCTGGAATGAGCTGATAACGGCAGCCATGGCAGCAAGCGAGCACAACACACTGAACACCCGTCCATACTCGACCCTCTCACCACATTCACTCCACGCCACATCACATCCTCTCAACCACCAAACGGGTTGGGGGACGCCGTTATGGTGGCAAGAACATCAACCGAATCACGACTTACGTCATCCGGCAAGCACGCCTCTCGGTTCTGCTTGCTCATCTTGTCCGCTTCTCGCGTTAGAGATAGGGGAGTGAAGGCCACGCCATTCCACTCATTCTGATAAAGTAGCACGAGCCGTCGAAGCGCGTCGTGTACAGCATCTCGGGCCTCGTAGCACAGCTCCTAAGCTTGTAGAGCCTCAAGTTGGGACCACATAGTGTACTCGCCACTGCGTCGCGTTCCTCTTTGTCACTCCAAGCGCGGTAACGGCCGGCACGGCCATCGCGTAAAGCCGTGTTTTTTTTTTTTTTTTTTTTTTTTTTTTTTTTTTTTTTTTTTTTTTTTTTTTTTTCAGCGCGTAGCAGAGGGATTGCAAGCGGAACTAGGAAGATCACCTACGGCGATTTTGTACATTGTTGCTAATCCGTGTTTATGCGCTATTCTCGCTGCTAATGCGTGCGCGCGGTGCGCTGCGTCGAACGCTCTTCCCGCGTAGCTGCAATGCGTGCGACCCTTCCTAGTTGAAATGCTAAAAAGTTATTTTTCTCGCAATTTCCCATTCGTTACTGGCACATTCTCGTACTACAGCCCCAATTTAGCTCAAATTCACGGAAAGTGCTCGTTTCAATCTGCTCCCGAAGTATCAGTTCTCCAACGCATCGACAGTCTAACCATTGAGTTGATTTTTGAGGCGCCTAAAAAATCAACTCCCGAAGTATCAGCTCTCCAGCGCATCGACAGTCTATGTTTTTTGAGAATTTCTCAAAAAACATATTCTCCAACGCATTGACAGTCTAACCACCCCGCGACGACTACTAAGTCGGCCTCTCAATCACCTCACCACCGCGACTCGGTCAGCTTGGTTCGGACACAAACGATAATCAAAGTTAACGAAGCTCGCTTCTAACGGGGGTTGCATGGGAGACAGTCGGAGATAGCATTCGTATGTGCCATTTCCGTCCGGGTTCGCTATAGTTGCTGTCTATATTTATTAGCGAACTGGCGATAACCAGGTTGCTGATAAGCAAGCGGGCGATATGCAAGCGGCAGATAACCAAACGGCGGATAGGCAAGCGGCCGATAGGCAAGCAATTGCCATGGGGAACGGGGGAACACCAACTTCCTGTGAACCTGCTCGGCGCGCAGCCCTGCTTTCACGCCGCCACGTGTCACCTGCTCCCCTCATTCCGTCCCGCCTTCCATTCCTCCCACTCCTCCTCCTCCTCCTCCTGTCTCTCCTCCACCCATCGTCTCTCGTCACCCCGGCAGCAGCAGCACCAGCGGGGGGTACGTGTGTGGGTTGGGGGGGTTGTGTGGGGGAGGTGTGTGTGTGCGGGCGGGTTGTGTGAGTGGGAGGGGTGTGTGAGGAGGTGGTGTGTGTGTGGGGGAGGTGTGTGTGGGGGATTTGTGTGTGTGGGAGGTGTGTGCGGGGGATTTGTGTGTGGGGGAGGTGTGCGTGTGTGCGCACGCGCATGCGCGTGTGTGTTTGCATGCGCTCACGTGCTGTGGGTTGGAATTCCAGACCTCTTTTCCTCCCCCCCTGCCCCACCACACAGCAGCGGGTTGCCCCCTACGCACCTCCTCCCTCTCGTGCATTCCAAGGGCGTCCGCTTGTTCTTTCAGTCGACCCATCTATCACCTCTTCTTTCCTCCTCCATCCCCCTCCCTCCCCTCCTCCCCCATCTGCACCGCACAGCACCAGACTGCACCCTAAGCACCGCCGCCCTCTTCGTCCATCCCAAGGGCACCCCCTCCGCTTGCTGCGGCTCCCAGGACAATCCCTGTGGTATGTGACACGTGGCAAGCCAGTCAGACACGTGGCAAGTCCGTTAAACACGAGTGGGCGTGTATGAATATGTGCAGTGCAGTGCAGTGCAGTGCAGTGCAGTGCAGTGCAGTGCCTTTCAGACATCTACGTCCCTGCATACCCTCTCCCATACATGCTCTGGCTCCAAACCAAAGCCAATCCCCGTGCTATGCCCTCTTTCTGTGGCATGCCCTCTCCCCATGCTGTGGCATGGCATGCTCTCTCCCCATGCTGTGGCATGGCACGCTCTCTCCCCATGCTGTGGCATGGCATGCTCTCTCCCCATGCTGTGGCATGGCATGCTCTCTCCCCATGCTGTGGCATGGCATGCTCTCTCCTCATGCTGTGGCATGGCATGCTCTCTCCCCATGCTGTGGCATGGCATGCTCTCTCCCCATGCTGTGGCATGGCATGCTCTCTCCCCATGCTGTGGCATGGCATGCTCTCTCCCCATGCTGTGGCATGGCATGCTCTCTCCCCATGCTGTGGCATGGCATGCTCTCTCCCCATGCTGTGGCATGGCATGCTCTCTCCCCATGCTGTGGCATGGCATGCTCTCTCCCCATGCTGTGGCATGGCATGCTCTCTCCCCATGCTGTGGCATGGCATGCTCTCTCCCCATGCTGTGGCATGGCATGCCCTCTCCCCATGCCGTGGTCTGTCCTTATCAAAGATTTTCCCGTGGTTGCCCCTCGTTGGCCCTGTAACTCCATTTCCCATCCTCGTTGTTTCCTTCTGGCCACCACATGTCCTCATTCCCTCTCCTTGTTCTTGTCTTCCCCACCCTTCGTCCCCCTTTCCGACCTTCTGCAGGCTCACTGGAAGCAGCTCTAGCAAGGTTTGTCCCGTTAACCTTTACAGTTCCACCCTCCCAGGTGTTTTTCAAAAGTCCCCCTTAAATAAATAAATTCAAAAAAAAAAAAAAAAAAAAAAACGTTGCAAGGTGTTTTTGCAAAAAGCACTCCGCAGGCTCACTGGAAGCAGCTCTAGCAAGGTGTGTCCCGTTAAGCTTACCGTGCCACCTTCCCAGGTGTTTTTTTAGAAGCCCGGGAAAAAAAAGAGGAGGAGGAATGCAGGGTGTTTTTGTTAAACTCGCTCAGCAGGCTCACTGGAATCAGCTATAGCAAGGTATGTCCCAACAGCCTTCACCACTCACCACCCCACCCCACCCCACAGCACCCCACCCAACCACCCACCCACCATCCACTGTCCTGACCTGAGGGGAGAAAGCCATACAGAGAGATCCCCATTGGCAATAGAGCAATCCAATCCAATCCAATCCAATCCAATCCAATCCAATCCAATCCAATCCAATCCAATCCAATCTCACTGTCACTCCTACTGTCCTCCCCCAACCCCCGTGCCCTCTCCTGCTTGTGCCCCTCATCTTGCTGTGAGCAATGCTTGAAAGCTCTTATGCCCTGCCTACATTTTGACTTTTGAGTCGACTCAGAAATATCGTGTGCCATAATAACGAGGTGACTTTTGAGTCGACTCAAAAGTCCAACTGTCCTCCCCCAACCCCCATGCCCTCCTGCTTGTGCCCCTCTTCTTTCTGTGGGCAGTTCTTGAAAGCTCTTATGCCCTGCCTACTTTTGCCACTCTCTCCCACCTTCCCACCTCCTCCCTTTCCCACCCGCTACCTTTCCTCTCCCTCCCTCCCTCACTCCCTCACTCCCTCCCTCCCTCCCTCCCTCCCTCCCTCCCTCCCTCCCTCCCTCCTTCCCGTCCTCCCTCTAAACTCCCACCCTTTTCAGAGCATCTGACAACGCTACAGTCACCCTCGCTTCAGGAACATATACCCGCACCGCTTCCCCTCCATCCGCCCCCATCCTCCTCCCTCCCCTCCTCGCTCTCACCATCCTCGGCCCGGCCCTCCCCTCCCCTCCTGCTGTTCTTGACTGTAACGGGGGTCCCTGCCTTGTTGCCTCCTGCCAAAGCACCCCTGCTGCCACGGCTGGTGATCCTTCTGCTGCTGGGAGTGGGAGTGGGAGTAGCAACAACAGCAGCAATGGCACGGGGGAAGGTGGTGTGGGCAGCAGCAGCCAGTGTTGGTGGTGAAGGATTTGAGTGTGGTTAATGGAGTCACAACGGGGAGTGGGGGCTGCTTGCTGCTGGATGGGTACCGTGCGGTGCTCAGGTGCGTAATGCAGTGCTCAGGTGTGTATGCATGCAGTGCTTAAGTAAATGCTGTGCACTAGGCGATTTCCTTTTTAGGTGAAGGCTGTTCTCTGAGAGCCACGCTTAGTTAAGTGCTGTGACAGAGTAACTGTGGCACTTAAAGATGTGCTGGCAGGCTGGCACATATGATATGATTGGCATCTGAATGTATGAGTATCAACAAGCTGTTCCTTGAGAGTTCCCCAGAAGTGAGTCTATTTTTTTGTCGACTCAAAAATAGCTGTTCCTTGAGAGGCGACTATTGAGTCTACTCAAAAGTCGCCTCGACTCAAAATTCACCTCAACTCAAAAGGCACCAAAAAAATAGCTGTTCCTTGAGAGTTCCCCAGCAACGCAGTGCAACGCAGTGGTCCTCCTAACCCTCTCCTCACCTCTGCTTCCCTCTCGTCTCCCCTCCTGTTCTCTTCTCTCCTCTCCTGTCCTCCCTCATCTCCAATCCCGTGCAGCCACGTGTCCTTCTCTAACTGCACGTCAACAGGCCCCAGTGGTGGCGCTATAGCTGTTTTAGAAGCTGCTACATCCGCTGCTACAACCCTGGTTGCTACAGCCGCGACCATCAGCAGCAGCAGGGTGTGGGGCGGGGGCATGGGCGGGGGCATGTACGTGGGAGCAGGGGCGAGAGTGTCTCTAAAAGGAGTGGGCTTTGAAGGGTGTTACACGGAGAGGGAGGAGGGCGTGGCAGGGGGGTATGGCGGGTGCATTGCTTCCTTTTCAGCGGCCAACCTCACCATTGAAGATTCGAGCTTCACTGGGTGCAAGGTGAGGGGTGGGTGAGGGGTGGGTGAGGGGTAAGAGGGCGTGGCAGGGGGGTACGGCGGGTGCATTGCTGTGTTCTCTGCGACTAATCTAACGGTTGAAGATTCGAGCTTCACTGGCTGCAAGGTGAGGGGTTGGGGGGGGGGGGGGGGTCTGTGAGTGGAAGGGCCGAGGGGACAGGTTTCATCAAGTGAGGGTTTGAGCTGAACTACCATGTGACTTGGAGTCGACTCCGAAACGATCCTGCCACACTCTTTCCCCTCGTCCCCCATCACCCCGGACCTTTTGAGACGTCTCAGAACTTTTGACTTGTGAGACGTCTCAGGACTTTTGACTTGTGAGACGTCTCAGGACTTTTGACTTGTGAGACGTCTCAGAACTTTTGACTTGTGAGACGTCTCAGGACTTTTGACTTGTGAGACGTCTCAGGACTTTTGACTTGTGAGACGTCTCAGGACTTTTGACTTGTGAGACGTCTCATAACTTTTGACTTGTGAGACGTCTCATAACTTTTGACTTGTGAGACGTCTCAGAACTTTTGACTTGTGAGACGTCTCAGAACTTTTGACTTGTGAGACGTCTCAGGACTTTTGACTTGTGAGACGTCTCAAAAGTTGTTCCTTTTCTTCCTTCAGTCCATGGCAGGAGGGGCTATAAACGAGTTCAACTCCTCAACCACCATCGCCAGCACCACCTTCACCGCCTGCACGGCCGACCAGGGCGCTGACTTCTCAGTCTTCCCCGCAGGAGGCGCCATTCTCTTCAACGCCTCCCTGCACATGCACATCCGGGACTCCTCCTTCCGCCGCTGCGCCTCGACTCTGACTGGCGGGGCGATCAGTGTGCAATCGGCCGTGGCGCCGCTGACAGTCACAGGGAGTGTGTTCGAGGAGAACCAGGCGTTCATGCAGGGGGGGTGCCTCGAGCTTATCATGCTGCCGGGGGTCACGGAGGTGGGTGTGAGGGGGTGTGACGGAATGTGTGTGTGTGTGTGTGTGTGTGTGTGTGTGTGTGTGCGTGTGTGTCTGTGTTTGTGTGTGTGTGTGTGTGACCATCAAAACTTCTCTTTAACGCCTCCCTGCACATGCACATCCGGGACTCCTCCTTCCGCCGCTGCACCTCGACTCTGACTGGCGGGGCGATCAGTGTGCAATCGGCGGTGGCGCCGCTGACAGTCACAGGGAGTGTGTTCGAGGAGAACCAGGCGTTCATGCAGGGGGGGTGCCTCGAGCTTATCATGCTGCCGGGGGTCACGGAGGTGGGTGTGAGGGGGTGTGACGGAATGTGTGTGTGTGTGTGTGTGTGTGTCTGTGTGTGTGTGTGTGTGTGTGTGTGTGTGCGTGCGTGCGTGCGTGCGTGCGTGCGTGCGTGTGTGTGTGTGTGTGTGTGTGTGTGTGTGCATGCACTGTGTGCCTGTGTTTGATCGTGTGAGTGGGTTGAGGCACACCTTCCCCAACTCCCCTTGATCGCCCACCGCAGCAGTCGTGTCATACAGTGCTGCAGCCCTGACAGTGCGCGCCTGCCTCTTCCAAAGCAATGTGACTTCTGAGTCGACTCAAAAGTCACCCAGTGCGCGCCTGCCTCTTCCAAAGCAATGCCGCCTCGCCTCGCCCACCCCTGCCGGCAATGGCAGCGCCTTACCCTTCATTCCCCATACAATCCCACTGCCCTTCTCCCAATCTCTCGTCCCCCCCCACTCCCCTTCCTCCCCTATTCCCCTCCGCAACCTCCCCTCTCCCTCTCGTCACCTGCAGATTCTCGACTGTCAATTCATTAACAACGTAGTGACCAACGTGCCATCCTTCGCAGCAGCAGTGGTGTCGTACGGTGCAGCCCTCACAGTGCGCGCCTGCCTCTTCCAAGGGAACGTTGCCACGCCCACCCCTGCGGGCGACGGCACTGCAGCCGCCACGTACCTGTCGCAGGGAGCGGCGCTGATGGTCTTTGCTTTCATGGACCCTTTGTTCCCGATTACCATCGATGACTCCACCTTCAGAAACAACTCGGTAAGTGGGTGCGTGGGAGGGTCACAATCTCCGATTCCACCTTCAAGGACAATTCAGTTAGTGCTTGGAGTGGGTGGGTGGGCTGGTAAGTGGGTCCCCTCTCCTCTTTCCCCCCCCCCCCCCCCTCTCCCCTCGTCCCACCTGCGGTGAGTGAGTCACGACTGAGAGGAGACTTTGCATTCATGGACCTGCTCTTTCCTGTTTTTGAGTCGACTCAAAAATACCCTCCCCTCGTCCCACCTGCGGTGAGTTAGTCACGACTGAGAGGAGATGGCAGCGCCTCCGCAACGCTGATGGTGTTTGTGGTGGTGTTTGCATTCATGGACCCGCTCTTTCCCGTCACCATCGCCGGCTCCACCTTCATAAACAACTCTGTAAGTGGTTCGCTGGGTCCCTCCCCTCTCTCCCTTCCCCTCTGCCCCTTCCCCTCTCTCCCTCCCCTCTGCCCTTCCCCTCTCTCCCCTCCCCTCATCCCCTTCCCCTCTCTCCCCTCCCCTCTGCCCCTTCCCCTCTCTCCCCTCCCCTCTGCCCCTTCCCCTCTCTCCCTCCCCTCTGCCCCTTCCCCTCTCTCCCCTCCCCTCATCCCCTTCCCCTCTCTCCCCCCCTCCCCTCTCCCCTCCCCTCTCCCTCCCTCTCCGCCCCACACGGAGGGTCACACGGTGAGTGAGTTGTGGCGACGGCAGTGCTTCATCAACGTACCTATCGACTGTGAGGAGTGACGTTGATGGGGTTTGAATGCAGGCACAGCCTTCCCTCCTCGCCTCGCCTCACCCCTGCCTTCCTCTTTGTACCCTGTGTTGCTTTCTTGTCACCCCTTTTCCACCCCAACAGGCCGGGCAGGGGGCTGTGGTGTATCTGGACTGGATGCGTGCACTGCCTTTCCTCCTAACCCCCGCCTTCCTCTCTCCACTCTGTGTTGCTTTACCCATCCATCGCCCATCCCTCCCGCCTTCCTCTCATCCCAACAGGCCGGGCAGGGGGCTGCGGTGTATCTGGATGCGGGCAACGTGACTGTAACGAATTGCTCCTTTATAGAAAACGGCGACCATGGAAATTCCAAGCTCGGTGGAGCCAGTGAGTCGCACCGCACCGCACTGCACTGCACTTCACTGCGCAGCATTGCACTGCACTGCACTGCACTGCACACCGTGCCTACCTCCCGCATGCACACGTGTCGCTCTCTCAAACGGTCTTTGTATTGATGATAAAGCAGTGGTACAAGCAATGGATAAGATAAGAAGAATCTTAAGGTAAGCTTCATAACAGGTGCTCTCTCTTTCTCTCTCTTTCTCTTTCTCTTGCACAGTCCCTCTCCCATACACAAACACACCCCACAGGAAAATGCGTGTGTGCCTCAAATGTGAGAAAGAAGAATTGTTGCACTGAATAATGAGCCAAAAGGCTCTTTAGTACAAGCAATGAGCATGAGAGAGATGAGAGGGAAGCTTACCCTATTGGCCAATAAGTTGGCCAATGGGTGAGTTTGCTTGTGGCCCAAGCAACCACAAAATGTGTGTTGGTTGGGATTGGTTGAGGTAAGGACCAATCCCCACCAACCACAAAATGTGGTTGGAGGGTACACTAACCAACCCCTCAATTTATAAGACTGCTACACATCTAAGTCTAGCCTATGCATGTTGTATAAAATATGGAATTACAACACAACCCCCCAACATGCATAAGGCTAGAAGGCTATAATCAAGAAGTGGAGACCAACTTTGGAGGTGTAAGGCCAAGGAGACGAATCAGTGAAGAGTGAGCCGCATGCGGAAGAGCTTTCGTGAAGATGTCGGCAAGGTTGGCTGCGGAGTCAACCTTATCGAGCCGAAGGTGCCCAGCCTGAACAAGATCGCGAATGAAGAAATGACGGAGCTCAATGTGCTTGGAGCGCCCAGCATCCTTCGTGAGGTGAATGGTGCTGGCGTTGTCACACCAAATGGTGGGACAGCGCTGGGGGGCACCAAGCTCCTCAAGAAGGAAGGAGAGCCAGCGAGCCTCTTGTGCAGCCATGGTGGCGGCATACAACTCGGCTTCGCAGGACGAGAGGGCGATAGCCGAGGAGCGCGTGGAACGCCAGCTGATGAGGCCGCTGCCAAGAGAGAAGCCATAGCCCTGAGAGGAGCGACGATCTGGTCGGGAGTCAGCCCAGGAGGAGTCACTGTAGCCGCTGAGGAGAGGTGGGGAAGGGCCGCCAAGGGTAAGGACATAGTCCTTGGTGCCACGAAGGTACCGGAGGACGCGCTTGGCAGCCTGCCAGTGCTCGTCCGTATGCTTACCAGCGCCAACAAACCGAGCGAGGACGCTGATGGGGTAGGCAAGGTCAGGGCGAGTGGAGACCATGGCGTACATGAGGGAGCCAATGAGCTCGGGATAAGGATGGGAGGACGATGAGGGGGAGGCGGGTGGAGAGAGGTGGTGCCCGACAGAAAGAGGTGTAGGTTGGGCGCCGCCGCGGGCCATGTCAAACCGCTCCAAGACCTGCTGCAAGTAATGACCCTGGGAGAGTGAGATGGTGCGGGCGGAGCGGTCGCGGGTGATGGTCATGCCCAGGTAATGCTGCAGCTCTCCCAAGTCTTTGCATTTGAGACGGCTACCCAACTCAGCCTTAACATGCTCCAACTCTCCAAGGTCGGCAGTGAGCAGAATCATGTCATCGACATACACAAGGATGTAAAATGGGGAGGGGGAGGTTCGGAGGAAGAGGCTGGCGTCAGAGCGGGAGGTGCGGAACCCAAGTTCAGCAAGGGTGGCGGCAAGTTTAGCATGCCACTCCCTCGGGGCCTGTCGGAGCCCATACACAGGTCGACGCAGCTGCCAGACAGAGTCTGCTGGGAAGGGAGGGTGAAAGCCGGCTGGACGCTCCATGTAGATAAGCTCGCGGAGGACGCCTTGCAGGAAGGCGTTAGAAACGTCCATCGAGTGGATCTCCATGTTGAGGCGAGCGGCGAGGTCGAGCACGGCGCGAACAGTAGCAGGCTTGGCAGTGGGGGAGAAGGTATCGAAGAAGTCAAAACCATACCGCTGCGTGAACCCCTTGGCGCAGTAACGAGCCTTATAGACGGGCGGCTCCCCTGGTAGCTGCTTGACGCGAAACACCCCTTGCCTTTCACCACGTTCGTAGGGGCGGGAGGGCGAGGCACATCAACAAAAGAGGAGTTGCCGATAAAAGCCTCCAGCTCCTTGATGATGGCGGCGAGCCATAGTGGAGCGTCAGGGCATGCCATCGCCTCCTCATACGTGATAGGAACGAAAATGGAGGGAGCAGAGGAGAAGGCGAAGACAGGTGTGCCGGAAAGGTCGAACGTGATGGGTAGAAGCGAGGGGTTATAAAGGTGGAGGTCAAGGAACTCCTCATGGGAGTCCTCAGAGAGGGAGGTGTGGAAGGCGCGGATGACTGCTGGTGCCGCTGCTGGTGCCGCTGCTGGTACTGTGCCGCTGCTGGTACTGCTACTGGTGCCGCTGCTGGTGCTGCTGCTTCCGCTGCTGCTGCCGCTGCTGGTCTGCTGCTGCTGCCGCCGCTGCTCCTGCAGCTGCCGCCGCTGCTGGTCTCGCTGCTGCTGCCGCTGCTGGTCCCGCTGCTGCTGCCGCTGCTGGTGCCGCTGCGGGGTCCGCTGCTGGGGCCGCTGCTTGTGCCGCTGCTGGTGCCGCTGCTGGAGAGGAGGTGGCTGAGGAGGCTGTTGCATGAGGGGCTTGATGCAAAACAGCCTGGAAGAAGCGACGAAGGAGGGGGGAGAGAGGGGGGAGGGTAGAGGTAGAGAGGGTAACGGGAGGTGGTGCACCAAGGATGCTGTCACGTGACCTGGTGTGGGGATACCGGGTGAGTATCGTGCGGGGAGGGGAAGGATGGGTCGGTGGCGAGGGAGAGGAAGGGGGGGGAAGGGGGGCACTAGGAGAGGAGTGAGCGGGGGAGACAGGAGAAGTCAAAGGGTCCGGGTCAAAGATGTCACCAGATGAGGGAGGGGTACCGTGGGACTGGGACGGCGGAGGGGGGGAGGGTGGGAGGATGGGGGGAGGAGGGAGTAGTGGGGGAGGGGTGGTGTCAGACCAGACAAGGGGACGGGTGAGAGGGGGGAGTGGGTCAGTAGATGGAGGGGAGGAGTAGTAGGGAGTGGACTCGTCAAAGACCACATCCCTGCTGCGGATTAGACGGCCGGATGGGGGGTGGAGGAAAAGGTAGTCGGGGGAGGAGGGATTATGACCAAGGAAGATGCAAGGAAGGGTACGAGGGGCAAGCTTTCCCATGGAACGAGAGCGGTCAGATGGGTGAATAAGGACATGTGCCTTAGAGCCCCAGACACGAAGTGATGAGGCATCAGGCTTGTCCTTCGTCCAAAGCTCAGTGGGGGTGATGGAGGGGAGAAGGGGGTGAGGGTAAAGGTTAGTAAGGAGGGCGGCATGAAGGAGGGCGTAGCCCCAAAGAGAAGGGGGGCAGAAGGCGTGGACAAGCAGACACCGGGCTGTTTTTGTGATCTCTCGAACACGACTCTCAGCTACACCGTTCTGCTGTGGGGAGTGAGGGAGGGTGTAAGTCTCAAGGATGCCACGAGACTGACAATAGGAGGAGACTTGGTTGTTAAGGAACTCACCACCTCCATCAGAGTGAAGGCGGCGAACAGGGCGCCCAAAATGGGTGTTTGCCCGCTCGAGCCAGGCGATGATCGCAGCCGGGGCATCCGCCTTTGTCCGAAGAAGAGAGATGGACGAGTACCGACTGTGATCATCAACAAGCACGAGAAGGTAGCGATGGCCCTGGCGAGTGGGAGAGGGATTAGGGCCCCATAGGTCCATGTGAACAAGATCAAGTGGCTGCGCAGCAGCGGAGGGGGAGCTCCGGTGCGGCTGCTGCTTGAGCTTGCTCTGAACGCAAACGGTGCAGGGGGGTGCAGGGGATTTGGGGAGGGGAGGGAGGGAGGAGGGGAGACCGTGGAGGAGACCTGAGGAGACAGATGAGCGGAGAGTAGCGAAGTTGGGGTGGCCTAGCCTGTGATGGAGGAGGATGGTGGGTTGGGAGAGGGAGCGACAGGAACAGTCAGAGTCAGGAGGGCGGGGTGGGAGGGGTGGGTTAGTGGGAGGGAGGGGAGGGGGGGGGGGAAGAGGGGGGGGGAGGCAACTTGGAAGGTGAGGGGGCGGGGAACCCGAAGGGTGTACAGACGGGAGCGGGGACAATAGGGAATACGGGCGAGAAAACGACCTGTGGAGGTTTGGTATAGGTCACAATGGTTAGCACCACCTGGGATGAGAGTGGTGATCATGGCTTGTTGGAGGGACATTTGGGAAAGGAGGTTAGTACGAAAGGAGGGAATGTGGAGTCCGGTGACAGTACCTGAGGGAAAGAGAGGACAGGGAAGGGTGGAGGTGTTGTGACAAGGGATGGAAAAACTGCTATCAGCGCCGAGGAGGGAGGTTGGTGTGGGGAGAGGGCGCAGTGTACCAGCGTCACGAAGGACAGTGTCAGTGGCTCCACTGTCCAGAACGAAGTCAATGGTGGAGGAAGGTGAGGCAGAGTACTGGAACGACGTTTCATTAGCGGAAGAAGGGTACATGGGAGATGCAACAGATTCAGGTTGACCTAATAAACCAACAAAACCAGAGGAAGGAAAGCGGTCGCACTGCTACCTGCAGACGGCGCCGGGGATGCACCCGAGAGATGGGCTGCAGAGGCAGCACTCCCAGCAGTCCAGGTAGGAAAGGGCTGCTGCTGGGATACCGGAGGAGGAGGGAGGAGGGGCAGTTGCGGCTGGAGGTCTAGCTGCTGCTGGAGTTGCTGGAGCTGCTGCTGGAGTTGAGATAGGAGAAGCTGCTGCCCATACTGCTGTGACCCCTGCTGCTGATTCCCAAGCTGCTGCTGCTGTTGCTGCTGCTGGTGCTGCTGTTGGGGAGGGGCGAGGGTTTGGTGGGCGTGGGTGGAGGAGGAAGGTTCATATAGGGGAGAGGAACGGACCTCAAGGGGAGTGGGGCGAGGGTTGAGGGCGGACCAGCGAGGAGGGGTGCCGGTGTTGCCACGGGCAAACCACTCATCACTGAGTGCCTTGAAGCACGTCTCAGTGGCATGGGTGGTTTGGCCGCAGCGCTGTCCCTGAGTGGGACCGTAGCGAGGCAGGTACTGACAGGGAGGAAAGGCAGCTGCGGCACCACGACCTGTACCTCCGCTACCAGCACCACCGCGACCTGCTGATCCCCCTCGTCCACCCCCACGCCCACCACCACGCCCACCCCCACGCCCACCACCACGGCCACCCCGGCTGCTGCGCGACTGGGCTGCTGCGGCTGTGGAGGAAGAGTGGCGAAGGATCTCAGCTTCGGTGGTGATAATCCACTGAGCGACTTCAGCAGGGGTGTGGTGCTTGGAGATAAGCTGCATGTACGCAAGCTTGTGAGCGTCGAAGGCAGGTGTCAGGCCCTCACGAAGGTGGCAGCAAATGACAGTATCTGGGTACACCACATCTAGTGCTGCAAGGCGTCGAGCGAGATCTAGGACGCGGCGAGTGAAGGCAGCTGCGCCGGAGGTTGAATCCATAGAGAGAGTTCCGAATTCTTTGATAAGAGCGTAGAGGGTGGCGACGTCTTGACGGTCGAAAAGGTCGACGAGTGATCGCCACAGGTGGGAGGAGGAGGTGGGTGAGAGCTCTCGTTTGAGGGAGGAGGGAATGGTGGCGAGAAGAATGGCAAGCGCGCGTCGGTCAGCAACTCGCCAGGCAGTGATTTTTGGTGGTGTAGTCGGCAAGTTGTGTAGCGTAGGTGTTGAGGTCCTCCTGGTACTTGTTGTGGAGGGCAGCAGCAGCATCATATGTGCGCTTGTCCTCTTCATAACGCAGTTGCTGGCGTAGGTGCTCTTGGAGAGCGGTGCGGTATGTGCGAATGGCGGTTTCCGAGCTCTGTGGGTCGTTTATATTCGGCGCGAAGGTGGGAGGGTCACCCGGGGGGTAGCCTCGGCCCCAGGAGTGGCGGGGGAAGGCCCAGTAGGAGCGGTGGGGGCGACGGGCTGAAGACCGGTGTCTTCCTGGAACACAATCGATCGAAGGTTGTAGCCGCTGACTACGACAGAGGAGAGAAGCACCTCGACCGAGTGAGCGTAAGAGTGCCAATTAGCAGCAGAGTTGTCAGCAAGTAGCTCAAGTGCGTCAACTGTAGCGAGATCGACAGAGGAGTCGGATGATGATGCCATAGGGACGAGGTCGAGGAGAGGGAAGAGGAGGAGGCAGGTAATGTGCTGGTCTCGCTGCCGCTGCTGGTCCCGCTGCTGCTGCCGCTGCTGGTCCCGCTGCTGCTGCCGCTGCTGGTCCCGCTGCTGCTGCCGCTGCTGGTCCCGCTGCTGCTGCCGCTGCTGGTTCCGCTGCCGCTGCCGCTGCTGGTCCCGCTGCTGCTGCCGCTGCTGGTCCCGCCGCTGCTGCCGCTGCTGATCCCGCTGCTACTGCCGCTGCTGGTGCTGCTGCTGGGTAGAACAGGAGGAGGACGAACGGGGGAGGGGGGGGGGGAGGAGAGGGGGAGGAGAGGGGGGCAGGGGGGGCGCGGTGTGGTTGGAGGGCGGGAGGTCGGCGACGACGAACAGGCTTGCGGCGAACGCGTTGGGCGAGGAGGTGCGATGCGGAGGCGCTGGACGAGGAGGCCTGCTGCGGACGCGCGCGACAGGCAGAGTCGCCGCGGATGCACGCAACAAAGGAGCCCGCGCGGCGAGCAGGTCGCGGCCGTCGGTGAGCAGATCGCGACCGTCGGCGAGCAGATTGCGGCCGTCGGCGAGCAGATCGCGACCGTCGGTGAGCAGATCGCGACCGTTGGCGAGCTAATCACGGCCGTCGAGCAGATCGCGGCCGTCAACGAGCAGATCGACGCCGTCGACGAGCAGATCGGTGATGTCGACGAGTGAATCGCGGCCGTCAGCGAGCAAACCGCGGCCGCCGAGCAGGTTGCGGCCGTCGGCGAGCAGATCTGAGCCGTCGACGAGCAGATCTGGGCCGTCGACGAGCAGATCTGGGCCGTCGACGAGTAGAACGCGTCCGTTGAGCAGATCGCGGCCGTTGACGAGGAAATTGCGGCCGTTGAAGAGGAAATCGCGGCCGTCGCAAAGGTAGGTCGCGGAGAGGGCAAATACGGTCCGCGGGAGGGCGGATCTGGTCCGCAGCATGGCGGATCTGGTCCGCAGGAGGGCGGATCTGGTCCGCGGGAGGGCGGATCTGGTCCGCGGGAGGGCGGATCTGGTCCGCGAGAGGGCGGATCTGGTCCGCGGGAGGGCGGATCTGGTCCGCAGGAGGGCGGATCTGGTCCGCGGGAGGGCGGATCTGGTCCGCGGGAAGGTGGATCTGGTCCGCAGGAGGGCGGATCTGGTCCGCGGGAAGGCGGATCTGGTCCGCAGGAGGGCGGATCTGGTCCGCGGGAGGGCGGATCTGGTCCGCAGGAGAGAGGATAGCGCCTAAGACGTGAAGCGGGAGGTAGCGCTTAAGGAAACACAGGGAGGGAGGCCATTATTGGCCGGGTAGGAAGAGAGGTACATGTTAGGACGGTCCTAAGGATCTTGGTCGGGCGTGAGCCTAAAGGCTCTGAATTGTTCTTTCTCACATAAGCCCTAAATACCTTGTGAGAAAGAAGAATTGTTGCACTGAATAATGAGCCAAAAGGCTCTTTAGTACAAGCAATGAGCAAGAGAGAGATGAGAGGGAAGCTTACCCTATTGGCCAATAAGTAGGCCAATGGGTGAGTTTGCTTGTGGCCCAAGCAACCACAAAATGTGTGTTGGTTGGGATTGGTTGAGGTAAGGACCAATCCCCACCAACCACAAAATGTGGTTGGAGGGTACACTAACCAACCCCCCAATTTATAAGACTGCTACACATCTAAGTCTAGCCTATGCATGTTGTATAAAATATGGAATTACAACATCAAAATCCCCCACTTCTCCTCACTAACCCTTCTTCCTCCCCCTCCCCATCCTCCCGCACCCCTCCTTCCCCACCCCTCCCTCATCTCTCGTCTCTCCCCACCGCTTCAGTGGTTTCTCGCGCCACCACCGCCCTCACCAACTGCACGTTCCACGGCAACAGGGCGGCCAGTCAGGGAGGGGCGCTGCACTTCATGCCGTACGGCCCGCTCACCATCACCAACTGCTCCTTCTCCAACAACTCGGTGCTACTGGCTCAAGGCGGCGCAATCAACGTCTACCCGGTATGATTCCACTCCACTCCTTCCGTCTCCACATTTCATGCCGTACGGTCCGCTCACCATCACCCACTGCTCCTTCTCCAACAACTCGGTGTTACTCGCCCAGGGTGGTGCAATCAACGTCTACCCGGTACGATTCCAATTAGTACCGCAAGGCAGGGCACTCGTTCCCTGTGGTTTCCCTCCCCTGTGGTTTCCCCTGTGGTTTCCCCTGTGGTTTCCCCTGTGGTTTCCCCTGTGGTTTCCCCTGTGGTTTCCCCTGTGGTTTCCCCGGTGGTTTCCCCTGTGGTTTCCCCTGTGGTTTCCCCTGTGGTTTCCCCTGTGGTTTCCCCTGTGGTTTCCCCTGTGGTTTCCCCTGTAGTTTCCCCTGTGGCCTCCCCTGTGGTCTCCCCTGTGGTCTACCCTGTGGTCTCCCCTGTGGTTTCCCTCCCCTGTGGTTTCCCCTGTAGTTTCCCCTGTGGTTTCCCCTGTGGTTTCCCTGTGGTTTCCCCTGTGGTCTCCCCTGTGGTTTCCCCTGTGGTTTACCTGTGGCTCAAACCACTTCATGCCGAACAGTCCGCTCACCATCGCCATCACCATCACCATCACCATCACCATCACCATCACCTTCACCATCACCATCACCATCACCATCACCATCACCATCACCATCACCTTCACCATCACCATCACCATCACCATCACCATCACCATCACCAGCACCATCACCATCACCATCACCATCACCATCACCAGCACCTTCACCATCACCATCACCATCACCGGCACCAGCACATCACCCACCATCACCATCACCATCACCATCACCAGCACCATCACCATCACCTTCACCATCACCATCACCATCATCATCACCATCACCATCACCATCACCATCACCATCACCTTCACCATCACCATCACCATCACCATCACCATCACCATCACCATCACCATCACCTTCACCATCACCATCACCATCACCATCACCATCACCATCACCATCACCATCACCATCACCATCACCATCACCATCACCTTCATCACCATCACCATCACCATCACCATCACCATCACCATCACCATCACCATCACCTTCACCATCACCATCACCATCACCATCACCATCACCATCACCATCACCATCACCATCACCTTCACCATCACCATCACCATCACCATCACCATCACCATCACCATCACCATCACCATCACCATCACCTTCACCATCACCATCACCATCACCATCACCATCACCATCACCATCACCTTCACCATCACATCACCATCACCATCCCTTCACCATCACCATACCATCACCTTCACCATCACCATCACCATCACCATCACCATCACCATCACCATCACCATCACCATCACCATCACCTTCACCATCACCATCACCATCACCATCACCATCACCATCACCATCACCTTCACCATCACATCACCATCACCATCCCTTCACCATCACCATCACCATCACCATCACCTTCCACAACAACTCTGTGTTACTCGCCCAGGGCGGAGCAATCAACGTCTACCCGGTACGAGACTGCTCCACTCCGCCTTCACCCTTGAAATTAATTGGGTTCGAAACGCAGCAAGCCTTCAAAGAGTAACTTCACCCACTGCTCCTTCCACAACAAACTCTGTGCTGCTCGTCTCCGCTTTCCCTTCCGTGCCCCTTCCCCTCCCCGCCCTCCCCTGCAGGGCCTGTCACCTGTCGACATAACCGGGAGCCGCTTTGAGGGCAACAGGGCGGGGCTATCCCGGGGAGGTGCTATCTACAGCGAGAGCACTGAAATGGTTTTCACTGACGTGGTCTTCCAGGGGAACGAGGCAGGCTTACAAGGCGGGGCTGTCACAGGTAGGGATGGGTGTGGTAGGGTTGGTGGGTGTGGTGAGCAGCAGAGACAGGGTTGGGGTATGTGCCCCCATCAGGGAGGCGCTATCTACAGCGAGAGCACGGAGATGCGGTTCACTGACGTGCTCTTCCAGGGGAACGGGGCTGGCTTACAAGGCAGGGCTGTCACAGGTAGGGGCTGGCGTACGCGTTTTGGCCGGTGGCCTTCATCTCGCAACCCATGTGTGCCATCAACAGCGAGGGCAGGAAAATGCGTTTCACTGACGTGGTCTTCCAGGGGAACGAGGCTGGACTACAGGGGGGGGGGGGAGTCACAGGTAGGGGCTGTGGCAGGTGGGTTGGCCGAGCAGGGAGTGGGTTGGCCGAGCAGGGAGTGGGTTGGCTGAGCAGGGAGTGGGTTGGCTGAGCAGACCTGAAAGTGAAGCCGTTTCAGGTCAGGCTGCCTCATCCTTCCTACGTCAGCCTTCAATTCCCCCTTCAACCTCCGCTTTCACCTGTCCCCACCCCGTCCGCTCCCCCTTCATCCTGCCTCCCTCCCTCCCTACAAACCTCCCCTCCCTCTCTCCATCTGTCCCTCCCTCCCTCCGTCTCGCCCTCCTTTGTTTCGCCCTTTCACCCCAGCCCCTCTCACAGCCTACGGGGCAGAATCAGAAGGCAGGCCTGCCACAGTGACCTTCACCGGTTGCACCTTCCAGGGCAATGGACTGACCCCTCAACTCACCCCCTCATACCCCCTGCCCCTCCCATCCCAACCCACTCCCGTGTACAGCCTATGGAGCAGAATCAGAGGGCAGGCCCGCCACAGTGACTTTCACCAGATGCACCTTCCAGGGCAACGGGTTGAATGTATGGGCCTCAACTCACCCCCCTCACCCTCCTTTCCCTGCCCCCCCTCACCCTCCTTTCCCTGCCCCCCCTCACCCTCCTTTCCCTGCCCCCCCTCACCCTCCTTTCCCTGCCCCCACTCACCCTCCTCACAGCCTATGGAGCAGAATCCGAAGGCAGGCCCGCCACAGTGACCTTCACCAGATGCACCTTCCAGGGCAACGGGTTGAATGTATGGGCCTCAACTCACCCCCCTCACCCTCCTTTCCCTGCCCCCCCTCACCCTCCTTTCCCTGCCCCCCCTCACCCTCCTTTCCCTGCCCCCCCTCACCCTCCTTTCCCTGCCCCCACTCACCCTCCTCACAGCCTATGGAGCAGAATCCGAAGGCAGGCCCGCCACAGTGACCTTCACCAGATGCACCTTCCAGGGCAACCGGGCGGCGCTGGGGGGAGGTGCTATCTACTCGGGGCTGAGCGTGGGCATGCGCATGGAGGGGAGCCGCATCGAGGAGAACGAGAGCGCTGGCACAGGAGGGGGCGTTTTGGTGCAGGAGTTTTCCAGAGTGACTATGATGGATTGTGACTGCATGACCAACAGGTGAGGGTGTGAGTATGTGTGTGGGCATTGGGTGTGTGAATGTGGGTGAGTGTGGGTGAACATGTGAGGGGGAGGCGTACCTGAGGGGGAGGCGTACCTGAGGGGGAGGGGAGGGGTTGAGTGGGGTGAGTGTGGGTGAACATGTGAGGGGGATGGAAGGGGTTGAGTGTGGGCATGCGCATGGATGGGAGCCGAATCGAGGAGAACGAGAGTGCTGGCACTGGAGGGAGTGACTATGACGGATTGTGACTGTGTGAAGAACAGGTGAGGAGGACGAGAGGGGTCGTGCTGGGGAGGCGATTTTAAAGACGTCTCAAAAGTCATTTTCTTACTCGGGGTTGAGTGTGGGTGAACATGTGAGGGGGATGGAAGGGGTTGAGTGTGGGCATGCGCATGGAGAGGAGCCGAATCGAGGAGAACGAGAAACAATGAGAAACCATGAGAATGAGAAACAATGAGAATCCATGAGAATGAGAAACCATGAGAAACCATGAGAATGAGAAACCATGAGAAACCATGAGAATGAGAAACCATGAGAATGAGAAACAATGAGAAACCATGAGAATGAGAAACCATGAGAAACCATGAGAATGAGAAACCATGAGAAACCATGAGAATGAGAAACAATGAGAAACCATGAGAATGAGAAACAATGAGAAACCATGAGAAACCATGAGAATGAGAAACCATGAGAAACCATGAGAATGAGAAACAATGAGAAACCATGAGAATGAGAAACAATGAGAAACCATGAGAATGAGAAACAAACAATGCCCCCTTGTTGATTCATGCAGCCATAGTCTTTCTGGGGAACTCTTGTACGAGAGGGGAAGGGAACTCATGAACCCCCGCTCCCATGCCCTCTGGCCAACGCCACAGCCCGCCTCTCGTCCCGTCTCCTCCTTGACCGCGCCACCAGCGAAGGCGGAACCACCACCCCCTCCCTCTATGCTTCACCCCCCCTCCCTCCATGCTTCACCCCTTTGTGTAGAGTGAATTTTTGAGACGTCTCAAAATTCACTCTTTACACGTAACCACCACCCCCTCCCTCTGTGCTGCACCCCTTTCCCCACCCAGTGCCCTTCCTTTCCCCACTTCCTGCCCTGTCTCTTCCCCACCCCATGGATGTCCCGCCTCCCTCATCTCTCCTCCCTCCCCACAGTGCATCCACAGGGGGCGGCTGTCTCTCCCTCCTAGCCAACGCCACTGCCCGCGTCTCCGCCTCGCGCCTCCACCTCAATCAAGCCACCAGCGAAGGCGGCGCCGCCCGCATCAGCGGCGCAGCCACTCTCTCTCTGCTCTCCTGCAACGTCTCTCACAACACCGCCCCCTGGGGAGGCGCCGTGTGGGTGGAAATGGAAGGAAGGCTACAGGCTGTAAACAGCACGGTGTTTTCTGGTAACCGCGCGGACTACATGGGGGGCGTGGTGTACGCGACGCATGTATCCGATGTGACTGTATCGAATAGTTCTTTTCTCGGGAATTACGCGCTGCACGGAGGTGCGATCGCGGCTGAAGCGGAGGCGAATGTATCGGCAGTCGACTCGGCATTTTCTGGGAATGTGGTGTCGGCGGTGCTGCTGCAGGGGTTGGCAGATGGGCGCTTTACTAGATGTACCTTCTCCCGCAACAGGAACCCGTCCGGGACAGGTGGCGCGCTGCGATTGGCCGACGGGGTCGCTGCGGTGGTGGAGGGGAGCAGGTTCGAGGGGAACGTGGCTGAGCTGGGCGGAGGCTTGGCGGTGGATGGACAGGCTCGGTTGGTCCTGACCTCAGGTTCAGAATTCAGTGGGAATTCGGCGCAGGTGGGAGCAGGGGCGGCGTTTGTAGGGACGGCGGTTGTGAATGTATCGGGATGTGCTTTTAAGGGGAACAATGCGAGTGTAGCCGGTGGAGGCGTGGCTGTGTTAGAGCAGGCGTCAGGGGGGGTGGGGGGGAGCGAGTTCAGTGGGAACTATGCGGTGCTGGGCGGTGCAGGTGTGTACGTGCTGCGCTCGCCCCTGGGGGCCTCAGAGGACGGCGGAACAGCAGGAGCAGCAGGGGCCACTGGGACTGCTGCTGGCTCAGGTGAAAATTCAGGTGGGGGTAAAGGCCGCCAGTTACAGCAGCAGCAGGGGCAGCAGCAGCAGCAGCAGCAAGGGGTGGGAGAGCAGGGGCCGGGGCGGCTGGTGGTGCGGCAGCTGAGCTTTGAGGGCAACAGTGCGCTGTACCGGCAGGCAGCGGCTTTCTTTGAGGCCACCACTCACCACCAGCTGCGCTCGCTCTGTGAGGGGTGTGCGTTCCGAGGGGCGGGGGACACCCAAGGCACCATGCCTGCTGGCTTCTCCATTAAGTGAGTGCTCGAATGGGTGGTGTGACAGAGAGTGGTAGAATAGTGTGAGGCGGCGGAGTGATGGACATGCAGTGCTGCACTGAGGTTTTGAGTGCCTGCCGTGACGACTTCATCTTGATGGTTAGAGTGCCCGGCCCGCTGCTTTTCCCTCAAGTGAGTTCCAGTCCACTGTGGTGTGAAAGACAGACAGATGGGTGGATTCACTCTAAATAAGTTCGCTTTTGAGTCGACTCTGCTGTTGAGTGGCTGCAGGTGCTTGTCCTGGACTGGACGCGCTGAACCAGAGTGTGGCGCAGGACAGCACAGCACAGCACAGCACGTCACAGGCTTGTAGCCTCTGTCTCTCTCCCCCATCCAGCGCTCCGCTGTTGAAAAGCCCGCCCACAAGCCCTCCTCCCGTTCATTCCCCTGCTCCCTCAACCCTCCGTTCCCCTCCAGGTGGCCGGGTCTAGAAGAGAATTCCAGTGAGAGGCCCGGGTCAACACTCGAATTCCAGTGGGTGGTGAATGCGAGGGGCTAGGCGTTTGTGGTGCGGGCAGCAGTGGTGGGGGCGCAGGACAGCACAGCACGTCACAGGCTTGTACCCTCTGTCTCTCTCCCCCATCCAGCGCTCCGCTGTTGAAAAGCCCGCCCACAAGCCCTCCTCCCGTTCATTCCCCTGCTCCCTCAACCCTCCGTTCCCCTCCAGGTGGCCGGGTCTAGAAGTGAACTCCAGTGAGAGGCCCGGGTCAACACTCGAATTCCAGTGTGTGGTGAATGCGAGGGGCTAGGCGTTTGTGGTGCGGGCAGCAGTGGGGGCGCAGGACAGCACAGCACGTCTCTGGGCCTCTGGATGCTGCCCTCTCTCTCTCTCTCTCTCCCCTCTCCCCACACTCACAACAGCCTGCTGAGCCCACTCAAAAGCCCTACTCACCTTGATTCCCCTGCTCTGCCAACCCCCTGCTACCCTCCAGGTGGCCGGGAAGGGAGGAGGACTCCAGCATGGTGAATGCGAGGGGGGAAACCTTTGTGGTGCGGGCGGCAGTGGGGGCGCGCATAGAGGGGCTGCAAGATCTTGTCTTCGACGCACTCAACCAGAGCCGTGGCGCAGGACAGCACATCTCTGCACTGCTACCCTCTGTCTCTCTCCTTTCACCCAAAACCCCTCCACCCCTTGACCTCCCCGCTCTGCCTACCCTTCGCCCAGGTGGCCGGGAAGGGAGAAAGACTCAAGCATGGTCAATGCAAGGGGAGAGGCGTTTGTGGTGCGGGCAGCAGTGGGGGCGTGCGCGCATAGAGGGGCTGCAGGTGCTTGTCTTGGACGCCCTCAACCAGAGCGTGGCGCAAGACAGCATGTCTGCAACACACACCGCTCACTCACATAGCTCACCACAGCACCTCTCAATCTCTCCCCCACAGCAGCCCGCTGAGCGCACTCAAAAGCCCTCCCCCCATCTGATTCTCTTGCTACCCTTTCACCCCCACAACTCCCAGGTGGCCGGGCAGGGAGGAGGACTCCAGCGTGGTGAACGCGAGGGGGGAAACCTTTGTGGTGCGGGCTGCGGTTGGGTCACGCATAGAGGGGCTGCAGGTTCTTGTCTTGGATGCGTTGAACCAGAGCGTGGCGCAGGACAGCACGTCGCTGGCTGCTGTGTCGCCTGACAGCAGGATTAGTGGCGACCTGAGGGGCACTGCCGCCAATGGCGTTATCACCATCCCCTCCATCGGCATCCAGGTGCGTCCGAGGTACAAGAGAGGGGAGTGTAGGCGCAGCGTTGGAAGGGAGGGTTCGAAGCATGGTGCAAAGCAAAGTATGGTGGCAGTAGCATGAGGGGCTCGTGCTGGACGCATTGAATTGAACCAGACTGTGCCTCAGGACAGCACGTCGCTGGCTGCTGCCGTATCGCCCGACAGGCGCATCAGCGATGATTTGAGGGGCACTGCCGCCAACGGGGTCATCACCATTCCTTCCATTGGCATCCAGGTGGGTGCACGGGAGAGAGTGAGGGAGTGAGAGAGTGAGGGAGTGTAGCGCAGTCTTGAAAGTAAGCCAGGTCACACCTGAGAAAGCCCGGTCGTTTGCGGTCACTGCTGCCCTGTCTTCACCCGCTAACGCCTTTCCCCCACTCTCGTTTTCTCTCCTGTAACCGCGTTTCCCACTGATGCTCCCATGCAGGTCACACCAGAAGAAGCCCAATTCTTCGAGGTGACTGTCACCCTGTCTCTGCCCGCCAATGCCCTCCCTCCTGTCTCTCTCTCTTGCCTGCACCTACCTTTCCCCCTCTTTTCCTCCCATCCCGTGCAGGTAACACCAGAGGAAGCCCAATCCTTCGAGGTCACGGTGACCCTGTCTTCGCCCGCCAATGCCTTCCCCCCCGTCACCCGCGCCTTCAACATTTCCTTCTGCTCCGCGGGCGAGTTCCTCACCGCCACCTCACTCACGTGCCAGGACTGCTTGGTTGGCCACTGGTGAGTTGAAGAGTTTGAGTTGTGATAGTTGGGGGGTGGGTGGTGGCATGGCAGGGGTGGTGGCATGGCAGGGGTGGTGGCATGGCAGGGGTGGTGGCATGGCAGGGTTGGTGGCATGGCAGGGGTGGTGGCATGGCAGGGTTGGTGGCATGGCAGGGGTGGTGGCATGGCAGGGGTGGTGGCATGGCAGGGTTGGTGGCATGGCAGGGGTGGTGGCATGGCAGGGGTGGTGGCATGGCAGGGGTGGTGGCATGGCAGGGTTGGTGGCATGGCAGGGGTGGTGGCATGGCAGGGGTGGTGGCATGGCAGGGGTGGTGGCATGGCAGGGGTGGTGGCATGGCAGGGTTGGTGGCATGGCAGGGGTGGTGGCATGGCAGGGTTGGTGGCATGGCAGGGGTGGTGGCATGGCAGGGGTGGTGGCATGGCAGGGGTGGTGGCATGGCAGGGGTGGTGGCATGGCAGGGTTGGTGGCATGGCAGGGGTGGTGGCATGGCAGGGTTGGTGGCATGGCAGGGGTGGTGGCATGGCAGGGGTGGTGGCATGGCAGGGGTGGTGGCATGGCAGGGGTGGTGGCATGGCAGGGTTGGTGGCATGGCAGGGGTGGTGGCATGGCAGGGTTGGTGGCATGGCAGGGGTGGTGGCATGGCAGGGGTGGTGGCATGGCAGGGTTGGTGGCATGGCAGGGGTGGTGGCATGGCAGGGGTGGTGGCATGGCAGGGGTGGTGGCATGGCAGGGGTGGTGGCATGGCAGGGTTGGTGGCATGGCAGGGGTGGTGGCATGGCAGGGGTGGTGGCATGGCAGGGGTGGTGGCATGGCAGGGTTGGTGGCATGGCAGGGGTGGTGGCATGGCAGGGGTGGTGGCATGGCAGGGTTGGTGGCATGGCAGGGGTGGTGGCATGGCAGGGGTGGTGGCATGGCAGGGGTGGTGGCATGGCAGGGGTGGCTGGTTGCAGGCTCTTCCTTTGGTTTTGAATCAAGACTGTTCAAATGCATGATCACTAGCGTCTCCTCCATTCCCCTCCTTTCTTTGCCCTCTCCCTTGTCCTTCTCCTCCCCCCTTCCATTTCCCCAGGTGTGAAGCAGGGCAGCCCATGCAGCCCTGTCCGGACGGATTCTTCTCCTTCTACCTGCGAGCCACCACCCCATCCCAATGCACCGCCTGCACTGATGACAACCTCGACTGCACCTACGGCATCCTCACTGTGGGTTATCAGAGCTGGCTGGACCTCCGTACGCGCTGCTCACTGCTTCCCCTTCTTCTCCTCCTCCCTCTCGTACCCCCCCACAGGTGTGAAGCAGGGCAGCCCATGCAGCCCTGCCCTGACGGCTTCTTCTCCTTCTACCCGCGATCCACTTCCCCCTCCCAATGCACCGCCTGCACTGATGACAACCTCGACTGCACCGACGGCATCCTCACCGTGGGCTACCAGAGCTGGCTGGACCTGCAGTCGCTGAATAACACCCCCACGACGTACAGCTGTCTGGTGGCGGATGGGTGTGTGGGGTACGAGTACAACCAGCAGTGGGGGCAGACGACTGCTCAAGGAGTCATGGTGCAGTGCCAAGAGGGCTACGACGAGTCTATCCCGTGAGTGGTACAGCTGCTGGGGCATGGGAAGAGCCTGAGGGAAGGGCGTGAGTGGGTAGCCCAGAGAGGGAGAGGTGTCACAGCGGGGTAGCAGGGTTAGATACACAGAGAGGTAGAGCTCTAGCTAGACTTTGAGCGGCTGAGTAGCACGCCCACCACACCACGTACAGATGTCTGGTGGCGGATGGGTGTGTGTGTGGGGTACGAGTATAACCAGCAGTGGGGGCAGACCACTGCCCAAGGAGTCATGGTGCAGTGCCAGCAGGGTTACGACGAGCCTATCCCGTGAGTGCTGCTGCTGGTGGGGTACTAGGTGCACTGTCGGTTCAACAAGGATGGGAATCGATGTGAGTTTTGCCATTTGGGGTAAGTGCCTGCCTGCCTGCCTGCCTGCCTGCCTGCCTGCCTGCCTGCCTGCCTGCCTGCCTGCCTGCCTGCCTGCCTGCCTGCCTGCCTGCCTGCCTGCCTGCCTGCCTGCAGAGAAGTGCTGCTTCTTTCTTCCCCTGGCCTGCCTCTGCAGCTTTTCTCTTCCCTGTACTCTCAGTTTTCCCCCCCCCAGCACGTTTGCGGAATGTGTGGAAATACACCTTCTTTTCTCGTTCTGCAGCAGCGCACCGCACCTTCTCATTGCGCAGCACTCACTAAGCACTGTGCCCTCCTGTCGCACACTCTCATTGCCTCTACGTCTCCCATCCCGCTCTGACAACCCTCTCTCCCCCATGCTATCTCAATCCAAACCCCCACTGCAGCACGTGTGCGGGCTGTGTGGATGGCTACTTCCTAGTGCTGCAGCAGTGCACTCAGTGCAGCAGTGCTCTCACAAGGGTGAGTCTATTTTGAGTCGACTCAAAGATTTGCTGCTCACTGGAAGATGTCCGAAGATCAGCAGCACTCTCACAAGGGTGAGTGCGCTCTCTTTGTCGAAAAACACTCTCACTTGGCAAACTCTCTCTCTCTCTCTCACTCTTGCTTGGGGAAAAAACCCATGCAAGGTCATCTAATACTCATGTGATATATGTTTGATACTTCATGTGTGGAATCAAGATATGACAGCAGCACCAACACGATTTTCCCCTCCTTACTTCTCTCCTTCCCGTCTCTCTTCCGTTTCAATACCCAGGTCTTCCCGCTCCTCCTCATCCTGGTGATCTTGGCATGGGTGGGAATGAACATTCTGGCCGACACATTCAGCAGCATGGACATCTTTCTCAACGATGTGCAGCTGCTAGTCATGATCGCGTCCTTCAACCTCAACTACCCCGACCGCTGGGTGCAGACGCTCGTGAAGATCTACAACTTTGCAGTTTTTGACCCGGTGAGTTGGGATCCAGTGGCATGCAGTGCGGTGCCATGTGGTGCGCTGAGGTGGTGTGTGGTTTGGTTGTGGTTATCAGCTGTGCAGCTGCTAGTCATGTCATGATCGCGTCCTTCAACCTCAACTACCCCGACCGCTGGGTGCAGACGCTCGTGAAGATCTACAACTTTGCATTCTTTGACCCTGTAAGGAGGTGTGCAGTGCGGTATGGTGAGGTGGGGTGCTGTGGCGTGTGGTTCGGTGCGGTTCTGTTTGGTTTGGTTGCGCTTATCAGCTGTGCAGCAGCTAGTCATGATCGCCTCTCTCAACCTCAAAACTCCACCTCCGCTTCCCCTACACTCCAAATCTCTCTCCTTACACTCCACCTCCCCTCCTCCGCCCTCCCCACCGACAGGACGCCATCGGTCCGCAGTGCATATTCAACTACACCTTCGTCTCCAAGTCCTACCTGGGGATCTTCATCCCTCCCTGACGGCACACAGTTGCACATCTACGCTTGGCGCCACAGGCCCAACCCCAGCACCTCATTCCTCTTTCCTCCCCTTCTCCTCCCTCCTGCCCCCCGCTCCCTCCCCTTCTCCCCCCTCCCTCCTCCAACAGGACGCCATCGGCCCGCAGTGCATATTCAACTACACCTTCATCTCCAAGTTCTACCTGGGCATCTTCATCCCCGTTATAGGCCTCTTCGTTTATGCGCTGCTGTACGCGCGGCACCGCTGGTGGGGCGGCACGACGTGGTCGCACATCTACTCGTGGACCCGCGGGCCCAACCCGCAGGCGCGGCTCATGCGCTCCGTGACGCGGCGGAGAGCTTATAACGAGTATGAGAACTCCATCGTGCACGCGTCGCTCAAGTGGCTGGACCTGTGCTACGTGTCCGTGATGGTCCGCGTGCTATCCGTGTACAAGGTAATCAATCTCACACGCTCCCCGTTTCCCTCATTGACCACATTGACCACATTGACCGCTGGTGGGGCGGCACGACCTGGTCGCACATCTACTCGTTTCGGCAGCGGGCCCAACCCAACCCGCAGGCGCGGCTCATGCGCTCGGTGACAAGGCGGCGGGCTTATAACGAGTATGAGAACTCCATCGTGCACGCGTCGCTCAAATAGCTGGACCTCTGCTACGTGTCCGTGATGGTCCACGTGCTGTCCGTGTACAAGGTGAGGCGATTTGCTGTCCACAGCCCGCATCGGCTTATATCGAGTATGAGAACTCCCTCCATTCTGCACGCGTCACTCAAGTGGCTGCAAGTGGCTGGATTTGTGCTGCATGTCTGTGTTGGTCCGCGTTCTCTCCGTCTACAAGATAATGCTTAAATCGACATCGACCAGATTTACTGCACCAAGGTGACTTTTGAGTCGACTCAAAAGTCATTTTGAGTCGACTCAAAAGTCACCTCAATCAAGTGGCTGCAAGTGGCTGGATTTGTGCTGCGTGTCTGTGTTGGTCCGCGTTCTCTCCGTCTACAAAAAAGAATGCTTAAATCGACATCGACCAGTTTGAATGGACATTGTAACGAGGTGACTTCGAGTCGACTCAAAAGTCACCTCAAAAGTCGAGTCTACTCAAAAGTCTTCTCTCCGTCTACAAGTTCATGCTTAAAATGGCAACGACCAGATTGAATGCATTGACTTCATGGCAACGACCAGATTGAATGCATTTACTTCATGCTGTCTCCATTCCCCCCCCCCCCCTCCCTCCTCTCTCTCACCCTCCACACCTTCTCCCCTCTCTCCACCAGTCAATGACAGTGAAGGACGCAGTGCTAATGGCAGCAGCGCCGCAGATCGCATGGTTCTCATCAGCCCACATTGCTATGTTCACCGTATCGCTGCTCGTCTCCATCATCTACCTGCTGGGCCTACCCCTCTTCTTCGCATTCCTGCTGCTCGACGCTCACGCCTCTATTGCCCCTTCCCTCTCCTTCTCCCTCTCCCTCTCTCCCTCCCTGTCCCCTCCCTCTCCTTCTCCCCTTCCACCAGTCAATGACAGTGGGGGGCGCAGTGCTAATGGCAGCAGCACCACAAATCGCATGGTTCTCATCGGCGCACATCGCCATGTTCACTGTATCGCTGCTCGTCTCCATCATCTACCTGCTGGGCCTGCCCCTCTTCTTCGCATTCCTGCTGCTCGACGCTCACGCCTCTATTGCCCCTTCCCTCTCCTTCTCCCTCTCCCTCTCTCCCTCCCTGTCCCCTCCCTCTCCTTCCCCCCCTCCTCCAGTCAATGACAGTAGGGGAGGCAGTGCTAATGGCAGCAGCACCACAAATCGCATGGTTCTCATCAGCCCACATCGCCATGTTCACTGTATCGCTGCTCGTCTCCATCATCTACCTGCTGGGCCTACCCCTCTTCTTCGCATTCCTGCTGCTCGACGCACACGCCTCCGATGCCCTCTCCTCCAACCTCTTCCGCCAGAGATTCGGGTGGCTCACGGAGCGGTACAAGCGCGAATTCTGGTGGTGAGTAGGGGTTTGAAGTGGTGGTGGTGTTGTGATCAACTGTAGGGTATAGGCAATAGTGGGTTGGGAAGGGCACGCCTCAGACGCCCTCTCCTCCAACCTCTTCCGCCAGAGATTCGGGTGGCTCACGGAGCGGTACAAGCGCGAATTCTGGTGGTGAGTAGGGGTTTGAAGTGGTGGTGGTGTTGTGATCAACTGTAGGGTATAGGCAATAGTGGGTTGGGAAGGGCACGCCTCAGACGCCCTCTCCTCCAACCTCTTCCGCCAGAGATTCGGGTGGCTCACGGAGCGGTACAAGCGTGAAATCTGGTGGTGAGTGGTGGTGTCTTGCGAGGGAATAGTGGGTACATGCAACAGTGGGTTTAGGTGGTTCTCCTCCCACATATTCGAGGGTGAGAACCGTTTTCGGGCTTGTGTGCTGGAGGTAATTTCTGCTCTTGTGCTCTTGCAGAAAGACACTTGAGTCGACTCACACTCCCTCCTCATCTCTGTGACTCTCCCCACCACTGCAGGTGGCATCTGGTGACAATGGTGCTGCGCCTGGTTCACGCCCTGGTTCTCGTGTTCTGGTGTGCTGGTGTTCCTGTAGCAAGTCACTTGACTCATCTCAACGCTCTGTGCCATCTCCCCTGTCTCTTGCCCCACCACTCAAGGTGGCATCTGGTGACAATGGTGCTGCGCCTGGTTCACGCCCTGGTTCTCGTGTTCCTGCAGCAAGACACTCGCGCGCAGGTGGGTTACTCTTGAGAAGCAAGCCACTCAGGTGGGTGATATTTGTTTTGCTGAGCCACTCAACAGTGTGCCGCGGCTGGTTCGCGCACTTGTTCTCGTGTTCCTGCAGCAAGACACTCGCGCGCAGGTGAGAGGATTTATGTGGGCGGAGCAGACATGTGGGCATGCACATGTGTAATGTAGGGATATCGTTGTTGCACAATGTGTGAATCGGTTTCACTCACTTGGTTCGTACAGTTTCACCGGATCGCTCATCATCGCTTCCCTCCCTCTCTCTCCTCCTCCTCCCCCGCACCCTTCTTCCCAGATCATGATAATCCTCCTGCTGCAGGTGCTAAGGGATCGGCTCGCAGTACAAGTCCTCGCCGCTCGCCTCTCTCTCGCTGGACTACCTGCAGGCCTTCCTCTCCCTCGGCCCACTTCTTCTTTCCTCACACTTTCCTCACTGCCCTCCTGCCTCCCTTCCGCCCCTTCCCCTCCCCTTCCCCTCCCCTTCCCCTCCCCTTCCCCCCTCTCATTCCCCTACCATTCCCCTCCCCACCCCCCAAGATCGTGATAATTTTGCTATTACAAGCATTAAGGATCGGCTCGCAGTACAAGTCCTCGCCGCTCGCCTCGCTCTCCCTCGATTATCTCCAAGCCTTCCTATCCCTGGGCCACTTCTTCTTCACGCTCGGCCTGCTCTGCTTCAACTACATCAAACTCCCCGCCTTCTCCCAGGCCGTCTTCGCCCTCTCCTCTCTCCTCATCCTCACTCCTGCCGCCTTCTCTCTTGTCTTCGAGGCAATCAACAAGGACTTAGAAATTGTGAATCGGCAGCTGTTGAACCGAGTCTGGAAGGGCGAGCGGAGGAGAAATAAAGCTAAGTATGACAAAATGGACCCGTATGAATTAGTCCAGCCGCAGGAGATTTCCGCGTGGTTCCGCCCGCACGTCATCTTCCCGCTGCTCTTAGCTAAGCGCGCGCACGAGCGGAAGCTTTTGCTGAAAGTCCGCGACCGCGTGCAGACGTGTAAGCTGGCGGGAATGGCGCCGGTCGATTGGGTGAGTCATCTGAACAAGCCGCAGTTATACGCTGTGTTGAGTCAGGCTTTATTAGGGGCTAGCGCGGGACATATCACGATTGCGCGGGTTCCCAGGAAGGGGACGTTTTGTAGGGAGCATGGGACGTGGCATGCTGCTGGGGAGGAATGCTGCTTTGTGAGGAGAGCAGGAGGGACGCAAGGAGGCGGCGGGGAGGGATGCGGGGAGGGATCAGGGGTAGGAGATGGAACAGGAGCGGGAGCAGGAGGAACGGGAGCAGGAGCGGCAGCGACGTCAGCACAGCTGCTGTCAGCGGCGCCATGGGCGCCGCGGATAGAGAGGCACGTGAGTTGGGCGTCCTATGACAGCAGCAGCAGGGACTTCGACGGCAGCGCCTCCGGCCGAAACGCCGCTGCCGCCGCCGCTGCTGCCGCCGCTGCCGCAGCTGCTGGGTCTTCACCTGGCATGTCTCCGTTCGCGCCCGCAACAGGGACTCCTAGTGGGGCAGGTCTCGCAATGTCCCCCCTTTCTGGCATGTCGCCCATTCATGGCATGTCACCACTCTCAGGAGCGAATAGTGCTCTGCCTTCCAGCACAGTGCAGGGCATGCATGGTGCTGCTGGTGCTGCTGGTGCTTCTGCTGGTGCTTCTGGTGGTGCTTCTGGTGGTGCTTCTGGTGCTTCTGGTGGTGCTTCTGGTGCTTCTGGTGGTGCTTCTGGTGCTTCTGGTGGTGCTTCTGGTGCTTCTGGTGGTGCTTCTGGTGGTGCTTCTGGTGGTGCTTCTGGTGGTGCTTCTGGTGGTGCTTCTGGTGGTGCTGGTGGAGGGTCGCCCATACACGGGGTGTCGTCGTCGCCCTCGCTGGCGTTGCATGGCATGTCGCCGCTTGCCCCGGCGGCAGCAGGAGGGCCGGGCGCGTCCCCTCTGTCCCGTGTCTCGGGTCCTGGAACAGACGTGGAGGGAGGAGGAGGAGGGGGAGGGGAGTCCCCCCTCTCATGGGCACTGCAAGGGGGGAGAGGAGAAGTGGTGGGAGGGGGAGGAGGAGTAGCAGGAGAAGGGGCAGGAGGAGGAGGGGAGGGAGGGGCAGGTGGGGGCCCAGGAGGAGGGGCAGGAGGGGGAGGGGACATGGAGAATGGAGGGATGGGGCAAGCGAGGACAGAGAGCATCAAGGTGCAGGGGTTGGTGTCGTGGGCACAGGCAGGCGGCGGGGCGGCTGGGGCTGGGGAGAAATTCGAGAGGCTGGGAGGTGATGGCAGAGGAGGAAGAGACAGAGGCGGGATCGAGGTTCAAAGAGAGGAAGAGGGAGGAGTGGAAGGAGCAGGGGAAGGAGAAGCAGGAGGAGGAAATGGAGCAGGAGAGGGGGGCGGGGTGGAGTATGTGGAGGCAAAGATGAACATGGCGGAGCTGACTCTCACCTTCCAGCGCCACCTCTCTGTGCTCGTGCGCGCCGAGAAGACCAAGAAGGACGGGTCGCTGCGCCTGCTGCTGCAGTCCGAGTGCATCCCGGACATTCTGAGCTGGCTCACGAGTTCAGACTGGTACGTGTTGCCCTGAGAATTCTCAAAAGTCGCTTTTGAGAATTCTCAAAAGTGCTGCAGTCCGAGTGTATTCCGGACATTCTGAGCTGGCTCACGAGTTCAGACTGGTACGTGTCACCCTGAAAAATGTGGCTCAAAGGACATTGGTTAGGTTGGGTTGGGTTGGACTGGGTTGGTTTTCTCAAGGGGCGTATGCTGCAGGCAGGGAGCTGACTCTCACCTTCCAGCGCCACCTCTCCATGAGAGTCAGGAGAGGTGGTGCTGACTCTCACCTCTCCGTGCTCGTAAGGGCTGAGAGGACCAAGAAGGACGGGTCCCTACGGCTGCTGCTACAATTGGAGTGCATCCAGGATATCCTCAGCTGGCTCACGAGTTCAGACAGGTACGTGACGAGGGTGTGTTCAATGGCCTTAAAGAACATCCTTAGCTGGCTCACCAGCTTGGATTGGTACGTCTGTTGCTGTGGCGAGGGTGCGTACAATACAAAAGCTCCCATGCACTTCCCAACTCTCCCATGCTGAGGGAGCTGGTGCTGGCTGTGCTTCCGCCCTCCTTACCCATGCACTTCCCAACTCTCCCATGCTTCCGCCCTCCTTCCCACGTCCCTTCTGTGCCTCCAACCTCTCCCCTCCCTTTCCCCCTTCTACAGCGCCCAGGCGGATCAGATGCTTTTAAGGGAGCTGGTGCTGGATGTGCGAGTGGCAGCACTGGAAGAAACCGGAGGGCTGGACTGGTTCCGCGGTTTGCGGCGCTTCTACTCACCACTCGACTCTCCTCCATTTGCACCCCTCATCCCCCTACATTCGCACTCTGTCTCCCATTTGGAGAAGACCGGAGGGCTGGACTGGTTCCGTGGGGTGCGGTGCTTCTATCCACTACTCGACTCTCCTCTCTCCTTTCCCCATCCACACAACCCACACCCCTTCCCCCTGCAGCGCCCAGGCCGATCAGATGCTGCTGAGGGAGTTGGTGCTTGCAGTGCGAGTAGCAGCATTGGAGGAGACCGGAGGGCTGGACTGGTTCCGTGGCGTGCGGTGCTTCTACCGCAACCGATTCTCATTCATTAACAAGGGGGGGAGCAAGGTGAAGGGGGGAAAAGGTGGGGGAATAGGCAAGGGGTTGCAGGGGAGAACGGGTGAAGGGGAGAACGGTGGGGCTGGTGAGGGAAGCAGCCAGGTTAGGGGCCTTCTGGGGTGGTTTCAAAGAGGCGAGAAGCAGACAGCTGCTGGTGGTGCTGCTGATGGTGCTGATGCTGCTCCCTCCTCTGGTGGCTATGGCAGCAAGGGGAACCTGCTTTGAGGCTTCTTTTTTAGTGTAAGGTAGAAGGGTACGAGTTGAATGAACACCCCCTACCTACCCCTACATACCTACTGTAAGCATTGGAGTGTTCAGGGTGTGGGAAAACAATAGGTGGAAGGGTTGCAAAATATGCTGGGAGTGAGAGAAGTGGAGTGGGTGGTGCAATCCCAGAGAATCTCTCTCACTGCCTGTGGTTCACTGTTTCAACATGTACAGTATCTGTCTGTTTTTCTACATATTTCGCAGGAAATGTGTAGGAAATATTTTGGCGTAGCCCTCAGCGTAAGTGAAGTGAAGGCACCCTCATGCAGGCAACATCTCAAAATGACATACCTACAGCATTATCAGTAGCATTGGTAAATGACAGTGCAGTGGTTCATATTTGTCATAATTTAGGCGTACATTGAATGAAACCAACAGAGAATAACACAAGCTACTGCAGGGCCCCCCCTCTTGTGGGTAAGCTCCTACCTACCGCACATGTGAACCCAATACCATGTTGACAAAACCTCCGCGCCCCCTAGAGTACACACGAGTTGTCACGAGATATATAAGTTAAACGCCTGTTGAGCCTTTTGCAGCCCAAGATTCGAGCCTGTCTGCGGCTCTGGTAATCTTCCTCTTGTCCGGCTGATCACCTGATGCAGGCTGGACGCCATTGCATGATACGCTGTATAATTGACTGCAGCTGCGTTTGCTGCTGCGTATGTGAAATTTCGCCATGCACTACCCTTTCCTAAAAAATGTACCTGTATTCTGCAAGACGAGACTTCGTCAAACTCTTCAGAATCCAAACACCCAGTCGATTTCCACAGCGTCTGTGGTCTGACTCCGACCCCACACACTGCAGGAGAGCAGCTGCGGCGTTTGCGCCAGCGATCCTTCCGAAGCTATTAAATCCGCAGCATCGAACTCGTCCGGTTTAACCATCGGGCTGTACCCTCCAAACAAACCCCACAGCGAAGGAGCCGCACTTAAAGTCTCCCCTTGGACATCCTCCGCTGCTGCTGCTTCCCCTGCGACCGATTCCAACCCGTCAGCCTGCTCCGATCTAACTCCGTCTGCTTCAACAGACGAGGAGGCGAGGCTTAGCCGTGAGCTCGCACACAGAAAGCTGGAATGGTTCTCAAGCTCCAACCGCGGCGGGGTTTGCGGAGACGCGTGTGGTAGCTTCCTGGAAACCACGGGGCTGAACTCGGCTGAGCATTGGAGATGAGAGACGGGCGAGCTGGGGAGGTGCGAGTGCGATTGCATGGCGGGACTGGGGGAAGAGAGGACTGCGCCTGTACAGATGCACTGTCTTGCGTTGTCGATCGAGTCGCTATCGAAGCTATCTACCACTTGTTCGGAACGCTCGTCCTGCAGCTCCTGCTCTGCTTGCTGCTGCGGCTGCTGCGGTTGCTGCATCTGCTGCTGTTGCTGCGATCGGAACACCTCAGTGAACCACGGATGCTGAAGAATATCGCTAGCAGTCGGTCTCTTGGTCGGATCCTGCCGGAGCATGCACCGAATCAAGTCTTTCGCGAACGGCGAAATCGATCCCCAGATCGGCCGGTAAAACGAAAACTTCCCGCGCCTGACGGCTGCGAGGACCTCGTCCTCCGATTCCCCGAAAAACGGAGCTGAACCTGAGAGAAGCATGTACAGCATGACACCCAGAGACCAAATATCTGCTTCGTGGCCGTAATTTCCGGAAAGAACTTCTGGAGCGAGGTAGAACGGGCTTCCGGCGACACCGTAAACCTGCTTGTGAGGGTCCACGAACAGCGAAAGCCCGAAATCAGTAAGCTTGACCCTCGGCGTCAATGAAAAGCATTTCGTAGGAGACCTGCAGTCATCTGCTCCTGCTGCCGTCCTAACGCCTGATTCCTGTACAAGGAGAATATTTTCCGGTTTTAAGTCACGGTGCAGAACGCCGTGTTCATGGCAGTGCATGACAGCAAGCACAATCTCCTCGAAGACTGCTGCTGCTTGTACTTCTGTCATGAAGCCATGGCTGCTGATGTCGTCAAATAAATCACCACCCTCGCAGAGCTCCATAATTAGGTGAACAAATCTGTTGTCCTCGAAAACGTCTTCCAGGTTCAGCGTGTACGGGTTCCCGGATAGTCTCCGCATGATCTCGATTTCTCTGCGAACATCTTCCTTATCCTCCCTGAAGAAAAGGAGCAAGCAAACAAACAAACAAGGAGTTGAGTCAGCACTGCTAGTAAACGACCGTGTTAGAGCAAGACGATGTTTCTGTTGATTTTTATAATCAAAAAAAAACCCAGAAGGCGTGGGAATAGAAACTAACCAGTGCGAGAGTTTAGACTTGTCAATCGACTTGCATGCGTATTTTCCGCCTCCGGAACGTTTTCTGCAAAGCTTGACGATTCCGAAGTGTCCACGACCCAGCTCTTTCTCTAAGGTGTAAGCATCCTCTAGCCGTCCTGTGCGCTGATGCAGTACCCATCCTCCATCTAACTCAAACGGGAAGCGGACCATCGCTGAACCTCAAAACCCCGATTTCTCAACGAGTTTTATTTTTCTCTAATGAAGACCAGGCAAACACTTTCGGCGGCTACCGGTGCTCACTCAGCTAGGCTGCAGAGTAATAATAAGTAGTGCTAATAGTCTCTATAAATAAAATGGTGTCACCGCGCTGACAGATACCTAATAAATAAAACACGTCCTACCAGCAACAGCTGTTAGTGGAAGGGGAAATACTGAAGGACGTCTCGAGCCTCTAGTTCATGAATCATGAACCTTAGGCTCTGCCAAACAGAGAAGATGGGAAAGTTTGAGACTCAACTGCAGCTGGCTGGGAAATTCTATCCCTTCCAAGTTGGAATGGAAGTAGAAGCTCCAGGCTCCAGCCCTCAACTCCAGCTGCACTGTTCTTACCCAGTCGCAATCCCAAGAGGGGACAGACGACGCAATGCAACGCAACGCAATGCAGACAACGGACGAACAACACGGCGACGGCATCGCCCAGCACATGCCACCGAAAGAGTCGCCCTCGCGAGCATTTGCGACAATCGTCTCGTAGGCGTCGGCGACGGTGTAGCAGAGTCGAGCGAGATCCCACCCGCAGGAGCATGGGCGGCAGGTGCGACTGAACAGAACCCAAGAGGGTCGCCGAGCGGATAAAAGGAGGCACGACATTCGCCAAACGACCGTCAGGTGCCTGAGCGAGTCGCTAGCAGGACTGCAGACTGTCGGCGACACAGTGAGGGTTTCCTGAGACGGTTTCGCACTGTTTGGAGTGGAACCGGAAACTGGAGCGATGTGGCAGGTGAATTATCGCCTCGCACGGATGCTGCCCTTGCCGCTCGGAAGTTGTCAGGAATAACTGCACCGCCCCCGACCCAGCCAGACCTGACGGAAGTTCCATCTGGGAATGGCGGGAAAGTGAAGTTGTTGACGGACAGTCAGCGACGGGCAGCATTATTGTGGACAATAATGTGTGCGGTCAGAGCGGCCAGCGAAGAAATTCCGACAAAGACGTGTCGCCTCCCTGGTTCTACGCGGCCCAGCGCACTTCCTTGTGGTGCACGATTCCGCTTCCGCAGAAGAAGCGGAAGGCTGACATGGATCCGATCATGATTGACCTAGCCCTTACATGACCGTCAGTCTAACTGACCAAGATTGACGGCAGCTCTCTCCCACCTACTACACGACAGAGGCGTCTTTCACAAAGAAGCTTCTTTGATGCCTCTTTGAAGCTTTGCAGAAGCTTGCCGTAGGAGCCGCCATTGGACTATTTCAAAGCTGGAGGTCCGTCTTTCAGAGATAAAATCGACATACGCACAACTCGAACTTAGCCATCTAATAGAACCTATATAGAAACAAAACTTACATATACAAATGCTAATATTACAAGGCTAGAGACTATTTGGTGGAAAAGCCCCTCACCAGGAACAAAAAAAAAACACACAATGCACAAGTAGTGCAGCGGCCACAATGCTCACTGCTGCATACCTAGCCTCGTTCCTTCAATTCGCCAACGCTATGCTGCCGCACCTTCAAACTCATAAGCTAGTGGATCAGATGACTCGCACATGCGGTACTCGTCAATCATTGAGCGCACTACCTCGTGTGATTCATCGAACTCCACCAGGTTGTCCTGCGGGAAGTGAAAGAGCGGAACATACCAACATACCAACAAAGCACACCAATTTTTACATACAACAAGCGACTCCACCAAATTTATAAGAAATGCATGAAGGGAAATGTACACAGGAAAAGACTGTCCCAGACATACATGCTGACAGAGAGAGGGATGCACTCGCACAGGACTCACGGAGAACATGGAGAACTGCTTGTAGGGCTCGAGGAAAGCGGACTTGCGGCGCATGTTCTCATACTGCTTCACACAGCGCCCAAACAGGTGCCTCATGCCCGTGTGGTTTGCCAGCATCAGCCCGCTCACTTTGTGCCCCGTCTGCACGTAAGGGGACTTGCGAGAGAGTGCCACCTGGGAGGGGCATGTGATGTGTGTGTTGGGGGGGAGGGGGGGTTTGGGTGTGGCGAGAGAGACGAGGAGAAATACATCTTCAGAATGAAACATCCATCGATCCTTCCTGCTCCCCGTGCAGCAGCTCACACGCACCATAATGTTGGCAGAGCATACATAAAAAGTCATCGACGCAGCAAATGCTCAGTCGTCCAGCCTACTCACCTGTATATTGGCAGGCCCCCACTCAATAAAAGAAGCGGCCTGTTTCTCTCGGATGCGCTGCATGCTTTTGTTCACCTCCCCCGGATCCACCCCTTGGACCATGCCCATTAACCCCCCTCCTTCCCCACTCCACAACCACCAGCTATCGCACACCTGGATGTTGGCAGGCCCCCATTCGATGAACGAGGCAGCCTGTTTCTCTCGGATGCGCTGCATGCTCTTGTTCACCTCCCCCGGATCCACCCCTTGGACCATGCCCATTAACCCCCCTCCTTCCCCACTCCACAACCACCAGCTATCGCACACCTGGATGTTGGCAGGCCCCCATTCGATGAACGAGGCAGCCTGTTTCTCTCGGATTCGCTGCATGCTTTTGTTCACCTCCCCCGGATCCACCCCTTGGACCATGCCCATTAACCCCCCTCCTTCCCCACTCCACAACCACCAGCTATCGCACACCTGGATGTTGGCAGGCCCCCATTCGATGAACGAGGCAGCCTGTTTCTCTCGGATGCGCTGCATGCTCTTGTTCACCTCCCCCGGATCCACCTCCCCCTGGATGACGTTCAGAATCGCCATGTACCGCGCTGCACTCACGTCCCGCGCTCGCCCGTAATGGGACGATACCATCCAGTTCTGTGGCTGTAGGGGGAGAACAGAGAGAGGTGACGGAGGAAAAGGGAGCGAAGAGTCATGTCATGCATCCAACTCCCCTTGTATGTTCAGTTCAGCAGTCGCCTCGGAAAGTAAAAAATGGACGTCTTGCAGATAATGTTTTCCCGTCGTGCATGCACCATGACACGCACATGCACCGTCCTACCATCCTACCACCTTACCTCCTCACACCCTATACTCCGACCACCATACCTGCAGCAGTCTCCTCATGACGTCAAAGACTGATGTCTTGCGAATGACGTTCTCCTGTAGTGCATGCGGCACCATGTCACACACAGATGAGGAAACGCACAGAATTGTGGAACACACATGAGATGAGAGCATATAAAAATTATGTGAGACAGACAGACACAGAGTGAAACAGAGTGAAAGACAGACACAGACAGATACAGACAGACACAGGCAGACAGACAGACACAGACAGACAGAGAGTGACATAGGCAGAAAGCCACGCACACACACATACACGCACCTGTCTCTGCACAGTGAGGGGCGTGTAGCTGAAAACCAAGAAGTAACAGCGAAGACACCATCACCATGGATGAGCCCAGGGTACCGAATCGTGTTGGTACTCGCAACCATCACCATCACACGCTCACAGACAGACAGAGACAGACAGAGACAGACAGAGACAGACAGAGACAGACACAGGCAGAAACAGGCAGACACAGACAGTGTCACACACGCACCTGTCGCTGCACAGTCAGGGGCGTGTGACTGGAAACCAGAAAGTGACACAGCGGCGTGGGCACCAGCGACGACACCATGGAAGCCAGGTCATTGCTCATGAACCCCGGTTACAATGTTAGTACTTGCAGCCATTACCATCACACGCTCACATACACACACAGACAGACACAGGGCAGACACAGGCAGAAAGCCACGCTCACACTCCCACACCCACTCACACACGCACCTGCCTCTGCACAGTCAAGGGCGTGTAACTGGAAACCAGAAAGTGGCACAGCGGCGTGGGCACCAGCGACGACACCATGGAAGCCAGGTCATTACTCATGAACCCCGGGTACCGAATCGTATTCGTGCTCGCGGCCATGACCATCGCCACCAGAGAATTTGTCTCGGCGAACGTCGGCTGGTGCAGCCTCAGCCTCTCCGCTGCAATTCTATCCAGGGCTGTGTTGTCGAGTACAACCACACTGTCAGCGTGCTGAGTCAGCCGGCGGAGGGTCAGCAGGGAATTGTACGGCTGGACCACCACGTCAGACGTTTCTGATTGGTTCGGGAAGACACTGTATGTCTGCACGAGCTTCTTGGGGTAGCGGTCGTGCAGCTCTTCCAAGAGGTACGAGCCCATGCCTGTAAGAGATAAGACAGCGGAATAGAGAGAAGAGAGAACACGTGGCAAACCTTGGAAAGAAGAGGCGATACACTGGGAAACACGTTGTATGTCTGCACGGACTTCTTTGGTTAGCGATCGTGTAGCACTTCTAAAAATAATGATCACGTGTCTGTCAGAGATGAGACAGATGGATAGAGAGAAAGAGAGAACTTGGATGTGCCAAAGAGGGGAGCAATAGGGAGCACACTGTAGGTCTACACGAGCTTTTTGGGGTACCACTTGGACCCTGAGAAGCTCATGCAGACTCACAGTGTGTTCTTTACTGCTTCCTTCTTTGGCATATCCATGTTTTTTCTCCCTTTCTCTCTGTTCCCATGTCTCATGCGGATCTTCCAAGAGGTACAAGCCCATGCCTATAAGGGGTGAAAGAGGGGATCAGAACACACATGTTGGATCTTGGGGAAAAAGAGGCGAGCGTCAATCTTTTCTCCATAGCCATGCCATTTCTTTGTCTCACCTGACCCCGTCGCCCCAGCTACGAGATGACAAAGATTAAGGCTTCTAGATTATCGCTGCCCTCCGCCTCCCTGTCAGTCATCTCATGATTGCCTCCTGCTCTGCAAGCACCTGGTAAAACCCCACCAGCAGAGACCTCACTTCATTGCCCCGTCTCACCTGACCCCGTGCCTCCAGCCACAGAGTGGCAGAGATAAAACGCCTCGAGATTCTCGCTGCCCTCCGCCTCCCTGTCAATCATCTCCATGATCGCCTCCTGCTGCGCGCGCGCCTGGTCAAACCCGCTCGCCCAGTTGTTCCCCGCGCCCCCCCCGTGCTCCGCCACGTACACGTTCTCCGCGTTGAAGAGCGCGCGGAACTCGCCCGCCTGGATGCCCCTCACCACGCGCGGCTCTAGATCCAGCAGCACGGAGCGCGGGATGTAGTGCTGGTCGTCCGCCTGATAGAAGAACACGTCCTTGCGATCGTCGCCCTGGTTGTGATAATTGCGGGGGGAAGAAGGGAGGCTGGGGGAAACCGAGAGGAACGAGCGCGGGATGTAATGCTGATCGTCCGCCTGATAGAAGAACACGTCCTTGCGATCGTCGCCCTGGTTGTGATAATTGCGGGGGAAGAAGGGGGGCTGGGGGAGACCGAGAGGAACGAGCGCGGGATGTAGTGCAGATCGTCCGCCTGATAGAAGAACACGTCGCGGTCGTCGCCCTGGGGAAAGAGGGGAAGGCGGAAAAAATAGGGGAGGAGGGGAAGGAAATGAGGGATGCGGGAAAGAGGAGGAAGGAGCGCGGGGTGTAGTGCTGATCGTCCGCCTGATAGAACAAGAAAAGTCCCGGAATAGTCATCCATCCATGGTCATTTGATGAACAATCATCCCATCAATGGTTTCCGAATGAACGGTCATCTGATCAAGGTCATCCCATCAACAGTCACCTAATGAACGGTCATCTCATCGAGGATCACCTCGAAACCGCCGTACCTGCGTCGCGAAGTCCTGCAGGTTGCCATCCAGCCCGATGCCGTGCTCTAGACACAGTTGTCGCCAGAATTCGCTCGCCACCTGGTTACCACACTGCCCGACCTGAAGCGTTACAATTTCCCCCGGCATCCTCACAGTCACCACACGTCACCGGCGCTTGAATTCGACTGATAGATTGGCTGTTCACTGAACTTCTGGGGCCTCCTCCTGAATACTCTAGCGTTACGGAGATACCTTAGCGAGATCAACTAATAAGAGCTTCTACGAAGGTCGACATGGCGATGAGTCTATATAAGCGACCAATCATACGGACTCAGTCCTGAAACGTAAACTGTCAAACGTAGGAATCCGTGGACTCAATGGCCCAATGAAATTCGGTCTCAGTTGACGTAAGATAATCGTCAATGACTACTCCCCCCAAGAATTGAAATCTGCAGGTATAGCTGACGGAAACAAGAGATCCTGCTACAGAGTAAGATATCGTGCACATTCCCTCCTTCCTACGCGATAGCGGACTTCTTGACTAGGAGAAACTAGCAATGCACAAGAATCTCATCTGCCGTGTGCGATTCAGGAGCTTGTGGAATAATCGAGGCTGGAGAGGATCCGATTCCAGGCTCAAAGACAATTGAGCAGCGCGTACACGCTGATCCGATGTCCATTTCAATGCAGGTACTTCATTGGAGTGTAGGCTTTCATACAGCTGTTACGGTAATGCAAACACTAGTATCTTGAATGAATGAAGATAGGAGCAACATGAGCCAAAATTCCTAAATAACAGCATACACTAAATACTTCTAAACCCAACTATACGAGCCCAAGATAAGCTACCCCAATCGAACCCACTAAGCGCCTCGAAAGGGAAGCCAGAACCTTATGCATCCAACCGCTCCAGTGCTGAAAGATATTGCAAACAACCCAAAACAGAGACATTGCACAACAACTGACAAAGTAACCAATACTACAGTGAAGCGAACATAGGAGGTACATACGTGCAAGCATGCATTTGGGTAAAAAGTGTTCGTGTTTGTGGGAGGGAGGGATACAGCAGTAAACGGACAGAAATTAAGCACATATCCTTCGACAACTCTACACTACATATGCACATACACCATGAGCAGCACAGTGTACTAGACCCCAAGCATCCAGGGAACACTGTCCTAGTGTACGGTTTATTGCATTGAGAGAGCATAGATCCTACTATCATTGAGCAGTGTCTCTATCGGGTCCACACGAACCATGGCCCATGGGCATTCAGGAAAATCCATGCATTCAGAAAGGAAGCAGAAGTACAAATGACAAAACAAACCACAAGAACCAGTGCATTCAGAGGACAGAACTTACTGTTGTAGTTAAGCAGCTTCTTGATAAGGTCCACGTGAGTCATGAGCATGCGCCGGCAGCAGTATCGCACAAGACCCAGAGCGTCCAGAGCGTCACTGTAACAGGAAATGAAGGGAAGGGAATGAAATGGTGCATCTGTGTCTATGGCGGGAGAAGTTTGTTGAGGAAGAAAACCCAGGTGAGAGGGGAGTGGAGCAGTACAAACTGGTACACATGAAACTAGACAGTGAAAACCCCATGTATTTTTCAAGAGGCTTCAAGTCATTTATCCTTAGAAACATTGTCCTTAGCACGTATCAATACCCACCCCTCACTATAGTCTGCTTGGAGCAGATCAAGGTACATGTCCCACTTGTTTCCAATCACCTGACAGCAGCAACGGCGACAGCCATGGCAGGGTGTTATGGGGAACCGGGGTGACGGGAGAAGACAACTTCACGAATTCAAGAAGTTATACTTTTATGGTAATCATTAAGGTAGAATAAACAAGGAGAATAACTACACGGAAAACACAGAACGCCCAGGTTAGGGGGACGAGGGTCGAGGATCAGGGTTTGGGAGGAGGATTCACAAAAGAAGAGGAGCGTCAGCGCATAATGTAATTCTGTGCTATCTACTCGAGCAGTCGCCAACATGACAGACGTAGAAAGAAACTTTGTTCCGTTTAGGGTTTCTGGCGCACCAACGGACCGACGAACCTTTCCACACGTGAAGCACCGAACGGGGATGATCATCGTGCTCCGCTAGATGTAGGCCTTGCGGGACAGTTGTGCTTCTAGCCGGTCTGAAAGAACTGTAGAAAATATGTCGAACCCTGTCTATGCTACAAAACTTGTCCTGGGAAAGTCGCACAGGACGTAAGTGCACTGAACAAAAATGCAAGCTTCCACGCGGCACCGTTCCAGCTGATCTCTCAGCGACAAGAAGCGTAGACAGAATTCCGGAAAGATCAAGCAGCATCAAGCTGAACGTCAAACACGGGTTTTGTTGTGTCGGAGCAGGCAGGGCCTGTTCAGTGCCAGGATTCATTTTGAACGCAGTTACTACATGGATACGTGTATACACTCGAAAGTATGGTAGGTAAAGCGAAAAACAAAGTCGAATTTCCACACAAACTCCCGCGCTGCTGTTGGGTGCCTTGTCATGATCGTTTTCCATTCAAACTCCTTCTAACCGTTGAGATGGTGTAAAATTCGCTCTAATAAAGTCTAGCGGCTTAGGTCGCGGTCCTGGGGTGTCCTGGACATTCCAGCTCAGCGTTAGGTGTGGGAAACACGTGCACTTCGTGTGTGGGGCTGATGACGTGTACAGCAAAAGTAGGTCTAAAACCCTGGGGTTTTAGAGATTTCACGAATGATGTTTCGACAAGTAGTCGACTGGATATTAGCAAACTCATATATGCGGGGGGCATGCCAGGAACACGTGCTGATGCTGACGTGTATGTCCAGAGTTCGGGTGTCCTGGACACCCTAGGACCGCGATCTTATTAAACCGCATCTTTTGAAAATATCTGATTTTCCATTACTGACAGTGCTTTGAACCTCTTAGCGAAGCCACACACCACCACCTACACCATCCACCCTACTTGTCCGCCCTTCCACCGCATTAGTCGGCGTGACAACCGCTGCTCCCTTCGCTTATCGCTACAAGTCCAAGGGAGCAGCTTCGCCCTTGCCGACCTAAGAAAGTTTCGATAATCGCCGTCACGACTTCGTTCCGCTCCGTCACTAACGCGACTTCTAACTCCGTTGCCCTTAGTCGCCGAACCTTCCGATCCTATGGCGTATCTTCGCCAGGTGACCACGAAGCTCGGCTCTTCGTCTCTCGAGGAGGCTCGGCACCGAGGCTTGGATCTGTTTCGTGAGACCTGTCGCGCGTTACCGAGCATTATGTTTCGCTACAACCTCGACGAAGTGATCACGCGACAGGAACTGCGCTCGCGAATCGCCAACGAGTTTCGGCGACACAGCGACGTCGAAAATCCCAAGGTGCGGATTCTCTAGGATATCACCAGGGACCCGCGCGAAGCCGTTCACTATGCATTCACCCTTCTTCACAAATCCCAGTTTCCTAAGCAGGCGCAAACAAAATGAGGCTTGATATAGCAGCTGTGGCAGGGAAATTGTCAGAGATCGTCGTTCTGAAGCGAGACGTGATACATTATTTTGGGCTTCATCAGTGCACTCACTCCTTGGCCTCTTGGGGTGTGGGGAGTGGATCATAGGACGGTGAGTTCACTTGTGAGTCAACTCAGGGGGGCTGCACGAGCCTCGTACTACGCGGTGTGATAAAATTTGGACTGGATCATTGCACTCAATCCTTGGCCTCTTGGGAGCGTGGGTGGTGGAACGGCAATTCAGACTGGAATTAACAGTACTGTGTCAGTTTTTAAAGCTCTTGGGATGCAGAGACTGAATGATGGGGTGGCAACAAGTTCAGACAAGACGAGTTGGGGTTCAGGAAAGAGGGTACCAGCTCGTGCAAACTGATTGCACGGGGAGTTTCTAACCCCTTAAATCGCCATAATCATTCTCCACTAAGCGGAGCACACCACTCAGCTTATGAATGTCCAGCTTAAAGCCTGGTGCACTTCCTCATGAGAAAGGAGGATCCCATGTCCAGGGAGGTAGTGAGGGCAAGGAGGAGTTGGTGAATCTCCGAAACCATTAAATCCAGCACTGTTGCCAACCCAGCTTATACCCTATGTCCATCAATGTAATACTTCTATAACCTTCCTTTTCTCCCTGTCAGGTGATCGATCTGCTGGTGGTGAAGGGCAAGGAGGTGCTGTTGAATTTTGTCAACCACTCAAAGCAGTAATCCTGTCAACACAGCCTACAAAATGAAATTCTTCATTCCCTCTATAACCTTCCCTTTTTCCCCGCCAGGTGATCGATCTGCTGGCGGTGAAGGGCAAGGAGGAGCTGGTGAATTTCCTCAACCACTCGAAGCAGGAATGCTGTCAACTGAGCCTGCGACATGTACATCTTCATCCCCTTTTTTCCCCCCCTTTCTCTCCCTTAGGTGACCGATCTGCTGGTGGTGAAGGGCAAGGAGGAGCTGGTGACCACTTGACGCAGAGGTTCTGCCAGCTGAAGTTGCTACGTGTAACTCCTTATCCCCCTTATAACCCTGTTTTCCCCTGCCAGGTGATCGATCTGCTGGTGGTGAAGGGCAAGGAGGAGCTGGTGAATTTCCTCAACCACTCGAAGCAGCGGCACCACGTGATTTCGCAATGGGTGGTGGGGCCGCAGGGGCAAGTGCCCACCATCCCTGGAGGGCCCCACCACAAGCCTGGCATCGTGCCCAAGGGCAGTGAATCCGCGTTCCTTAGAAACTTCTACGAGAGCAACTGAGTCGGGCTGGTTATAGCGGGTTAAGAGTGGTGGAAACTTGTAAATGCGGGCGGGTATTGTGTGAGTTGGGTCAATGTAGTAGTACTGTGCCTACTTCCTACTGTTGTGCATTTATGATTCACATTTACAGATTGATTGTGTGTGTTGTGTTTGTTGGCAGCTTACTAGAATTCAGGAGGAAGGATGTGGCAAGATCTTAGAGCGTGTTCCTACCCTCGTTTCAATCTAACCTCATATCAGGCTCACACTAAAAATTCCCCTAAACCCAAAACCTCTCGCTAGTTTTACCAGGCAAAAAGTACAATCTTGATACGAGGTGGCCTGATATGAGGCCGTAGGAATATGCTCTTCGCATTTCTAAAAATTTTTAATCTTCAGCTTTTGTTTTTCTTGCACCATGCCTGCACAGCTTTTGATAATATCAAGTTTGACAAGTTGTGGGACAGTATGATTCCTTGAGCTTCTACTGCAACACAACTTCTGTTAGTATCATATTTTGTGCAACAAATTGTGGAGAAGTATGATACCATAAGCTTCACACCTCCAACCTCCAAAGCAGCAGCTCATTCCAGGAGTCTGGGACCCCTGGCAAGCAGTAGTGTATGCAATCAGGGTGACTCCCTGGAGTGTACACCCCAGGGTGCCCATCTTGTCTCGTTAGAGTCAAGTTGTGCATGTCTAAAAGGGAGATGCGTGCTCCAACCATATCTTTCTGCTGCTGCAGCTGCTTCTTTGTTGTGACTGTGCTTCCAGCAACTCCAGATCGCCTCAGTTGCTCCGCTATAGAGTGCTCCACCACCTCCGTTAGTATCACATTTCGTTCCAGAATAGGCGGGGCTCTGGCATGACCCAATCCATCCAAATCTTCGGAAGAAATCGGTCGAGTGGATGGGCAGGACTGGTTCGCGCCTTTATGCGAAGGCATCGTTGTCGTCACTATCACATGCTTGCCTGTGAAGGGTTGCTCCAGGAAAGCGGCCAGGGTGGAGTTGAGAGCAGTGCGGTAGGAAGTGAGTATGTCGGTTTGACTGTACGGAGGGGCGAGAGTGATGTTATAGAAGCCGAGCTGAGAGGTGGTCCACCAGAGCCCTGCGAAACAGATGGGAATCGTGGAATTGGAAGGTGAAAACGATGTGTAAGTTTAGGGGTGTGACTGTATGGGGGGGCGAGTGTTATGTTATAGAAGCTGAGCTTGAGAGGTGGTCCACCAGAGCCCTGCGAGATCGATGGAGCCATATAATTGGAAGGGAAAGGAATTGTGGGAAGGTTAGGAAGGTGACTGTACGGAGGGGAGTTTGTGTGATGCTAGAGAAGCCGAGCTGAGATGTGGTCCACTAGAGCGCTGCGAAACAAGGAGTCACAAAGCATGGGAGGTGGAAGAAAACAACTAAGCTAAGAAAGGGGAGAAGATGAAAGGGGAGAGGAGTGTGTGATGTTATAGAAGATGAGCTAAGAGTTGGACTACCAGAGGCATGAGATAGAGAGAGTCCGAAAATGGGATTCAAGAAAGTGTGGGAAGATTAGGGAGGTGACTGCACGGAGGGACGAGATTATGATGTTTGAGAGACTGAGCTAAGAGGTGGCTCTGCAGAGCCCTGCGAGACCAGGGAGTATGGGAGTCACACAAGGTGAAAGGTTGACTTTTGAGACGTCTCAAAAGACCAGGGAGTATGGGAGTCACACAAGGTGAAAGGTTGGAAGAAAGCTTTGCGTGGTGAGTGTGCATGGTGGGGGGGTGAGAGTGATGTTGTACGCGCAGAGATGAGTGGTGGTTCTTCTGAAGCATGGAGTCAGCGAGCGAGAGATTTTCGACCCATTCATAAGAGTTCATCGACCCATTCGTAAGAGCTGTTTCACCAATTCCGCAGGATGGCGTGTGAGAGAACGGAAAGGATGGAGGAGTAGGAGGATGGGAAGGGTAGGAGAGACAGGTGTAGTGACGGATAGGGTCGGGTCGGGACTCACGAAGAATGTAAGGGTAACTTACCCGAGTTAATAACAAATACATCAAAGTTTGCAGATTGGTCCATCCACCCCTTGGCTGGTTGGTCCACGTGGATGGTTCCCCCATCTGACACGTATCTCTTGTTCCATGCCACGTGGGACAAGAACTGGTGGCTGAGGGGCAAAGCATCGGTTGGTGTGAAGACGGGACGGAAGGAAGAGATGCAAGGGGCACGGGAGAAGGGTGTTAGGGGTGCACCCAAATGGGGAGGATGGAGGAGGATGGGGGAGGATGGGGGAGGATGGGGGAGGATGGGGGAGGATGGGGGAGGATGGGGAGGATGGGGGAGGATGGGGGAGGATGGGGGAGGATGGGGGAGGATGGGGGAGGATGGGGGAGGATGGGGGAGGATGGGGAGGATGGGGAAGGATGGGGAGGACAGGGGGGAGGATGGGGAAGGATGGGGAAGATGGGGGAGGATGGGGGGATGGGGGAGGATGGGGGAGGATGGGGGAGGATGGGGGAGGGTGAGGGAGGGTGAAGAGGGAAGAAAGAAGGGCGACAGCAAGTGGGTGACCAGATCGGCCTTTTTCTAAGAATTGCCTCAGATGCTGATGCTGATGGTGGGTTCATGCCGTAACGGAGCAGGGAAGTGTTTGGGAGATAGTGGGGGGTGCGTAGAGGTGGGTAGAAGATAGAGTAATTGCAGAAAACAAAAGAAAACGGAAAGAAACGGAGAGGAGAAAAGGATAAACGGGGAGTTTTCTGGAGGATTGGTCAACAGTGCGACTCACAAGAGGATTCCGAGAGTGAAGTTGCATTTCGGCCAAAAGAAGATCCGGTCTCTTAACGAGTTCAGCTTCACCTCTGGCATGCCTTCAAACGCGTACGTCATGCAGGCTAGGGATTCGAACATGTTCTGGCTCAGCGAGTCGCCAATAAACGCGATGCGACGATTCGCCACACGTTTGCACAAATTCGCCCGCGTCACCTTCGGAATGCCGCCTTCGCACGAACTCGTTTGCGAAAAATTATCCGGTTCTTCGTTACCACGCCGCGGCAAGACAGTTTCGCGAAGCTTCCAGCGAAGTTTAGCGAAGCCTTTATCCGGCCGGCCGTATTTGCTACACTTGCTGGTTTCGCGCGCGAGAGGACACGCGTCCGTTTCGTACAGCGGCCACGACGAATCCTCTTCCCACGCGCCGTCGTCCAAGTCGCACGACGACGACGGCGACGAGGATGACGGAGAAGACTGCGACCCGGCAGCGGCGGTTACATTGCTAACTCGTACGTCCATCCCGTCAGCTTCATACATGTCCGGACGCCCGATGACGCTTGGTATAATGGGTCGAATGACTGTATCCGTCGCGGAGTCTACTTTGACCGGGTTAATTCTTACAATGCCCGCTGGCGTCTCTAACGCGGTAGCTTGCGCCATATTAGTACGAATGCTCATCTGTACCTCCTCAGTCTCCTGCCTCTGCGTTGTCTGCGGCGATTGCTGTGCTTCATCTCCTGGCCTCTCTACAACACGGCTTCGAGCTGATTCATTCCGAGGTGCTTCAGAAGGTGTTCTAAAAATTGGCTCAGTTTTCGGTCTCTCCAGCACGGTGCCTCGAGATGTCGACTCGCAATGGCTGAGGGAAGCGGCGAGAAGGAAGAGGGAAAGGAAGAGATTAGTTGCAGATTTTCTAGAAATCTCGAAGCCCCCCCGCATCGTACTACTAGAATGGCGACAGTGAGGATTTGAATGCGACTGTGAGTGTCCTGGGCTAGTTATAGGAGCTGAATCGGCTCGGACATGGGTGGATGTAACTGTCTGTTAGTGGCCTACTTATAATCTACTGTCTGTATGTAGCGGGAGCGAATGTGAGTGAACCATAACTAGCCTGCTCCCGCTGTTATCAGGGACAACAAACTGATTCGCGTAGTGCGTTGTTTCACATTCTGGATATGCGGGCTGAAATGTAGAGGCCGGGGATGCGGACTGGAGCACGGAAGGCTGGGCTTAGCGGAGTAGCGACGCCTGAGAGAAAGTAGGGAAATTGCTGTAGGCAGGACATGACACGCATGGGTAGACGCGTGATGCGGCAACTAAGCCAACAAACGGATTTTTGAAGGGTGGCTGGTTAAAGCCGGCGCCTAGAATGGCAAGGGTTCATAGATACTGAACTTGAAAAGGGGTTGCACGAAGGTTGACGAGAGAAAAATTCGCCGGAGGGAGGTGGCGAAGGCGGAATGCTCCACAGTGTCTCGCAACTTCAACTTCAACTTCAAGAAACTTGAACAAACCCAACCACCCTCACCCTGATCACAACCTAGGTTTCTGCCGAAGTCTGCAAATGCACTCTTCGAGCAGGCTGAAAACAGCGTGCGCAAGTACCAGATAGTTAGAACGTAAGTGTTAGGAAACTGAGTATCCAGACTAAAATTGCTACGTAGAACATGTGAGAACGTATACTTTTTGGCCGGAATCGAGAGGAAGCAGAGGACCGAGGGAGGGAATGGAAAGCGAATGCGAGTGTGAAGCACAGAGATAATGTGCGGCACGGCGTGAGAAATCAGAGCGTTGTCGACCTCGCTTCCCCCGTCCGTCGATCTCGCATCCACCGTTCGTCGCCCTCGCTTCCCCCTTTTCGCCCAAGCTTCCCCATCCGTCGCCACAGCTTCCTCCGCCCATCGCCCTCGCTTCTCCCTCCCATCTCCCTCGCTTCCCCATCCCATCGCCCTCGCTTCCCCATCCCATCGCCCTCGCTTTCCCCTCCCAACGCCCTCGCTTCCCCTTCCCGTCGCCCTCGCTCCCCCATCCCATTGACCTCGTTTCCCCATCCCATCGCCCCCGCTTCCCCCTCCCAACGCCCTCGCTTCCCCCTCCCGTCGCCCTCACTCTACTTCCCCTGCTCATTCTCTTCCCCAGCTCATTCTGCTTCCCCTGCTCATTCTCTTCCCCAGCTCATTCTGCTTCCCCTGCTCATTCTCTTCCCCAGCTCATTCTGCTTCCCCTGCTCATTCTCTTCCTCATCTCACTCTGCTCATTCTCTTCCCCAGCTCACTTCCCCTGCTCATTCTCTTCCCCAGCTCATTCTGCTTCCCCTGCTCATTCTCTTCCCAAGCTCACTCTACTTCCCCAGCTCATTCTCTTCCCCAGCTCACTCTGCTTCCCGTGCTCATTCTCTTCCCCAGCTCATTCTGCTTCCCCTGCTCATTCTCTTCCCCATCTCACTCTGCTTCCCGTGCTCATTCTCTTCCCCAGCTCACTCTACTTCCCCAGCTCATTCTCTTCCCCAGCTCACTCTGCTTCCCGTGCTCATTCTCTTCCCCAGCTCATTCTGCTTCCCCTGCTCATTCTCTTCCCCATCTCACTCTGCTTCCCGTGCTCATTCTCTTCCCCAGCTCACTCTACTTCCCCAGCTCATTCTCTTCCCCAGCTCACTCTGCTTCCCGTGCTCATTCTCTTCCCCAGCTCATTCTGCTTCCCCAGCTCATTCTCTTCCCCATCTCACTCTGCTTCCCGTGCTCATTCTCTTCCCCAGCTCACTCTACTTCCCCAGCTCATTCTCTTCCCCAGCTCACTCTGCTTCCCGTGCTCATTCTCTTCCCCAGCTCATTCTGCTTCCCCAGCTCATTCTCTTCCCCAGCTCATTCTGCTTCCCCTGCTCATTCTCTTCCCCATCTCACTCTGCTTCCCGTGCTCATTCTCTTCCCCAGCTCACTCTACTTCCCCTGCTCATTCTCTCCCCCAGCTCACTCTGCTTCCCGTGCTCATTCTCTTCCCCAGCTCATTCTGCTTCCCCAGCTCATTCTCTTCCCCAGCTCATTCTGCTTCCCCTGCTCATTCTCTTCCCCATCTCACTCTGCTTCCCGTGCTCATTCTCTTCCCCAGCTCACTCTACTTCCCCTGCTCATTCTCTCCCCCAGCTCACTCTGCTTCCCGTGCTCATTCTCTTCCCCAGCTCATTCTGCTTCCCCAGCTCATTCTCTTCCCCAGCTCATTCTGCTTCCCCTGCTCATTCTCTTCCCCATCTCACTCTGCTTCCCGTGCTCATTCTCTTCCCCAGCTCACTCTACTTCCCCTGCTCATTCTCTTCCCCAGCTCACTCTGCTTCCCCTGCTCATTCTCTCCCCCAGCTCACTCTGTTTCCCCCTGCTCACTCTCTTCCCCCCTACTCGCTTTGTTTCTGCCTGTTCACTTTATTTTCAGCTGCTAATTCTGTTCCCCCTTCCACTCACCCCCATTCCCAACCGCGCAGGGTACAAGTCCGAGCACCATGGCCCTGGGTTTATTGCATGAAGTGTAGCAGGTATAAAGCATTACACTTCCTAGCTGTCTTGTTCGTGTTGATAGTCAGTTGTTCTCGTGAGAAATAAAGTACTCTCTCTATTGCACTTTTTTGAAGTGGCCATGTGCATGGCTGCTCCTTCTAAGCTCAGGGTTTGTTTGTATTACCGAATAACAAAACACCCAACATCAATACATGGCATGGCTAGTCTTAGTGGTACCATCAGACCCCAACATGTCACAACAACCAGATGCATCGAGGGCAAGTACAAACACAAACCTGGAAATAAGTTGTGACATGGCTGAGTATATACAAGATAGAGTGTGCAGAGGACAGAGTGAGCAGGGCGCGGGCAACGCTAAGTTCCCCATGGCAGCTGAGCACACACACACACCGGGGTTTCCAGTGGAGGGGGGGGGGGAGGGGAGGGGAAAGCAGGAAGGTTGGTGCAAATGATAACACAAACACGTGCAGCAGCACGGCACCGCACCGTATGGCACAACACAATGTCTGGCAGCATCAGCAGCAGCTTTACATAGTGCAAGGGCCAGCCATGTATCTTACGATTTTATGCGGCACTTTTTGGTGCCACGCAAGCTTGTGACCCGGGCGCGAGGAGAAGCGTAGCTGTGGCATGTGCTGCTTGTATGGAAGGGGTTCGGGATGAGAGGGGGAGGGGAGAGGCGAGAGGCGTGAGGAGAGTAAAATGAAATATAGCCTGCTCACGCACCCAGCACCTTATAAGGGGGAGGAGAGGAGAGGGAGGGGTGGGGGGGAAGTGGGAAGTTGTGGAGCGGGGAAGGGGCGGATAGGTGATTAGTGCATGGTGAACAATGCATGGGGCATGGGGCACGTGGCATGGTGCATGGTGCATTGGGCATACCGTTTTGAGCATGTCAAAACGGCATTGGATAGGGAGGGAAGGAGAGGCGAAGAGAGAGGGACAGCGAGGGAGGGAAGGAGAGGCGACGAGAGAGGGACAGCGAGGGAGGGAAGGAGAGGCGACGAGAGAGGGACAGCGAGGGAGGGAAGGAGAGGCGACAAGAGAGAGACAGCGAGGGAGGGAAGGAGAGGCGAAGAGAGAGGGACAGCGAGGGAGGGAAGGAGAGGCGGAGAGAGAGAGACAGCGAGGGAGGGAAGGAGAGGCGAAGAGACATGGACAGCGAGGGAGGGAAGGAGAGGCGAAGAGGGGGAAGGGCGGAAATCAGAAGAAATGGAGCAAGGGGGGAGGGGAGGAAAGAGAGGGTTCAGTGAGATGGGAGGGAAAGGAGGAAGACATGGGCGGGGATAAGGGCGAGAAGCGTGGAGGGAGAGGGAGGGCGAGTGAGAGGGAGAAGGGGGAAACGGAGGAAAGGACTAAAGGAAAGGGAGGGAAAACAAGGGGGAAACGGAAGGAAGGACAAGGGGGAAGGGGGGAGGGACAAGAGCGGAAATCGGAGGGACGGGAGGTGGGGAAAGGAAAAACGAAATGGACAAGAAGGGAAACGGATCCAGAGGAACCGGGGGGAAGGACATGGGGGGGAAAGGGGGGAGGGACAAGGGTCTTGGGATTGAGGCTGGGCGGGCTAAGAGGAAGGGAGGGAAGGACAAGGAGTCAGGGATTGAGGGGCAAGGGGAGGGAGGACACGGGGGAAAGGGAGGGAGGGACAAGGGACTTCAGGACAGGGTGGAAAGGCGGGCGAAAAGGGAGACAAGGGGAAAGAAAAGGGGGGGGCAGTGGGGGAACGGGGGAAAGTACAAGGGGGGAAACGAGAGTGGTGGGAAGCGGACTTGGCGAAAATGACGAAACGGGATGCAGTGCTCGGTGGAATGCAATGGGATGCGGAGGGTACGGCGAGGAGAGAAAGGAGGGAAGAACAAGAGAGGAAAGAAGGGAAGGGCAAGGGCACGAGACGGGGAGGGGCAAGGGCACGAGACGGGGAGGGGAAGGGAACGAGACGGGGAGGGAAGGGAACGAGACGGGGAGGGGAAGGGAAAGAGACGGGGAGGGGAAGGGAGCGCGACGGGGAGGGGAAGGGAGCGCGACGGGGAGGGGAAGGGAACGAGACGGGGAGGGGAAGGAGCACGACGGGGAGGGGAAGGGAGCACGACGGTGAGGGGAAGGGAGCGAGACGGGGAGGGAAAGGGAGCGCGACGGGGAGGGGAAGCGAGGGCGACGTGCAGGAAAAAAACAAAATAGCCACGAAAAGGGAGAATGACGAGAAGGCAATATGTGTCGGGAATGACGGAAGGGAGCGCCACGGGTAGGGAAGGGAGCGCGACGGGCAGGGAAGGGAGCGCGACGGGCAGGGGAAGGGAGGGCGACGAAAAGACGGTGATGGGAGGCGACGGTACCGCCGCGACGATGGAAATGGCATTTGCCGCCGCGACGCTATTGATGGTCGTGACCGTCACGACATTGGGAACGGAAGTGACATTGGCCGCGAAAGATGGAACTGGAGTGCCCTGAACTGCCTACGGTCGGAATGGTGGTTGACGACCACCATTCCGACCGTCACAAGAGCTCTTAGTCAAGGCGAGTCGTGTGTTACGGCGGCAGTCCTGAAAAAAGAGTGACGCGAGTTTGTGACCTTGTGAGGGAATGGGAGTGACGGGGAGGGCGAGATAAATAGGAGGGACAATACGAACGGGCGAGACGGGATGAACGAGCGGGAATGAGTGCGCTAGCAGACACGTTCGCTTTCTAAGCTATGGAGCCTCCTAGATATCGAGTCTAGTATGGTCAGTTTCACTTTCAAGTTTGCTAAAGTATGAACAGTAGTCTGCGTGGTTGGCTTTTGTGGCGAGAGGGTTGATAATTTTGCCTGTGTTCATCTCAGCCAATCAGAATCCCCCTCCCAGAAACTGTTTCCGGTGGTTGCGAGGGTGGGAAAGCCCCAACCAGGTTACCCTGTTTCTGGCGATTTCAGCTTCAAGAATCTTGAACTTGATCCCTTGCCATTCTAGACTCGGGCTTTAACCCACAACACTCAAACATTGCGTGCTCTTCGGGTTCCCAGATCCCTCAGTCGTTCTTGAAGCTGCTTCTTCTTCCAGGTCTTTAGTTAGGGGTCCGTTGCGTGTGGTCGGTTTCCATTCTCAGTCTCCACGCACTCGTAGTTGTCCTTCCGTAGCGATTGAAGGTTCGTCCGCTCACGCCTTTCGTCCGTTGGAGAAGAATGAAGTATGTCAAGAACCATGGAGGATTATCTAACGTGTACTAGCGCTTCATCTTATACCGAGTTTCTTTCTCCCCGTGGCGTTCTCACGACGCTCCGCTGCTCGCGAGGCCTCGACCGAGCGGATTCCGTGGAAGCAGCCTTCGAGTTTCCAACAATCTCGTTGGTCGCGGAGAACGTTGACGAAGAGTTTTCGCTGCGACTCCAGCACCAGAAGGACCAGGAAAACGACTGTGACGAACAGTTTCTGCTGGAGTGCGATAGTGAGATGGTTCTGGTTACCAGGAAAACATCGCAAGTTACGGTGGTTAACCTTGGGAATGACGACGATGGGCTTGGCCGCTTACCTGCAGTCACGAGCACATCGGGTGGTGAAAGGCAAGATCATCAGATTCAAGAAACGGGTGATAATGACTTAGTCAATATATCAGTTGGAAGGTCTCGTGAAAGTATGCATCATGACGCTCTTGGAAGCGAGATCCGCGAAAAGGACAAGCTTGCAAATGGGCCTGCTGGTCCTGCTGATCCTGCTAATCGTACTGGCCCTGCTTTTACCGCTGGTGATTTGCCAGAGCAGCTGCAAACGGATGCGCGAGTGAGCACGGAGCCCACTGAACGGTCTGGATTGCAACAGGCTCAGGAGCCTCTTCAGGGCTCGATCTCAGCCGTCAGATCTCAGGCAACAGCTGCGATTTCGTCTCTACGGCCGTCTTTACGAGCTGTGAGGAGGATATGGAGGAGCAAGGAGGAAGGGAGAAGTAAGGAAGGGGAGGGAGGCGGAGTTGGCGAGGAGGGGGAGGAAGAGGAGGCGTTGGAGGGAGGAGATGTGGTTCTGAAGCCCATGAGTGCAGCTATGACCAACACAGTGAGTGCATGAGTGCATGTAAACATGAGGTACAGGGTGAGGAGAGGAGGAGAAGTGGGTGATTTTTGAGACGTCTCAAAAACCGATGTGGTTCTGAAGCCCATGAGTGCAGCAATGACCAACATAGTGAGTGAAGGGAACGATGAAGAACACGGTGAGGAGAGGACGACGACTGAGTGACATCCAGCCAGACACATGATTGATAGGGCATGCCGACATATGTTTTATTTTCTTCCACGATTGTTCTTTTCGTTCTGCATATCCCTGCATCTGCATGTGGTAGGCAGCTAATACTGTAGCCACTGGACGATGCCTCCATTTGTACAGAATTTCACCTGGCTGTTCATGGCTTCATTCTCCCTTCTCTCCTTCTGCTGTCCCCCGCTATCTGCGCGCCACGCAGGTGTACGAGTGTGTGTGGGTGCCTACCAGGAAGAACGAGCCAGGGGAGAACAAGGCCAAGGATCCAAAGGAAGAGGATGAGAAGGACTATTCTGGAGAGAAGCGGGTGTTGGTGCGGCTGTATGGCCCGGCAACGACAATGCTGTTCCAAAGGGAACACGAGGAGGCAGTCACCCGAGCCATGTCTGAGCTTGGCTTGGGACCGAAGCTGCTGGCCTCGTTCGGCACTGGCAGGGTGGAGGAGTTTCTGCAAGCCAAGGTGGGTGAGGTGTAACCTTTACTAACCTTGAGATTGCGTTTGATACCCTTGAAGTTGCCTTTGAATAACCTATATTGCTTTTGAAGATTGCCTAGTTTCTAAATACCCTTGAGATTGCATTCGGCAGCCTTTATTAAATTTGAGATTTATTATTGATGTTGAGGTAGGCTGTATAGCTTGTAGAAAGCCCAGGGATATGTTATTTTGCTGTGCTCGTTTTACTCCAGCTTACAGTATCTAAGCATGCAAGATTTATTCAGCAGATTGTTTTCGAGAATTCTCAAAAACATTTTGCTGTGCTCATTTTACTCCAGCTTACAGTATCTAAGCATGCAAGATTTATTCAGCAGATTGTTTTCGAGAATTCTCAAAAACATTTTGCTGTGCTCATTTTACTCCAGCTTACAGTATCTAAGCATGCAAGATTTATTCACTGCTCATTCTTCCCCAACACCCAGCCTCTGATCTGACAGCAGAGGAGATATGGCAACCGAAGACATCCCGGCAGATGCACAGTGCATGATGCGCTTCCACTCGCTGCAGCTTCCAGGCGGCACACTCGAATTGAGATGACCAGAGAAACGCATTTCTTCTGACGTGTCTTTCTCCCCTCCTCCCCCTCCCTCCTCCCAAACGCCCAGCCACTGACAGCAGAGGGGATGCGGCAACCAGAGACATCCCGGCAGATCGCGCGGTGCATGAGGCGCTTCCACTCGCTGCAGCTCACCCGTGGGGAGGCCTTCTCGTCTGTACAAGTGTGGTAGAGGCCTTGGAGAAACGAACCATGGTCAACGTGTCCTCCCAGAGTCCCACCCGCCTCGCCCCTCCCTGCCCTCCCAACACCCAGCCACTGACAGCAGAGGAGATGCGGCAACCAGAGACATCCCGGCAGATCGCTTGGTGCATGAGGCGCTTCCACTCGCTGCAGCTTCCAGGCACCACACCTGGGGATGTCGCCTCCTGCCTGTGGTCCCGTCTTCGGTAGGTCATCACTCACTTGTGCCGGTGCCATTACTTACCAGTAGGCCAGGATTTTTGGGTGGGTCATAAGCTGCACCAGGGGAGGTCGCCTCCTGCCTGTGGTCCCGCCTTTGGTAGGTCATCACTCACTTGTGCCGGTGCACCCACTTGTGCCGGTGCACCCACTTGTGCCGTAGGTCATGCACTTGCAAGGGCGTTTAAGGCGTCTCAATAATCGTCCATCAAGCACTCCACCTGAGAGAGTCCGTAATTGCCTTGCCCTGGCTGTCCCTGGCGCAGCTGCTGCACCCCTGGGGGGCGTGCACGGGCCCACCCCAACCCACAGCAGTTGGGAAGAACAGCTACAGGCTTCAGGCAGTCCTAATGTACCTTCTCTCTTTCCTCCCCATTCCGCCCTTTCTTTTATCTCAGGCGCTGGCTGTCCCTGGCGCAGCTGCTGCATCCCTGGGGCGTGCACGGATCCAACCCGAGGCAGCTGGGGGAGAAGATCCACAGGCTGGAGGCAGCACGCTCATTCCAGTTTCCTCCTTTCATTTCCGCTTTATGCTTCCTAATTCTCCTTCCCTTCCCCCAGGCGTTGGCTGTCCCTGGCGCAGCTGCTGCACCCCTGGGGCGTTCACGGGGCCAACCCACGGCAACTGGGGGAGAAAATCCACAGGCTGGAAGCAGCAGCGTGCAGGCGGTGGGGGGAGGAGGGGCGGGGGGGGAAGCAGCAGGGGGGGGCAAGGGATGGGCTGGAAGGGGAGGGAGAGGCGGTGGCGGAAAGGGGGAATGAGAGAGAGGGAGGTGGGCGGTGGGTGGGGCTGTGTCACATGGATGTGCAGCACGGGAACATTCTGCAGGAGAGAAGCACGGGGAGGATCGTACTCATTGTAAGCAGATCTGTTTTCTTGGTATGGTTGCCTGTGCTGTGCTGTTTGGCTGGGGTTTGGCCAGTGCCTGGTTGCTGGGCATGTGGCAGGGTTGTGCTTGTACCAGCCACGTGGCAGGCAACCACTTGAGCTTTTTACATCCTCTCTTAGCTTGCTACCATTCTATTCCGTCTTGTCACCCCGCCCCTCCACCATCTCCCACCATGCAGTTCTACAAGTACAGTGGCGACACACACGTGTGCCGTTTGACATAGCTAGCAGCTTGTGCTTTCTACATCCTCCCTCCCCGGCTCCTGTCCTGTTCCGTCCTTCCCTCCACCCCCCTTGTACCCCTCTGCTCAGGACTACGAGTACAGTGGCTATGCACACGTGGCATGTGATATTGCCAACCACTTCTGTGAAATGGCTGCTGACTATGACCGCCCGCACCCACACCTCCTCGACTATACCAAGTACCCCTGTAAGCTATCCCTGTGAGATGCTCTACCTGTTATTTACCTCCGTGCCACCCCCTGTGCCACCCCCTGTGCCAGCCCACTACGACCGCTGTCACTGCCGCGCCTGGTCTACAGCAGGCTTCCCGGGAACGTCCTTCTGTTTGCTGTTTCTGGAAGCTGTTTCGCTAAGTTTTCTTCCTGTCACCTTGAATGATTACGCTCTTGTCAGCGTTGCGTGCACGCATCAGCGCCACCGACCAAGTGTGGGTATGAGGAGTCCTTCCTCCCTCCCGCACTATCACACCGCACCACACGACACCCTCACTCCCTGCCAACTCAACCCCTTTATGCCCGCCCCCTTCTGTCCCCTTCATGCTACTCTGGTCCGCTGCTCCGTTTGCTTTCAGCTGAGGACGAGCAACGATGGTTCATCAATTGCTACCTCGCTGCCAATCTTACAGCTCCTGCTGATGCATGTTCGAGCGCCAGTGGCAGCAGCATCAGGCGAAGGGGTGCCCCCCTTACAAGCAGCCTTGGTGAAAGTGATGCTGAGGAGCTGATGCAAGCAGTGGATGTGTTTCTTCCCGCATGTCATCTACATTGGTTCCTGTGGGGCATTATTTCAGTAAGTGATTGTGTATGGTAATTATACCATGTATTAGGGAGCACTCATTCTGGTGGTTCCATGCTTTAGTTTACCCATATGCTCCCCCTTGTTGTCTTCGTCTTTACATGTACAGGCCGCAGTGTCAGATGCGGAGTTTGACTATATGTCATACGCACAACAACGATTGGTCGAGTTTCGTAAGTGCATGGATCACCTGGAGAATGATCTCATTGTGTAGTAGTGCTGTATTCAGTAAAAAGGAGCTTGATGCTTTGTATGGTAGTTGTATATTTGTACAGGTTGTCCCATCACTGTGTTGGATCATGTTGCAAGGTTCACTCGTTTTACCGGAAGCACCACCACCACCACCACCAGTGGCAATCCAGGCTTTGTCACCAGCAGCAGCGGCCGGCCAGGCTTTGCCGACCCTGGATAACTCGCACAAAAAGTATGTAGGACGTTGGCCCTGGGGTCCATAGCATAAATGCTGCTCCCGAAGACTACCTTGGGGGGAATACGGTATGACCTACATTCACCAGGATGTAACAAAGCCATGCAAAAAAAACACATCAATCGTTAGCTCTTCCACAGATACACTGGAGTGCAGCTGTGTGCACTGTGGTTGTAGAAAAGGACAGTAACAAATTTTTTAGGTTCTGTCGGTTTGCCAATAAGAGCAGCTTGTAACACGTAGACATTCCAGAACATGTGCGAGAAGGCTCGGCGAAACCAGCTGAGTGTAAGTTCTGGCTTGGTGACTGAGTTACGAGGCTGTTTTTACGAGATTCCAAGCCTGGAGCTTTGGTTTGGTGGAACGGGCATCCCGAAAGTGCTGGGCGTCGTGGAGTCACCCTGGGGGCTGATCAACCTTACCTACAGCGGTCCAATGACGTGGTCGCCTTCGAAGTCACTGTATCCGACGTGGCTCACCTAGGTGATCCCGACAGCGAATGAAAAATCAGATTCGCACTTCCGTGACCCCACAATCATTGGTAACAGAATCCGGCGAACACGATGCCCCCTTGCCTGGAGAAGCGAGCCGAGCCAGGCAGCCCCAGCTTGGATGCTCTCCCTGCTGGCCCAGCCACTGCTTCCGCTTGCCCCAAGGCTCGTTTTGCCTGGGATAGGTTCCGCCTTGGAAGCTCTGGTCTGCTCCGTCACTGTATGACATCTGCTTGACACGCTCCTTGATCTTTTATCTCACGGCAGCCATAACTCCTTGGTGAGCTCTCCTCATGTCCGTCCTTGCTCGAGGAAAGCCAACCGTTGGAGGTTAGCTTGCACGAGCTGATCGACTTTTCGATCCTTCCCAGTCGTTAGTCTCCCTTTCTGACTGGTTTGTCCCGACAAGCCCGACATGGCTTCCGTCAGCTATGTTGCTGCTCGTGGGATTTCCACCCTTCCCCGCGCGGAAGGTGTGGAGGCCTTCAAGGCCAAGGAGCAGGTCCAACTCAAGGAAAGCTCGTTGCTTGGGGAGAAGCTCAATGTCTCTCGTCGTCAGGCCATTCCTGTCGCGAAGACTGTCGTTCCCGTCTCAGCTTCCCTGTCATCTGGCCCTCCAAGGAGCCACAAGCTCCGAGCTAGCAGTGCTGCCGCTCTCGAGCAATTGAGGGTCTCAAACACAAACAGTACGTGTTTAATTGTTAAGCTCGCTCAATGCCATCTATTGCTTCCTGAAAATAAACCGTGACAACAACGAAAGGATGAACACCTTTTGACAAGCACACATTGTTTCATCCTACCCTTTTGCGCTTCAGGATACACGAGCGAGAAGAGCAGCATCATTGTCGTCGGTCTGAGCGTCCACACCGCTCCAGTCTCGATGCGTGAGAAGCTCGCCGTTCCTGAAGCCGAGTGGCCACGCGCCATCACAGAGCTCTGCGAGTACCCCCACATTGAGGAGGCCGGTGTTCTGAGCACATGCAACCGCATGGAAATCTACGTCGTGGCGCTCTCCTGGCACAGGGGCATTCGCGAGGTCACCGAGTGGATGTCAAAGGTAAGGCGATTCTTGTTCGCAAAATCAAGCCGTGCAGCCTGGTCACCTTGCATCTCAAAGGTTTTCCCTATTAAGTCCTTTCGTCTCGTATTTCCCCCTTTGTACCTACCTACAGTCGAGCGGTGTTCCCGTCGAGGAGCTCCGCCCGCATCTCTTCCTGCTCCGTCAAAGGGACGCTACGCAGCACCTTCTCCGCGTCTCTTCCGGCCTCGACTCTCTGGTGCTCGGGGAGGGTCAGATCCTCGCTCAGGTGAAGCAGGTCTTCAAGGTTGGCCAGGGAGCCGAGGGCTTCGGACGCAATCTCAACGGTCTCTTCAAGCAGGCGATCGAGGCCGGCAAGCGTGTGCGTACCGAGACCAGCATCGCCTCGGGTGCCGTGTCCGTCAGCTCTGCTGCCGTTGAGCTCGCCGCGATGAAGCTCCCGGAAGCTGGCCTGAAGGAAGCTCGCGTCATGATCGTCGGTGCTGGAAAGATGTCTCGCCTCCTGGTGAAGCATCTGCTCTCCAAGGGTTGCAACACCATGACTGTTGTTAACAGGTCCCTAGGCAGTGTAGAGCAGCTGCAGTCCGAGTTTCCCGACGCCACGCTCCTCTACAGGCCTCTTTCTGAGATGATGCAAGCAGCTGCTGAGGCTGAGGTGGTCTTTACCAGCACAGCTTCGGAGACTCTTCTCTTCGAGGAGTCCAACGTTCAGGGTCTCGGTCCTGCTGGCGATCTCACCAACGGCGTCAGGCACTTCATTGATATCTCCGTCCCTCGCAATGTTGGTTCCTGCGTGGCCAACGTTCAGCAGACCCGGGTGTACAACGTTGATGACCTCAAGGAGGTGGTTGCTGCCAACAAGGAGGAGCGGAGAAAGAAGGCACTGGAGGCTCAGGCTATCATTGAAGAGGAGCTTCAGGCCTTCGACGCGTGGAGGGATTCCCTGGAGACGGTTCCGACCATTAAGAAGCTCCGCCAGAAAATTGAGGGCATCCGACAGTCCGAGCTGGACAGAATCCTGGCGAAGATGGGTGAGGAGCCGACCAAGAAGCAGAAGAAGCTGATTGAGGAGCTGAGCAAGGGTATTGTGAACAAGATTCTCCATGGACCCATGACCCACCTCAGGAGCGATGGCAGTGATGCGAGGACAGTGAGTGAGACGTTGGAGAACATGTATGCCTTGGAGCGAATGTTCGACCTGGCTGCTGAGGAAGCCAGCGGCCGGCGATGAGTCCTCCGTCCATAGGTTTTAGTTTATCTGTTGATGTGAAACTGTAAATTAAAGATGCACCAGTTTTGATATTTAATGGTTTGTTCCCTGTGTTCAATGAGCTCTGACATTATCAAGTTGTAGGTAAAATCAGAACATGAACTCTGCTTTAGTAAAGCTAAGTTATGATCCCAACAATGATATTAAATGTCTTGTTCGATCAGACTGGTGGACATTTGCAGATATAGCGTTTTATCTTCAACTATAAAACTGGTAATAACTTATCACATAGCTCTCGATCTTTCTTACTGCATAACCTCTTGCTGTAATTTTCTACCCAAGTATGCAGGAAAGGAAACAACCAATAGTTCTGAAAATGATTACCATGAACTCCAGTGTGTTCCATTCCATCAAACAAGCAGAATGATTGATAGTGCACCAATAGCAGTTACCTATGAACTGATGCCCACATAGAGTGCGGCACTGTACAGAAGAACTACCAACCGGCTTAGCAAACGAAATCACATTCACATCACAATTAATCTGGTTTTTTTTCGTGCTCGCATTTTCATTCAAGCAGTCGCAGCTGCCAACACGTCCTTGGCCTTCCCACCATCCTGTGCCTTCCTGAGCTTGATACGGAAAAGAGCCTGCTTGCAGCGAGTCACATAACACATGGATCCACCAAGGTCGGAACACATTACACAGGACTACACCGGGCACCATAGATATCACGTAGATGTGCAAACAAATAAGAAAAACAAGGTATGTAACAGTGGCGGAGAACTGACCTTGGGGTTGGGTCCGAACTGCAGAGAGTCGCCAGGGTGCAGGCGGGCAGGGGACCCTGGAGTGAGCTTTGACCGTGCTCCGTCCACTCTGCAGGGTGGAGGGGAAAGAGAGAGCTTAGGTGATAATCGTTAGTTGCTGGTAAAGAATAGGAAACTGCTAAAACAAATGGCCATGGATGCTGTTGAGGCTGACCGTGCTTGGAAAATAAGTCAAAACACTGGAATTTAGGTGCTTTTAAAAACCCACCTGACAATCCAGGTGCCCCTGACAATTCACCTGACAATCCATGTGCACCTGAAAACCCACCTGACAAGCCAGGTGCCCTGGTTCTGGCTGAGGTCTGTCGCATAGAAGGTGTGGTCACTGCGGCTCTCAATGCGGCAATGCTTCTCCTCCACCTGCCATTACCACGCCATGCAATGTCGTGCCATGCCATGCCATGTCGTGCCATGCCATGCCATGCCATGTCGTGCCATGCCATGCAATGAATGTCGTGCCATTCAACCGGAACCATGGCATGTCCATGCAATGCAATGCCAAATGCATAAACGGACAGGAAAGAGAGCGTGAGAATCTAACATCGTTGAAAATTGTAACACCCAATGCTAGTGCTAGTGCTTGCATATCCACTTCTGAAACAGCACAAAACAGGTGCAAGCAGGGCTGGAGTTAGTGCCAACGTGCTGGCAGTGCCAACGTGCTGGCAGTGCCAACGTGCTGGCAGTGCCAACGTGCTGGCAGTGCCAACGTGCTGGCAGTGCCAACGTGCTGGCAGTGCCAACGTGCTGGCAGTGCCAATGATCTGTAGCAAGTGACGGCAGAGACAGAAGGGATGCTGAGACGAAGTGATATGTGTGTGTGTGTGTGTGTGTGTGTGTGTGTGTGTGTGTGTGTGTGCATGTGGGTGTTGAGCATGAATATGAGCGTGTAACGAGGGGTACATACCCCAGGCAGAGAGATGACCGCTGCTGTGCCGCTGGCAGGTGCACACTCCGCAGAGCTGCAGAGAGAGAGTGGGGGGGAGGGAGGGGTGGAAAAGGGAGGCGGGGGAAAGAGAGAGGTGAGTGCTGCTGTGCCGCTGGAAGGTGCAAACTCTGTGGAGCTGCAGAGAGAGTGCCGGTGAGGGGCATGTGGTCAGCAGCAGGATGGGGCGACCAGCAAGAGTCGCAGGGGGCTTTCAGGAAAAGGGTGGTTCTCACTCACCCAACGATGGTGATAGCCGAGGTGATGGTGGTGGCCGGAGCGCCTTCAGGGGCCGTGGCAATAGCGAGAGGCAGGATGGGGCGACCAGAGTCAGTGAGAGTGCCGGTGAGCGGCATGCGGTCAGCAGCAGGCAGCAGGAACCACTCGGCATCGGTTGCTCGCTCCAATGCATCGTCATCCTCCATCCACTTGGCTAGATTCGAATCCGCCTAGCAGGTGGTGAGGGGAAGGGGGGGTGTAAGAGGAGTGGGGGAGGTGAAGCGAAGAACTGGGAATGACTAGGCGCCCTCCGCATTGGTTGCTCTCTCCAATGCGTCGTCATCCTCCATCCACTTGGCCAGATTCGAGTCTGCCTGGTCGTGAGGTGGAAGAGCGGAGGGAATAAGGAGCAGGGAATAACGTGAATGAATGCAGCATCCGTTTCTTGGACTAATACGAATAACAAGTGTACGACTTTTGAGACGTCTCAAAAGTCGTTTCTTGGACTAATACTAACAACAAGTGTATCGCCCACGTGTCTATGCCTCCCCTCTACAACACCCCCACGCGCACTCCCCACTAGTCCCCACTCGTTCCCATTACTCACCCTGTCTGTGATTCTGCAGTAGGGCGCAAGCCCACGTATCCCCTTGCAATTCCCCCATTCCCCTCCCCACTGGTTCCCACTAGTTCCCACTCGTTCCCATTACTCACCCTGTCTGTGATTCTGCAGTAAGGCGCGCGGCCTTCCAATGCGAACCTGGAGGGGTGGGGGTGGAGAGGGGTGGAGAGGGAGGGGAGAGTAGAGAAGGGAGCAGTAGAGGAGTGATGAAGGATAAGAGAGGAGAATAAGGAACGCCCTAGGGGAGGAGGAGAGGAGGGGAGTGGACTTGAGCTAGCACAGCGAACAGCGATTCTTGTGGCTACCCATTCCTTACTCCTGTGCTTACTGACATGATCTCAGCCACGCCTATCCTCACTCCCGTGCTTCTGACTTAGCCTGCCTACTCGGACAGCACTCATCCATCCCCACTCACATACTGTCAGTCACCAAACACTGCCTGACTCACGTGTTGCTGGTGCGCACCCATTTGAGCATGGCGGGCATGAAACAGCTTCATCACCACCACCTGCTGACCGAGCACCAACACACACACATGCTGCCTCGTCTCACCCATCCACGCCTGTCCCCACCCAGAAACAGTACAGGGCTCGTGTGTTGCCCATGCCCACCGCACTCCACCACTCACGTGTTGCCGGTGAGCACCCATTTGAGCATGGCGGGCATGAACAGCTTCATCACCACCTGCCCGCCCATCTTGCCCCAATGGGGGATGCGCCAGTTCACCAGCCACTGGGGGGGGGAAGGGGGGAGAGGGGGGAGGAGGGGGATGGAGGAGGGAAACGCTTGGTGGGAAGATGGAGTGAAGTCCATGAAAAATGCGCCATCCACTCGAGGGGGGGGTTGGGTTTGGGTGTGGGTAAGAGAATGAAGGGGTGCGGAGTGTGAAACGGAGTGACTCACTCACTGGCGAACCCACACACACACAGTACACGGTGATTGACAGTCACATACCGAGAGTGGAGCAAAGCCCTCCCCCAGATAAGCCCGGTAGGTAGACGCCATGATGGCAGCGGTGCGGGCCATGCCATGCACGGCCCCCACTCTGAGCCGCCTCTCCGCCTCATACTGCTGCACCACGCCCGCCACGTCCATGTGCTGCCGGAGCTGCCCGCCCTTGCTGCTCGCTTTCTTCTTCGCCCCTTCCACTGCCTTCTCAAGATCAAGGGCCAGTTGAAAGCCGTCCTGGGAGAGAGTAGGGGCAACAAGTGGGGAAGGGAGGAGAGGGAGGGAGTGAATGAGGGAGAGAGGGGGGGGAGGGAAAAGGGGCAGAGAGTGAGGCAAGCGCCCTTCTCCAAGCCGTGCCATGCCATGCACGGCCCCCACTCTCAGCCGCCTCTCCGCCTCATACTGCTGCACCACACCCGCCACGTCCATGTGCTGCCGAATCACGCCGCCCTTGCTAGCTGCTTTCTTTTTAGCGCCTTCCACTGCTTTCTCAAGGTCCAGGACCAGTTGAAAGCCGTCCTGGGGGAGAGTAGGGGTGGCGGATGGAAGTGGGGGATGAGGGAGGGAGTGAACGACGGAGTGAATGAGGGAGTGAGTGAGGAAGGGAGGGGGGCAGAGAACAAGGCAATGTGCACGGATGGGTCATGCACCCGCCTGCCCCATGTTGGGCTGCATGGTCGGTTCTGAATCTGCTCTGATTCAAAACAAACCTGGCCTTGGGACGAACCAGAACACATCACACACACTCTCTCACCTCGATGGCCATGCATCCGCCCTGCCCCATGTTGGGCTGCATGGCATGAGCAGCATCCCCCATGAGGGTCACCCTCCCCTTGCTCCACTGCAGGATGGGAATGCGGTCGTAGATGTCTCGCCTCAGCACGTCCTCCTCGGGCGTCGCCTGAATGAGATCCACCACCCCGTCCGCCCAGTTCCCGAAGAGCTTCATCAGCCGCTGCTTGCGACCTGGAAGAGAGATGGGAGTGGGTGAAAGGGAGAGGGGAGAGAGGGGAGAGAGGGGGGATAGGGAAGGGAGAGGGGGGAGGGGAAGGAGGAGAGACAGACAAAGGGAGGGACACAAGAGAGACAGAGAGAAGAGGGTAGAGAGAGGGCATGGGGATGCGGTCGTAGATGTCTCGCCTCAGCACGTCCTCCTCGGGCGTCGCCTGGATGAGATCCACCACCCCGTCCGCCCAGTTGCCATACAGCTGCATCAGCCGCTGCTTGCGACCTGCAGAGGGGGTGCATTCAAGCGTAGCAAGCATAGCAGGCTCGTGGCAGAAAGCGTAGCACTGCGTGTTGCCCAACTCCACGTGACAAGTATGTGTGTGTGTGTGTGTGTGGGAGCATGTGCGCGTGACAAGTATGTGTGTGCGGGTGGGTGGGAGCATGCGTGCGAGAGTAGCGAGTATGTGTGTCATCCATGCCCGGCAGCAACAACAGGGGGAGGAGAGGATGGCAGAACTCACAGCCGGGGGGGTCGGAGCCGCCAGCAGGCTCGTTGTAGAAAGCATACCACTGCATCTTGCCAAACCCCACGTCGCTGCTGACAAAGTACTGCCTGTGGCCCAGGAACACGCGGTACCTGGTGGTTGGGTTGGGAGAGATACGGGGAGATCCAGAGGGCAGTGGGGGGAGGAGGAAGGAAGAAAGGAGGGGGTTAGGGATGAGCCTGTTTAATTAAGTAGCTTGTTTAATTAAGTAGCATGAGCTGTGTAGTATGTGCAAGTCACCAATGCCTGTGTAGCATATGTGGTCCGAGCACGTTGGGATACCTTTTATCAGAGCAGATCACCACAATTCCACTTACCCCGCGGTCTCAATGTCGTGCGGAACATAGTCACAGATGCCCGTGTTGCATGTGTAGTCGGAGTAGGTGGGATGAGATGAACACAAGCCCCTGTTGACAGAAGGCGACAAACAACCTCAGCAGGGCACCGCACAGCACTCACCCCACGGTCTCAATGTCGTGCGGCACAAAGTCACAGATGCCCGTGTAGCACGTGTAGTCGGAGTAGGTGGGCTCTGTCACTCCCAGCAGCACATCTCGCACCTGCACCCGTGCACCCATGCACCCATGCACCCATGCACCCATGCACCCATGCACCCATGCACCCGTGCATCCATGCACACATTCACCAATGCAATGCACCAAAGACAACAAGCAGCAAGAACGCAAGAGAACGGAAGGGACTTGCGAGGTGACTGCAAGTAAAGTTGTCACGTGCCATCCCCCCCACAGCCCCGTTACACTCATTGAGCCAGTTCAGACGTATCCTACCCACTGTAGGCATGACCTCCCCTCCCCCTCACAATCCTGCGTGTCCTGTCCTGGGCCACTAAGCCTCGGGAGCTCGTCAGCTCTCCAGCACATCAGCTCGACATGCACCAGGCTTCCCCTGCTTCACTAGGCTCCCGCACATCAGCTCGTCAGCTCTCCAGCACATCAGCTCTCCAGCACATCAGCTCTCCAGCACATCAGCTCTCCAGCACATCAGCTTGACATGCACCAGGTTTCCCCTGCTTCACTCACACACTCGGCATGCCTCACGACAGCGCGCACGCACGCACGAACGCACACGCGCACCTTGGAGCGAATGCCGTCAGCGCCAACCAGCATATCGCCATACACCGTGCTGCCGTCACTCAGCTTCACCGCCACCTGGTGGTGGGAGAGTGGGGGGAGGACGGGTGGGCAGGAGGAGAGGGTGTGGCGAGGAGAGGGTGTGAGGAGGGGAGAGTGGGGAGGGGTGTGGGGAGGAGAGGGTGTGGGGGGGAGTGGCTGTGAGGAGGAGTGGAGAGGGTGTGGGGAGGAGTGGAGAGGGTGCAGAAATGCGACGTTGTATGCATGCGTTTACACGAGAACGTGGCAGATGGAAGAGGGGAGCGGCAGGTAAAGACAGAGAGGGCGTGGAGAACGGAGGGTGTGAGGAGGAGAGGATGTGGGTAAGGGAAGGGGTGGGAAGGAGAGGGTGTGGGAGGGGAGGTAGACGACTGGTGGAGTGGAAATTCGAATTTCAGTTGGTGGCACTTGCTTGCGCCCTGGTCTTCAAAGTCAACGCACCTGCTTGCCCTGGTCTTCGAAGTCAACGACGGTCAACCCGTTCCGGATGATGCCCTCCCCAACAGCGTCCACGAGGATCTGCTGGAGAGTCATGCGGCTGATCACGCGCGTCACTGGTAACCCGCCCTCCGCTGCTGGCGTGAACGTGTCGAACTTGACGTACCTGAGGGGTACAGGAGGATACAGGATAGGGGGGTACAGAACAGGGGCATGGGAGTAGGAGTGCTCACTATGAGGCTGCGTGAAGAGTCGCTATCCTGCTAGCTTGAACGTGTCGAACTTCACGTACCTGATGGGATGTGGGTTACAGGGGAAAGGGAGCAAACAACTTGATAATTATAACTTTCGGGTCCTTTTGTCCTCTTTATTTTCCAGTATTTCGGGTTGTTCGTGTGACGTCCTACTTAAAAACATGACTACAACCAACTTGAGAGTGCCTGTCGCACGCACCATTCGCCGGTGAGCCCGTCGCAGAGCCCGTTGATGCGGTCGCCCGTGATGCACCCCGCCGCCATCACCTCCTCCGCCACGCGCAGGTCCACCGCCTCCAGCGCTCCCGCCAACCCCGCCAGCCCCGGCACGAGGTGCGAATTGTCAAACCGACACAGCAAGCCGCGTCATGCGGTTGACTGCTAATGCGTTGCAATACGGATCCTTTGTTTCGTGCGAGATTTTCTCGTCATCCAGTCCCACCTTTATCGAGGAGTTTCTCTAACGGGGACAGCGACTACCGCACGCACCATTCGCCGGTGAGCCCGTCGCAGAGCCCGTTGATGCGGTCGCCCGTGATGCACCCCGCCGCCATCACCTCCTCCGCCACGCGCAGGTCCACCGCCTCCAGCGCCGCCAGCGCGTTGCTCTGAATCTGAATCGGCCCGCGGTACTGCCCCTCGCCGCGAATCGCGGTCAGATCCCGCTCGAAGACCTGATGGGTGCGCAGCCAAAGGGGGGGTCGGGAAGGGGGGAGGAAAGGGAGGAGGGGAGAATGAGGGAGGAATTATAAGGAGGGGGAAGAGACTAGTGACTGTAAACCTTGCAAGAAATAGGACATACTTACGAAACCAAGGAATTGGATAAGTTGTATGCGTCATTAACCTATAACCGCGTCACAAAAAGCACATGCACTTGTGAAGGAGGATAAGAATCCCACGGCTGTGAAAGATTACCTCCACGTCAATCCCACGGTTCTTGCATGACAGCGCGAACACGAGACCGCCGATTCCCGCCCCCGCTACAATCACTTTGAACGGCGACTTGGCGAGTTCTGGGTCAAGCCCGCTCGACCCCGAATCCGCGACTCGGGAAGGCGCATCGCTGACGGCTGTAGCTCGAACGGCTGTAGCTCGAGATGAGGGGAACCGACGGGGGATTGAGCGTTTGCTGCAAGAGGCCAGCCGTCTCTGGAGGGTGACGATGCTGTGAGAGGAATTGAGTGGAACGGTGGCGGCTGTGAGGCGCTCGCGCGCTAAAATACTCCGTGGAACAGGAGCGAGGTGAGAAGCCATGACTTTTTTTCCTGCTTTTTCCGAAGTGGACAGGCGCAGTGCGAAGGAGTGAGCCTCACTACCTGTGGGTTAAACAGTAGCAAGCAGAATGCACGATTCTCAACGTAACTACCGTTAAACTAAGGTTACTAACAGCACAAGCAGAGTGCTTTACGCGATCCAGGGAAATGCAAGAACGGTTTCTTGGTAACTGTTGTGAGTGAGTTGTGGGGGCTGTGACATGTCCGAAGTGATCTGGTGTCGCGAAGGAAAGACAGCTTTGAGCATCAGTCAGTGGGGTTGGAGTTGCTGCTGCTGTGCTGCTCTTCTCACGCTGCTGACGCTCTGGTCTGGGCTGAAATCGAGGCACGGGAATCTGGGAGGTCCAAGGTAAAGGTTTATGTTATAGGGGAGACCCTCTTTGGTATTACCCCGGCGATCGATCGTAATCTGCCCGAGGCTTAAGGCGTGTTAATTTTTTTCGCTTCCATGGTCCGCACCGTTCGCCGTCCGGACATTTTATGGTAGCCTTTCTCGTTGATCATCGCGAAAATTCTCGCGCGTCACTATGCGACGTCGTAGCTGTAAGGACCACCAATGAAACATTCCACAATTTTCGGTGCACATAACCGTCCGAGCGACTCCCGTCCGTCTGCCGGACAGTGAAACCAAACCGTCATTTGATTGGCCGACGATGATTTTAAACAAAACGCATTTCCCCAATCAAAAGTCTCGCGACGCGTATTTCTCCTGAGCGAAACCGTCTCGCGACGCGTATTTCTCTTGTAACATTGCTTTTTTTCGCAAATGAAAAAATGTTATAGATTCTCCGCCCGGACTAACCTACGTCCGGACGCGAGGCCAGAACCGTCCGTACGCTTATTTAGGACGGTCTCGGGACCATCGTCTGGACAAACGGCTTAAAAAAAAAAATGTAGCACGCGTTTAGTTTTCTCCAGTGACAAAAGGTTGCCTCCGTTGAACAGTTCGCTGTCTGAATGAGCAAAGAGGCGGAGTGGAGAGTTCCCTAAAGCAACAGCCAAGAAGTTTCTGACAGTCCTACTTCCAAAAGGGAAACTGACGACACAAAATTAACTCACGAGCTGGCAAAGGCCGTGCCATGTCATCCCAGCATCCTCGAAGAATCTATGTCGCAGACACGTGGCGGAAGAATCGCTCTGAGAAGCCCAAATAAGTGGAAGTGAATACGTTACCCAATCAGAGGTGTATACGCCTCTGGTCTGAAATGTCCCCGTATCGCGCTGCCAACTGCGTCAGCGCTCCCATTCGTCAAATGCGACACGCGGAATGATTGCACTCGAGGTCGTGGATTCGACCCTCCAAGCAAAGATAGGGGATCTGTACTCGGTAGGAGGACACCATTCCCAGGTCGGTGGTATGCATATATATCTTTTCGTCGGCTACAGCTACCATCTTGTACCAGAAATAGGGCCTAGCATTAATCACAGAATTTAAGAATATGGAAACAGGTCAAGATAAAGCGAAAGCAACCAAACCACTTCCTGAAAGCCCAATACGTTTCCATGAAATTTTGGAATCATACAGATAGAGAATATAGCTAAGCCCTTTCAATTTCCAACCCCATCTCCATCCATGATTAGGCAGGCAGGGCAAAATTTGATGATTGAAATGTCTAACGTTCTGAAACCTGTAAATTCGTTCATTATAAGCCACCTAAACTGCTCCATTGCCCACCCTGTCTTCATCCGCGTTCGATGACGGGACAGCCGCGTAGCCATGTAACGATGTGTTTGTAACACACAGGGGACCGAACTTCCACTGTGCAAGGAAGACAGCTAGATGCCACGTCATGATGACGAAGAAGGGCCAAAAGTAGGCGTGGGGGAAGGGGAAGAGTGCGTCGTATCCAAGCAGGCGGGGCCGCCAGCAGTCAAAGACAAGCCAGATGGACTGCGGGGAAAAGAAGGGAGGGTGCCATGGTTGGGAGAGGAGAGTAGAGCAGAAGGTGAAACCAGAGTTGATAGGTGTGGGGGAAGGGGAAGAGCGTGTTGTATTTGAGCAGGAGGGGGCGCCAGCAGTCAAAGACAAGCCAGATGGACTGCAGGGAAAAGAAAGGGGGGTGGCATGCATGGGATGAGGGGAGGAGGGACTAGAGGAAGAGGAAGAGCGTGTTGTATGCGAGCAGTTGGGGCCGCCAGCAATCAAAGACAAGCCAGATGGACTGCAGGGAAAGGAGAAAGGGCAGCGAGAGGGAAAGGTGAAACAGCAAATAGACTAGAGATGGCAAGAGCAGCTAGATCAGCTTACATGAGCTGCCCAGTTTCCCACAGCGAACTTGAGGGAGTTGACTTTAGCAGGAAGAGGAAGTGTGCCAGCTGTAGCAGCACGTCTGTAGCGTCCCACACGTAGAGGGTGAAGGCTCAGCTGAGCAGAGCAGCAAGCGTGCCTGAGAGGCCCAGTCATGGGGACAGCAAGAGGCCAACAGAATCTCAAGAGGCGTTCAGGATCGCACCTGAGCGGCCCAAATCATCTCACCTGAGCGGCCCAGTTGCCCACAGCGAATTTGAGAGAGACTCCGCGGCAGGCAGCGAGTGGTGGTTGCCAGATGGCGAAGGCAATGGACTGGGGGAGCAGGAAGAGGAAGTGGGCCAGCTGTAGCAGCACGTCTGTAGCTTCCCGCACGTAGAGAATGCCGCCACCCACCCCCACCATGCCCATGATCGTCAGCGCCACGTAGGCGTCACTCGGGGGAGGTAGCAACTGCACCTGCTGCTGCTGGTGGGGTTGTGCGTGGTGCTGGGTGGTGGAGTGGGTTCCAAAGGTTTCTCCTGGAGGAGCGGTGATTCTAGGTGGAGTGCTTTTGGGTGCGTTTCGGCCGGGATGAGATGAAGTGGAGGAGATGGAAAAGGAGGAGGCGGAGGAGGAGGAGGAGGGGGAGCGGGAAGAGGCGGAGGACGGGGAGCGGGGAGAGGCGGAGGAGGGGGAGGAGGGCGAGAAGGCGGGCCGGGAGGCATAAATAGCAGCAGAGGAGGAGGGGCTGACAGGGAGACCACTGGCTGCTGCTGCATACGCTGCTGTGGCCCGTTTCCTCTTCCTTTCCACGGCGACAAAGAGGAGGACGTAGAGAAGGAGGGTTAGGAACTCGATGGCGTGGGGGAGGGTGGCGAGTTGGGTTAGGAGGTAGGAGAGGACGTCTGATGAGAGGAAGGAGAGCGGGTAGTAGAGGTCTCGCAGCCAGAAGGACGCGAAGACGATGATCTGCGTGGCGATCATTGTGAGCGAGGTGAAGTGTGCATGGGGGTGCGAGCGCACGTGCAGCACCTGGGGTGGGGGAAGGGAGGGTGGGGGGATGGGGAGGGAGACAGACGGAGGAGTGAGGTAGTGGAAGGGTGATAGAGAACATGCCCTAGAAAAAGGTGCGGGAGGAAGGAGAGAGAGGATGGGAAGGAGGGAGGAGAGGAAGGAGGTAGGAAACGATGTCTAAGGAGAGGAAGGAGAGCAGGCAGTAGAGGTATCGCAACCAGAAGGAGGCGAAGTCGATGATCTGGGTGGCGATCATTGGTGGCGATATGCGAGGGAGGTGAAGATTGCTACGTGGGTGAAATGGCTCGTGCAAGCTGGGCCCGTGTGATAAAGGCGTGCTCGCATGGGAGGCGTCGTCTGAAGAGGACATGTATCAATTCAGTCATTCCACGCATGTGGCGACCTTCGAAGGAACGGGCGTAGAAGAGGAAGGAGACTGAGAGAGCTAGAAACGGAGAGCACAGCCGAGACCACCATGTCCCAATCGAACAGCTCTGCCTGCTGACTCAGCGACTCTGTCTCCCCCGCTAGTTGCCATTCCCTGTTTCAATCGCACAGCTCTAGCTGCCTGCGTGCCCATCTATTTTACAGCCCCAATGACTGTCATCTTACCCACCTGAGAAAAGACCGCCAACGCTTTAAAGGCGGAGAGAGAGCACAGCTGACACGACCATGTCCCAATCGAATAGCTCTGCCTGCTGACTCAGCGACTCCGTCTCCCCCGCCACTGCCATCCCACCCCATTTCTTACTACCTTACCCCCACTGCAAGCCATTTTGCTCACCTGAGAAAACACTGCCAGAGCTTGAAATCCAGAGAGCACAGCTGACACGACCATGTCCCAATCGAACAGCTCCGCCTGCTGACTCAGCGACTCCGTCTCCCCCGCCACTGCCAGCGGCCCAAAGAACTCACTCCCCTCCCCCGCCTGCTCCGCCGGGATTGTACTCGTTACAGTGCCCTCCATTACAAGCACGTCGGCGACAATGGTCGTATCATCCGCCTCGGATCCCAACTCGTCTAGAAGATCTGCTTTCGTGATGTCCGTTCGTTCTTTCAGAGTGTGCGGGTCAATCACCCCTACTCCTGCCGCTGCTCCGCCTGCTGCTCCTGCTTCTCCTTGCCCTTCTTCCCCCCCACTGCTGCCGGCAGCGGCAGCAGCAGCAGCGGCGGCGTTGCTCTTCCCCTCCCCGTTGACTCCATACTTAGCCACGGCTATCCGTTCCAAGCGCTCCTCTGCCTGCTCCTGAGCGTGCTTTTGCCACTCCGCCTGGGGGGGGGGGGGGGGGCGGGGGGGGAGAGACAGAGAGGCAGGGGGGGGGGGGGAAGAGACAGAGAGGTAGGGAGGGGGGGGGAAGGGAGAGAAAGCATGGTGAGGTACACAGGGAGCCATCCTGCTATCGAGGTGACTTTTGAGTCGACTCAAAAGTCACTATGGCACCTAACTGGTGTCCACTTCAGCATGGTGAGGTACACAGGGAGCCATCCTGCTATCGAGGTGACTTTTGAGTCGACTCAAAAGTCACTATGGCACCTAACTGGTGTCCACTTCAGCATGGTGAGGTACACAGGGAGCCATCCTGCTATCCTCTCCAACTGCTCTCCGCCTGCTCCAACTGCTGACTTTTGAGTCGACTCAAAAGTCACACTGCTATCCTCTCCAACTGCTCTCCGCCTGCTCCAACTGCTGACTTTTGAGTCGACTCAAAAGTCACACTGCTATCCTCTCCAACTGCTCTCCGCCTGCTCCAACTGCTGACTTTTGAGTCGACTCAAAAGTCACACTGCTATCCTCTCCAACTGCTCTCCGCCTGCTCCTGTCTGTGGTTCTGCCACTCTGCTTGGTGGGGTGATGGAGAGGGGACACAGGGGGTGGAGAGAGGTATAGAGGGGGCGAACGGGGCGAAGGAGGAAGGAAGAGGAGAGAGGCGGACGGGGAAAGTGAGAATGAGGAGGGGAGAGCCACACTGCTCTTTGCTCCAAGCTCTCCTTACACTTTCCTCTGTCGAATCACCCCTCTTGTGTTTCCGCATTTGCTTCTCTGAGCCGCGTGGACAATTCATTGCTCTCGCGTCGCTAGTTTCTTTTGCTAAAGCCCTCTGAAGGGATTCGCTTGCGAGGATGCGCAGAAGAGAGATTTGGTCCCGTTGTTACACCCACCAGGCACCAGGCTTCAGCCATGGTGATATGCACACCCACCACGCACCAGCTCCCCACAGTCAAGACGCAAGGCAAGGAACACACCTACACCTCGTTCTTCACCTTGAACCGCACGCAGCAGCAGCAGCATGTTGCACCTCCTAGGCACCCCACACCACCCCACCCCACCACCAGGCACCACGCCGCACCACCAAACACCATGTTCCACCGCCTCACCACGTTTTTCGCCTTAAACTTCAGCACCAGCAGCATGTTGCACCTCCGCGGATCCGCATACGGATCTTCCGCCTTCGCGGACTCCTCCCCTTCCCCTCCCCCCGCGCCTCCCCCCAACCGGCTCTGGCACCCGACCATACACAGCACCCCCGCGCGCATGGAAAAATACCCCTCCGCGCGCACCACCACCGTCCCCATGTAGCTTTCCGCCCATTCCGTCTGCGATGTGATATAGACGAGCGCGCCCACGTCCAATGTGCCGTTTTCCGTCGGAACGACGTGCTCCGTCCAGAAATCGAACGCGCCCGAGTCGGTCGTCAGGACCTTGTGCCGGACTGCCGGCTGGGCGGTTGTTCCTGCCGGCAAACCGTCTGCTGCTGCCGGCGATGATGAAGTGTCGTTTCCGTCGGCTGCAGCTGCTGCTGCGGCGGCGGCGGCGGCGGCGGCGGAAGCGGGAGGGTCTTGGTAGCGCCATTTGCCGCGAATGACGGAGTTGGAGGAGAGGAGGAAAGGGACGGCGGGGAGCGGGGTGGCAGCGCCATCAGAAGACGACAATTCCGGCACGTGCGGCTGGCAGTGCGAGAGAACGGCATCGCGGATAAAGCCGCCCGACATTAGCCGCGTCTCGGCGACGCCGGGTTTGGCGGAGAAGACGAGAAGAAGGAGGGAGAGAAGGGGGAGCCAGCCGGAAAACTGCGAGAAGCGATTTACGAGAAAGCGAGGATGGAAATAAGGAAGGCTCTGGGAAACGGGAGCTGAAAAGGCTCTCCTCGAGTCGCGTCCGAAGATAGGGTTATGAGGCGCCGTAAGAAGCGGGCGCCGGCGCTGGTATGGACATTGTTTACTGCCCATACGGGAAAGCAGCGTGTTTGCGGCTCGGTTGTATTGGATTCCCATTCCACGTGGCACATCTGTAGTTTTCATCGTAAGCACGATTATCGTGGTGCATGGAGTGCCCACCGCCAGAAGCGGGAGATATCGAATCGAACGCTCCGCGGAAAGTAGACCTCTTTTTTTCGTCCTTCGGTAGTGGATGCTCGGTGTTGTTGGATCCCAAGATATCCAAGAAATCATGGGGCGAATGCGGCGAATGGGAAAACGTGTGGAGCGGTGTGGGTGGGATTGGGATCAGGGCTGTCGATTGGTTTGGGGCCAGAACTTGAGAGGCTGAGGTGCCCAAGAAGTTGCCCTGAAAGTTACGGGCTGAGAGCAAACCTAGCACTTGAAATCAGGGCTACCAGCTTTTTTTCACATTTTTGCGGGTCTTAACGCTATATACTATTTTTCGGAAAGACCACCCAATCTAGTGTCCGTTATCGTCATCACCTAGGCAATAGGCTGAGGTACGAAACATGTCGATGTATTTGACGGGGATGGGAAAGAAAGGAAGTGGGGTAGTGGCTGGGAGGAGGTGGGGGGACGGGTGAGATGAGAGGGAGGTGTTACTATGGGACAAAAAGGGCTAGCCGCGAGATCTGCACTTGAAATCCGGGTTAGACCCACAACCAGCACTTTACGGGGACGGGCTGCCCTCAAAGCCAACCCTTAAAAATCGGAAGCTAGGCCCGACACAACCCTTAATGTTCAGGGCATTAAGGGCATTTGCCCTTGAATCGTCAGCCCTGATTGGGATAGGTGAATAAAGGGCAATGGGGCTGGGGATGGGTTCTGTGAAGGCTGCAGGAGGGTCCAAGGTCGATTGGGGCTGTGCGCAGTAGCCCGAAATGCATGTCGAAACGCAGTCTCATGTTCTGCGAAGTCCATGTCCATGCGATGAACCGCATTACAGACTTGGTATGACCAGTTCCAACTCTCTGTTTAACTGTTCACGCCCCGAACTGACTCGGGGTCACGCTGACCTGGATGGATCCTGTCGCCAAGTGAGGGAGGGGCAATGAAACGAGAGGGGATTGCTCCAGGTGAGGGATGCTGAGGCGGGGATGGGTTTGTAACGAGTTGCATTGGACGAACAGTATAGATAATGTAGCTTTACAGGAACCGGTGATGTCAGCTCCAATATTAGGCTTAATATGTGCTCAGCTGTAGAATAATATGCACTTTTGACCTTTAACAGAATATGATAAGAGTTTTTTTTCAAAATATGTATGCGCATTGAAGTTAGTTGGTATGGAGTAAAAGTCCCTGGAGGACAAGGAAGCATGTAATGGCGACTTTATAAATTAGGCGTCATGACTATGTTGACTATGTTAACGGATCTGACTATGTTGCCTTCCCCCCACCCTGCACAGACTTCAAACTAGCAGGAAATCCCTTCAGAGCAGAGTCAAGTCAACCCTCGACCATTTAGTGCAAGAGATTTCAGGAATGAAAAATCCTTGTTGTTTGGTTTCTGGCGCGACGCGACCCGCTCACCGCTGATTAAAAACTCACCACGACTTCCGAAACTCCCCGCTGACAAGTTTCCGTATCCTTCAAAACTGCTCAGAATCAGAATTCCGTTTGTTAGGCGTTTCAATTCCACGAGATTATAATATCGCAGTAGTCACCTTGAGTATCCGTCATTGCCATGCTATCCGTTCTCATAAAAGCTTCTCATTCAACCATCCGTCAGGGGATCACGTCCGTCCAGCCATCCACTAGTCCTCCGATTGTCCGGCTTTAACCCATCGCGTCCGTCCGCCCGCAAATCCGTCCGTCCATTGAATCCGTCCGTCCGTTCAGCGACCACTCATGGCGGCGGCAGCGATGGCGGCGATGGCAGCGGCGGCGTCGCGGTTCGGCGGCAAGGGCGGCATGCAGTGGCACGACTGGCAGACGCTCATGTCCGAATTCAACGAATCGCACGAGATGCAGAACCAGTGGGTGCAGCTATACCCGCCGCCCGTGCTGTTCGATTTAGGCATCAACGTCATCCTCAAAGACAGGGAGCCGGCCGCCAGCAAGGTATGGGAAGGGGAGTTGAAGCAGTCTGCTGCAGAAATTGCACTCAGGGAGGTGAGCGGAGGGGAAGGGAAGCGTTGTTTACAGGGCTTGTAGGGGAGGGGAGACTGGCAGACGCTCATGTCCGGATTCAACGAATCGCACGAGATGCAAAACCAGTGGGGTGCAGCTGTACCCGCCGCCCGTGCTGTTCGACCTTGGGATTACCGTCATCCTCAAAGACCGCGACCCGACCACTAGCAAGGTGAGGGGAGGGGGTTGCGATGGGGATGTGAGGGGATGCGAGAGGAAAGGGGACAGCGAAAGGGGAAGGGAGGGAGGCGAAGGGAGGGATGCGAAGAGAGGGATGCGAAGAGAGGGATGCGAAGAGAGGGATGCGAAGAGAGGGATGCGAAGAGAGGGATGCGAAGAGAGGGATGCGAAGAGAGGGGGTAAGACTGATCTTCCATGTTGGGGAGGGAGTGAGTCCCTGTGAGAGGAGGGAGTGAGTCCCTGTGAGACAGTTCAATCGTTGGCGTGCGTCCCATTTCCCAATCGGTGACGTGCTGACACGCTGTGGATGATCTCCACCTCCCGCCTTCAATCTGTACCTCGACCTACCCCATCCCACCCCACCCCACCCCATCCCTCCCCACCCCACCGCACCGCACCACACCACACCACACCACAGGCGCAGCTGCTGTCGTTCCTGGAGGAGAATGTGCTGCTATTGGTGCTTGCTTGGGGAGAGGGAGTGTGTGTTGAGCCGTCTCCACACAGAAAATCTCCTTCCCTTAGCTCATGCTAGGTCTCTCACCACACCCCACCCCACCCCACCCCACCCCACCGCACTACACCACACCACAGGCACAGCTGCTGTCGTTCCTGGAGGAGCACGCGTTGCTGCTGGTGCTGGGAGAAAGGGAGCTCTCCCTTCCCCTGCCCACCCTCCTGCCCACCCCCTCCGGCATTACCACCCTCAATAGCAGCACATCCGCTGTCAGTGCCGGCACTGCTGGTGGCAGCGATGGTGGCTATAGTGGTTCTTCCAGTGAGTCTCTCGCCTTCCCCTCTGCGTACCTCCTTCAAGCCGCCATGACTGCCCGACCCACGCTGCAACGCCTCCTCTCCCTCCTCGCCTCCCTCACACACTACCACCCTCCTCCCTCCTCCTCCTCCTCCTCTTCCTCCGCCGCTGCCGCGCCTGCCTTCCCCACCTCCTCCTCCCTCTCCACCCATCCCAACCACCTCACATCTTCCTCTCAGTATGCATCAATCACTGCTGCTGCATCACAGTCAGCAGCAGCCCAGTCAGCAGCAGCAGGCAAGCTAGCATCGGTACAGTCAGCGTCAGTGGCACAGCTGGCAGCGGCGGCAGGGGGTGCGGGGGTGGGGAGGGGTGGGGTTGGGGGTGTAGGGGTTGGAAGTGGAGGGGAGACGGTGTCAGCAGCTGCATTGGCAGCGCTGCCTGCAGGGCTGCGGGCGCAGCTGGTCTCTGCAATAACATCCGTCTTCATCCAGGTGTGTTCCTTGCTGTTAAGGTGCTGTTGAGGAACAGATCATCCAGGTCGGGTACTGTGCTGTTGAGGAACAGATCATCCAGGTCGGGTACTGTGCTGTTGAGGAACAGATCATCCAGGTCGGGTACTGTGCTGTTGAGGAACAGATCATCCAGGTCGGGTACTGTGCTGTTGAGGAACAGATCATCCAGGTCGGGTACTGTGCTGTTGAGGTCGAGGCGGTCGGGGGGAGGCAGTGGAGGAGAGGCGGAGTCAGCAGCTGCGTTGGCATGGCAGCGCTGCCTGGTGGGCTGCGGGCACAGATGGTGTCGGCAATCACATCCGTCTTCATCCAGGTGCGTACGTTTTGTGCTGTACCGTGGTGTGTACAATCATCCGTGCCGGCATTGACAGCGGGCTGCGGGCACAGATGGTGTCTGCAATAACATCCGTCTTCATCCAGGTGTGTTCCTTGCTGTTAAGGTGCTGTTGAGGAACAGATCATCCAGGTCGGGTACTGTGCTGTTGAGGAACAGATCATCCAGGTCGGGTACTGTGCTGTTGAGGAACAGATCATCCAGGTCGGGTACTGTGCTGTTGAGGAACAGATCATCCAGGTCGGGTACTGTGCTGTTGAGGAACAGATCATCCAGGTCGGGTACTGTGCTGTTGAGGTCGAGGCGGTCGGGGGGAGGCAGTGGAGGAGAGGCGGAGTCAGCAGCTGCGTTGGCATGGCAGCGCTGCCTGGTGGGCTGCGGGCACAGATGGTGTCGGCAATCACATCCGTCTTCATCCAGGTGCGTACGTTTTGTGCTGTACCGTGGTGTGTACAATCATCCGTGCCGGCATTGACAGCGGGCTGCGGGCACAGATGGTGTCTGCAATCACATCCGTCTTCATCCAGGTGCGTACCTTGCTGCTGAGGCGACAAAAACAATTCAAGAAAGTACAACCATGCTGTTGTGGCGGCGCCTACACCCCCAACGTTATCGCCCTCTTCTTCCCTCTCCCCCTCAGCTCGCCGACCTCCCCTCCTCCCTTGCCTTCAAATTATTCCCCCACTTTTTGTTTCTTCCTCTTCTGTTGCAAACCCGTTCAGCTCAAGGCCATAGATCTCTTTCCATATAATCCCTCATCTGTCTTCCTTCCTCCCAACCTCTCTCTTCCTTCAATTCTCCACTGTCCCCCATCAGCTCGAGGCAACGGATCTCTTTCCCGACCTCCTCGCCTCGCTCG